AGGGAGGGAGGGAGGGAGGGAGGGAGGGAAGGAGGGGGGGAGGGGAAGGGGAATGATGGAGGGAAGGAATGTAAGAGATATGAGAGGTGTTGGGGGGAAGGAGTCAAGGAGGGAGGGAGGGAGGGAATGTAATAGATAAGAGAGGTGTTGGGGGGAAGGAGTCAAGGAGGGAGGGAGGGAGGGAATGTAATAGATAAGAGAGGTGTTGGGGGGAAGGAGTCAAGGAGGGAGGGAGGGAGGGAGGGTTTTGCGACATGATCTAAACTTGTCTCAGAGTTTCAGCATGACCAGCGCGTTTCTTGCTTCTGTGGGTTCAGATTCAGCGTACAGCTTCAACTCTCTTCGCTCATCAGTATCTCTACGCAAATCATTCAGCAGAGAAGGTCCTGTCTTATCCTTTGGAGCCCCTCTAAAGTTTTCTCTTAGGATCCGAAATTTACCAAGGGCGTGTGGGAAGGCTGGAGGTGGAGGAAATCTCGGCGATCTTCCGGTGAGAGGCAGGAAGATTGGATCGCTGGGCTGACTGATTTTGACCAGAAAGCTTGACCTTGACAAGGATGGAAGAGTAAGCGACGGGGAGCTGGTGCGAGGGATGAAGCACACACCTCAAGTCGCCATTAGGTCCTGCGCCTTGCTGCCCTCTTGCCTCACTTGCCCTATCAGATTTCTGCAGAGCGACAATCCTGTCCTGCGAGTGCTGGCAGACAAAGTGAGAAAGCGATGTCAGACTCAAGCGTTCAGACGTGTTGCATGTTGAAGGAGGAGAGCGATTTAGTTGTAATGATAAGGATGATTGCCATGGCTGTACAATGCCTATGACTGTGATGGTGATGACGATGATCATGTTGACAACGGTGTCGATGCCGATGATGCCCATGTATGCGTGTTAGTCTCACGTCGTGAGGGAATAGACGTGGATAAGGTTCAAGGCCTGTTTTGTTCTTATTCTATTTGATGTAAGGCAAGCGAAGGGAAGCTAAGCGCGGATGGTCTTGAGAGTTTTACCTTGCAAGATTTTACGGATCTGTGCAGCAAGACGAGCGATCGGTTCTGACATGTCTGCTTCACCTGCTGTCCTTGACGAGCAGCAGGAGTCAAGTCTGCGTGAGGTTCATCGGGAGACATGGGCTTGACGAACAAGTTTGCTTCATCCCTTCGGTATGGCCTCCCTCATTGCCACGCCCCCCTCTCACATTCCCGGCTTTTCCTTGATCTTTTGTCGCCTGCTTCTTTCCATGCCCCACTTCGACAGTCTCTTCTTCTCCTTCCTTGCCTTGCTTCCCTCGCTCCACCATCCATCATTGATACGAGAGCAGATGACTAGCTCCGCTAGCTTTTCTCGGTTCCAAGCGACGACAGTTCCATACGATCCGACGGGAGTGGAGGATCAAGTTCGAGACAGAAGCCTGGCAAGCAAGGACTTCAACGACGGACAAGGACAGGAGAAGGACCTGGCGGTTCGAATGCTAGCAAGCAAGCAACATGAGCTTGTCACAAGGTTGCAAGGGGCCGTGAGGGACGGAGAAAGAGACGCGCTGCGTATCAAGAAGCTGGAGGAAGCGCTCTCAGCCGAGGCTGAAGCCCGACGGGATCTCGAAGTGCACCTGAGGACGGCACACAAGCTGGAGATGGAGAGGGTCATGGCAACACACTCGAACGAAGAGGCGAAGCTGCGAGAGGTCATGAATGTGGAGATGGAGGAAATGGTTGCTGCGTATGAGGTGCAGCTCGCGGATATTAGGACGAGCAGTGCGGAAGAAATCAAAGAGCTAAGAACAGCAGCGGAAGCGAAAGTTGCGAGCTTGGAGAGCCAGGTTGAGGAACTGAAGAAGAAACTGGAGGAGGAGGTGACATCGCTAGCGGCCGCAAACGAAGCGCTCGAGAAGGTCAGGGATGAGAAGGCCAAGTTGGAGGACGACAAAGCGATCAAAGGGCGGGCTATCAGTCAGCTGCAGGAGGCAGAGAAGCTTCTGAAAGCAACAGTCTCTGACTTGTCACAAGAGGCAGAAAAATTGAAGAGAATCAGCGAGGAGCAGAAGTTGGAGCTTGAGCAGCTAGAACAGCAGCTAGAGCAAGAGAGGAAGGAAAGCGCGATGCTGGCGCAAAGACTGCAGGATGTGTCGCAGGCGTACGAGACTTTCGGCGAGAGGCGGAAGGAGCTTGAGCAGGTGATCGCCAGTCACGAGGAAGTTGAGGACAGGAAGGATGCAGCTGTATCGGAGGCGCTCAAGATCGCGCGCGAGGCGATCGGGGAGCGAGACGAGCTGGCGAGGAAGCATCGGTCGATCCTGGCTGAGCTCAAGGTGCAAGTGAACATCAGCAAAGCCAAGGATGGAGTGCTGACCCTCGAGGCTCTTCGCCGAGTCGTCGAAGTGATCGGAGAAGACGTGGGGAACCCTGACGACTCGCTGATGCTGCGATGTGAGGAGATACAGGAAGCCAGGGAAGAGAAGCTCGAAGAGCTTCAGGTCAGCACGAGGACCGAAGATCAGGCAGAGGAGGAAGAGATTCTGCCATCAGGAGCTGACACGGTGACGTTATCGGACCCTCAGGACGAGGGGGACGAGTCTGCAGGAGTGAAAGCATCCTCCGCTACCAGAAGAACCTTCGGAAGGTTTCACGCTACTTCGCGATCGACTTAACCTTTCATCGACATGACTTATAAGAGCGTAGGCGGGGTCAAGTGAGTAGCTGTTTATTGTTAAAGTCCTCCCCCACCCCTTGCCATCCTCCCCGACATGTCTTCTGCCTCTGCTTCACCTGGGCTCTTCCTCGTCCTCTCATCGCAGGTGGTTGGCCTTGACCTGCACCAGGAACGGATGCATCAGGCTGTCGGCAGCTGAGATTCTTTCCTCAGGGTTGCGGGCGATGGCGCGGAGGATGAGGTCTCGGCAGGTGCTGGAAAGGGTCGGAGGGATGTCGGGGAGATGGTCGGTGGAGGCGATCTCGTAGAGCAGCGAGAACTTGTTGGTCGCCGCCTTCCATGGATGAGTCCCCGTCGCCATCTCAATCATGGTCATGCCCATGGACCAGCAGTCTGCTGCTCGCCCGTACCTCTCCTGCTTGATCACCTCCGGCGCCATCCAGTACGGTGTTCCTCGCATCGAGCAAGTGTCCGCGTTCTCTGTCATCGTCCCTCGCAGCTGTGCCGACGCGCCGAAGTCAGCGATCTTGATCACTCCGTTGGCCGCAACTAGCCTGAGCTTGAAACTTCAAAAAGATGAAAGAGGGGATGAAGAGGAGGAGAAGTGAGGGGCAAGAGTGGAAGAAGGGGTAGAAGCAGCAAGTGAGAGGCTCACAGGTTGGCTCCCTTGATATCACGATGCATGACCGCATGGGAATGGATGAAGGCCAACCCCTCCGCTACCTGCCGCGTATACTGAGCGACCACAGGCTCGGGGAAGCCCCCGAAGGACTGGCAGAGAGAAGCGACGGAGCCACCAGGGCAGAACTCCATGAAGATGCTGAGGCTCGAGTCCATCTGGTGTGTCCCGATGTACTGCACGATGTGCGCATGCTTGAGGGAGCGAAGAAGCATGACTTCGTTCTTGATCTCTTGCTGCTCCTCCTCCGTGATGTTCTGCAGGTCGACACACTTCACCGCCATCAGCTCGCCCGTCAGCAGGTTCATCGCCTGGTAGACCTTCCCAAACGCTCCCTTGCCCACCAGATCTCCAACTTTGAACTGAAACGTGGGACCTGGCTGAGCCGCTGGCTGGGGAGCGGAAGGAGTCTGCTCGGCTAGGCTGTAGCGTAAAGTTTCTCCTCGTTCGAACGGATGCACTGCTCCTGCTCCTGCTCCTGCTCCTGCTCCTGCTCCTGCTCCTGCTCCTGCTTCTCCTCCTCCTCCTCTTCTCCCGACTCCACGCTTTCGGACAGACTGACCGGGCAAACTAGAGTCGGGAAGCGGCGCGACAAAAGATTTGTTGGCAGGAAGAGGAAGAGGGGGGACGGGCAGGGAGACAGGCGGAAGGTCAGAAGCGATGCTACTGTCTCTCCGCTCCATCTTGTTGGCGAGTTGGACTCGGACGCTGCCGCTTTCTTGCTCTGTCTTGTTCCGCAAGGAGTACCACTTGTCGCTCCTCTCTGTTGCTCTCAGCTCTACCACAGGGATCTGCACGCGCCCGAGGGCCTCGGCCCCGATCATTCTGACAGCGAAGATGCTGATCTCGAGGCAGGCAGCAGGCTTGAGCTCGAGCAGAGGCAGCTCTGCTTGCCCCATCCGCCACTTGGGCGCGTTGCTCCTCCTGCACGTCTCCGTCTTGACAAGCTGCACCACAGACTTCCTCTCCCCCCTGGGACTGAAGGCAAACTTCTTCACTATTACTCCCTCCGGTAGGAAAGAAACGGTGCAGTAGGCATCGCAGACCTTGGGTAGTCCTGCTAGATAGTCAAAGAGGAAAGGAAGACGAAGTAGAAGCTGCGGTTAGTCTCTGTGTTGTTAGTATCATGTCAGCAGTGGGTTGCGAAAAGTGTGTGTGTGAGAGGGAGAACAACCTAAAGCTTCCACGATGTTGATGCTTATTGAATCTTCTGCCCCCTCCCTGCCACATCAAGTTGATCAATGCCTCCTCTCCTCTTATCCCCTCCTCCTCCCCTCCTCCTCCCCTCCTCCTCCCCTTCCTCCTCCCCTCCTCCTCCCCTTCCTCCTCCCCTTCCTCCTCCCCTTCCTCCCCCCCTCCTCCTCCCCTTCCTCCTCTCTCCTCCTCATCCTCCTCCTCCCCTTCCTCCTCTCTCCTCCTCCTCCTCTCTCCTCCCCTTCCTCCTCTCTCCTCCTCATCCTCTGCTTCGCCTTCATCACTTACATCGTTCTCAAGCCATGGCAGTTGACTGAGGGTCAAGAAGAGGAAAAAACAGAAAAAAAATATTTTTTTCTTTGAAACTCTGAGGCAGACCCACTTCGTGTTTTCCTCGGGCAGGCGTGATGGGCGTGTAGCTACATAGCGGGGGAGAAGGGAAGGGGCCGAGGCTTGGAGGGGAGAGAAGGGCAGGAGGACACAGAGAGAAGAAGATAGAAGAAGAAAAGAGAACAAGAGAACAAGAGAACAAGAGCAAAGCAACCGGAAGAAGGGAGCAGAAGTGAAGAAGGCGATGATACAAGACAAGGATTGACACGTGGAGAATGGAAGAGGAAAGAATCGATTTGAGATAACTCATCGAGAAGAACGCGGGGGCGATGGAAGAGAAGGACAAAGACTGTGAAGTACAAAAGGAGAGGGATGATAGCATTGGAATTGTGAACAAGATCGCAAGGGTAACTGAACCTTCCTTGCCTTTCATAGGTATTGCCTTTTGATCTTTAGCTTCACATGCGCAGGGCTGGTGGGGTCAGGATGTCTTCATCGATGAGGTGGTTCTTGCTGCTTCTTATAGAGTCCAGCATGTGCTTCAAGTTCGTCTACATTCCCTGTGAACCCGGCATGCCGATGGAAGAATGGGAGCTGTTCCCCAAGAAAGGCGACGACGAGATTAGCTGCTTGACTGTGCATCTTCAGAAATGGTTCAGCAAGAGCGGACGTTTGTCTGATGACCAGAAGGCTCAACTGAAGGAGCAAGTCAAGCTCCATGCCCAAAAGAAAAACTTGACAGTAGACAACGTGTTCGAAAACTCAACCATCTCCGATGACATCTTACAAACTGAGAGTGTTGAAATCATCACCCTCCTTCCTCCCATGCAAGAGCATGGGTACGTGTCAGGTTGCTTGCTTACATCCTACCCTAATCAAGACTGACGTTTCAATGTCAGTGTCCATGTATGTGGACGACAAAGGGCTCGTTCGCAACTTGCTACAGAATGATCGAGCTAGTGGGTTGATGGAGTCTCTGACGAGCAGGAGGGGGCCCGTGCTCGGAGATGCCTTTTTAGGAAGATGTTATGACAACGAGCAAGACACGTTCAAGCGGTTAGACTTCCTTCTCACAGACGTTTCCTCGTCGGCAGGTTGGGCCAAGATATGCCTGGAGCAAAAGAAGTCAGCTGTGATCAATCATGAGAGGATGAAGGAACATTTCAAACAGTTGACCACTAGCAAGGTTCCGAAAGAACAAGAAGAGACAGCAGATGATAAGCTAGATGACGACTTGCGGAGCGACCTGCAGCAGTCGTTGGAAGATGAGAATGATGTGCTGAAGCGAGACGGATATGCCTCGTTCCCTGCTAGAAACGAACCCATCCCTTGCAGCGATGAAGAATGTTTTCGCATTTACCAAGAAATCAAAGGGCTTGGTCACGAGAGCCTCAAAAACAGAATCTATGACCTTGCGCTCCGACGATACCAGAAGGCCAAGCGCTACCTGATGCACAGACGTCATCTCAACGAGAATGCGATCAAGTCTATCTCAGAGAAGACATGGACTGAAAACCTTGTCTCTTGTGATCTCAACATCGCTCTGGCTGGGTTGAAGCTCGGAAGGAGCAGAACGTGCGAGAAAGCTTGCAAGTCTGCGTTGCAGTTGGATCCCAAGAACGTGAAGGCCTTGTACCGCATGGGCCTTTCGCTCAAAGGTCGAGGCGAGTACCGGCAAGCTCAGGAATTCTTCAACAAGTGTCTGGCGCTCTCGCCTAACCCAGCGGCGAAGGAAGCAATACAAGCCTGTATGAGAGAAGAGAAGTGAGACTAAATCATGCTTCGTTGCTTTACTGACGTCACGGGGTAGGATGGCGTCGAAGGCTGCTTCCGACTTCGCGACCAAGGTATGGGAGGCAACGGCGGGAGGAGAGGAACTGACAAGAATGCAGATCTTCTCCAAGGGGCTCGGCTCGTTCTATCCTGGTATGTCATGGACAACCATGTGCACCCTTGTCACCAGTGAAAGCAGATGCCAAACCCGCTGAGGAAGAAGGAAAGGAGGAAGAGCCTCCAGCCTTGGGTGCGTCGCCATTGACCCCTGCGACTAGCTGACTTTGAAACAGAAGAGGACAAACAAGGGGACGAAGAGAACAAAGACGACAATTGCGAGTGCTGCCCAACAGACAGTGCTGCCCTATGATGAGAGAGGAGTATGAAAGGCTGATAAGGCGAAATACGTTCACTTGTGAATGAATTTACTCATTTCAAAGACTTCACTCTGTACCTGAGGATATCAAAAAACAGTCAGCAAAGAAGTTGAAAGTCGTCAACAAGCACTTGATTGTAGTCTGATGATGTGTCAGGGTTGAAGCCACTGTTCTTGTAGAAGGCGAGGGCGTTCTGAAACAAGTAGCGCGTCAGTCTTAGATTGTTTCTTCCTCTCTCACCGTGTTGTATCGGAAGACACAGAGCATGACTGAGTCCATCTTCATGGCTGGGGGGCGACAAGTCAGCGACGTCTCCTCCCCTCGTCTCGTTCTTCCATTGCCTGAGGCATTCGAACAAAGCAAGTCGAGCAGCAATCTGCCGATTCCTCTCCGTTGAAAATCATTTTCCACCTGGTCAGGCTGGTGATGGCAGGCGACATGAAGGCTCGTCAGCCTCACCTGGAGCTCCAGGACGTACAAGCTCGCGAAGGGAACTTGCGTCCTCTCGTCCTCCAGCACCTCAAACTGATAATGCGCGAAGGCGACTAGCCTGCCGTGCACCTGCAGGGAGTTTGAGGGTCAGGCAGCAGGGCGAGAATGAGGAGCTTACTGTCGCAATCAAGAAGCGGGAGGGAGGGCTATCAAAGGCTAGCCGCTTGTCCACGTCACTCCAACCCCAGCTAGAGCGTTCATACATCTCCTTCATATTCCTCTTGGTCAGAGCAAACAGCTCGTCCACGTCCGCCGGCTTCAACTCATCTCTTCGATATGAATGTACCACGACGCCGGCGTCCCTGCTGACCGGATGCCTAAGGACACCTACATCCCAGAGCGCGTGCTTGCCGTCGCTTATGCGGGCGGCAAAGACCCGCTCCTCTGCGCTATCTCGGTGATGGACGAGGGCAGCCTCTCCGAATGGAGCTCTCCTCGCCCTCGACACAGCAAGACCCGACTGAAAGAATCCGCCCATGCCCCTCCTCATTCGCCATTGAGCCACCACAGGGAGATTCACTAAAGCATGCGAGAGGTCGGAGAGAAAGAGAATGAAACACACGACAAACAACACAAATCCCATGATGATATGTTCTTGGTCTGATCCCCTCGCCTGATCCCCTCTTTTTCCCTCCTCCTCTCTCCTCCTCCTCTCTCTCGCCTCCTCTCTCCTCCTCCTCCTGTCTGTCTGTCTGTCTGTCTGTCTGTCTGTCTGTCTGTCTGTCTGTCTGTCTGTCTGTCTGTCTGTCTGTCTCGCCTCCTCCTCCTCAAACCTTGACGTCCCCCTCCCCCCCCGCTCCCCTGCTCCCCCAGTGCTCCTGCCTCCGGACTTAATTTCTTTTTTTTCTTTTTTCTTTTCTTTTTTCTTCTTTTTTTTTATATGAAAGTTGCCGCGATGTTGGGTACGGAACCCTAAGATGGTAGGGGTACTTGAATGGGAAACTCAGGGTGGTGGTTTCTAGGGGATTCGCTAGGGTAGTGGCAGTGGATAGGTGGGTGGGGTGGGGTGGGGTGGATATTCGGAGATGACAAGGGTCAAGGCCACTACTAAAATGAAGGACACTGGGAATGCGAGGAGAGGGGAGGGAGAGGGGAGGGAGAGGCACCTGAGGGGAGGGAGAGGGGAGGGAGAGGCACCTGAGGGGAGGGAGAGGTGAGGGAGAGGGAGTGAGGAGGGGAAGAGAGCGACGTGATGACATCGATGGAGAGAGAAGGGGAGAGGAGGGAGGAAGAGAAAGATGGGTCTGAGACTGAGAGGAAGTGAGAGGCTCACTGAGGAGCAGAGGGGATCAAGTAGGTTGAGAGTGGGAGGTTGTGGCAAGAAAAACTCGAGGAACCGAAGGGAAAGCAGACAGGAGATTATGAATGCGTTATACTGACATGGATGGCGTTGACAGATAGAGGAAGCTCCCTTCAAGTGCCATGTAACTTCGAACATCTTCAGGTTGCTCAGCTCTGAGCTTCATTGCAGGTCGCAACCATGGCTGAACTTGAACATGGTGAATGGGATTCATCTTGCTGCTCTGCCCTACAACCAAGGTACCCTCTCTCTTCACGCGTTCATGCTTCTCATTGCTGCTCGCCAAGGATCTCCTAGGGACGGCGTCATCCATGAAGCGCCTGGGGTGAAGTTTGTTCTGGTCTGCTCCTACACCTGTTGATCTTGCTGGGGGTCAGGAGCTCATTGCGGGATCGATTCCACTGCCGCACGTCCCCAATGTCGGTCTGCACGCCATGAATCAAGATGGGATGATAGGCAAGCAGTCGGAGCTTCACCTGTCACTGACCCTGACCCCTCACTTGCTTCAGCTCATTACCACGCTTTCCCCCCATCCTTGATTCACTTTCCCAACTCAGCACCGCAGCCGCCGCCCCTGGTGACCCTTTGGCTGTCCTCCTTTTGCCCATAGTGAGCATTTCTACCAGCATCCTGCAGCCATCAGCAGGCAAGTCGAAGCACAAGCAGCTGGTCCAGCTGAAGACATCGGGTACAGTCGTCTCGCGACAGACCTGCTCCTTGATCAACTTGTTTGCACTGCAGGGAGCAGGGAAGGCGATGGGGAGCAGAGCAGAAGTTCACCAAGGAGAAGGTGGGGGATAGGGCGAGGAAAGAGGCAGTAACGTCGGATCAGATGCGCGAGTTGGATGAGTTCATGAAGCTGATTGAGTTGACGTACATCCAACGGCAGCAGATCAGAGGTAAGCGCTGCTTCTCCTGCCTCTCCTGATGGCGTCAAGGTCGCGAGGTCATGGCGGAGGGATCCTACGGGCTCATCTACGAAGCCTTCTTTGACAGGTCGCCGGTTGTGGTCAAGGAAGCCTCGACCGTCTCAGGTCTGTCCTGCTGCTCCACGCGCGGAGGTCTGAGAGCTGGCAGGACCGACATTCAGCGATAAGATGCATGAGATCTTCCTGGAGCTGAATGTTCTCGTGCGCGTCAGACATCCGTACATCATCAACTTTTGGTCTCTCCTGCTCCTGCTCCTGCTCCTGCTCCTGCTCCTGCTCCTGCTCCTGCTCCTGCTCCCCCCTCGCCCCCCCTCCTCCTCGCCTCACAACTTGAGCAGGGGGACAGTGGCAGAGTTTCCGCACAGTGCAAACCAAGTCTCGCAGCCCTACGTGGGGCTCGTGTTTGAGGTCTCAAGCTCGCTCCTCCTCCTCCTCCTCCTTCTCCTTTTTCTCTCTACTCCTTCTCCTTTTTCTCTCTGCTGCTCTGGTTGCTCTCACTCTCTTGCCTCCATCAGTTGTGCTCCAACGGAAATCTGCACAACATGCTGCACACGCGCTCGAATCTGAGGTGAAGTTTCCCACTCCACTCCTCCTCCTCCTCCCCCTCCCCTCCTCCTCCCTCCTCGTCCTGCAGGTGATCGAGTGTAACAGGTTGACCACCTCCGACAAGGTCAGGATTGCAAACCAGGTGGCGCATGGCCTGCAGTATTTGCACACACGGTAGGGGCGGGAGAAATTGGAAAAGTGGGAGAGGCGGAGGGAAGATGTGATCAAGTGTGGAGAGGAGGAGGAGGAGGAGGAGGAGAAAACATCATGGGGATGCGGTTGAAATGACGTCGAGCTGCAGGAGCAGAGATGAGAATTGTGCTATCATTCACAGGAACATCACTTCGAACAACATCCTGCTGACCTCATCCTTACACGCCAAGATCGCCGACTTCGGGACAGCTCGGTGAGAAGTGAGGGGAGGGATATGAAGGAAAGAGCGATGAGAGTGAAGTAGTCGCTCTGATAGGTGTCGTAGTCGATTATGATGAGGGTATTCGTGTGGCGGTCATGTTATCGTAATCATCAGAGAGGAGAGGAGAGGAGAGGAGAGGAGAGGAGAGGAGGGGAGGGGAGAGGAGAGGAGAGGAGAGGAGGGGAGGGGAGGGGAGGGGAGGGGAGAGGAGAGGAGAGGAGAGGAGAGGAGAGGAGGGGGAGGAGCTCCTGAAATTTTCTCAGCTTAGTGATCCACGAGAGGCTCAAGACAACTTCTTAGTTGGGGACTCCTGCTTACATGGCCCCCGAGCAACTGATAGGAGAAGATCTCACCTGTGCCGGTAGGAGGCACACTAGGGAGAGAGGGAGGGAGGGAGGAAGGGAGGGAGGGAGGGAGGGAGGGAGGTAGACGAGGGAGATTTCTTCTCCTGCTGACAACACGAGCAGTGGACGTGTGGAGTCTGGCGATTGTGATGTGGGAGATGATGATGGAAGCGCTGCCTTGGGGGCCCGGCCGTCACACCATCTCCGAGATGATCAACAAGCTCATTGACAAGTCATTATCCTCCTCTCCTTGTTCTCCTCTATTCCCACCTCTCCTCTCCCTTTCTCTGACCCAAGGACAGGGGAGAGGCACTGGAGCTCTCGAGTACCGTGGAGAAGAACTTCCCGGAGGCGATGGTGGCGATAGTGCGACGATCGCTGAAGCTCAAGGTGAGGAGGAGCGACGCGACGAGAATCTGACAAGCTGCCAGCCTGAAGAAAGACCGACGATGAATGTCGTTGCAGGTGAGGAGGGGGAGAGGAGCAAGAGGAGGAGGGGGGAAGCAAGACGGGGGGGGAAGGGGAAGCAGAAGGGGGTTGTGGGACTTGGGCATGGAGAGGAGCGCTGAGTGGAGACCAGGGGAGCTGGACAGGGTATGGAAGGAGAGGAGCAGAGGGCTATAGGGTCGCTCGTGACCTTGCTAAGGGCTGTACGTCCACTTGATGCCGGAGCCAAAGTCAGGGAGCTGAAAATCTCTTTCCTCCTCTGTGATCTCTATGTCATCGGAGTAGACCTGCAGATCATTCACCTCTCCCTCCTTCCTCCCCCCTGCTCGCTTCGCCTCCTCCCTTCCACACACCTGGTAGAATTTGTTCACAAGTCGTGCGGACGGTTGTGCTTGGATCGCTCCCTCCTGTGACCAAGGTCAACATAATTTCAAGCCCTGGCCTCCTCGTCCTCCTTCTCGCTACCTCCATGCATGTCATCGCTCCTGCAGCAGCGCCATAGAGCACAGCCTCAGCTGCAAGGTTCCTGTCCTCGCAGGCCTTGGCGACGCGTATCGAGGGAACGTAATGAGGGCGAGGAAGAAGCTTGTCCATGTCCATGTCCACCTACCCCTCAGCTTCAGGACCCCACCCCTCTTCTTCAGTATCTCCACACGTACCCCGGTCCCCACCCCTCCCCTCCACCTCCTCTCCACCTCCTCTCTCTTATGTCTGCTCACGTATTCATCTTGCCAGGCGTCTGTCAATTCCAACAGTTTGTGTAGGAAGCCAGCAACGAAGGCGTCGCCGGCTCCTGTACGAGCCTTGAGCTGCGTCCCCTCAAGTCTTCTCACCTGTCGTGTCGAGCACCGGAACTTCGAACGCAGGCATCCGACCGCCATGCTTGTTGAAGGCGTAAGAGACTCCTTCCTCCCCTGCCTGCTCCCCGTCAGCCTCGCGCTCTAGCACGACGAAGACTCACCGTGATGAGCACGCAGACGCAGGAGGGAAGCAGCTTCAGGGCAGAGAACGGCTTCGTCCTCACCTCCTCTCTGCTCAATCCCAGCAACCAGCTTGCCTCCTCCTCTGTCATCTTCACTATGTGAGCCCCTTGGACATAGTCAAGGATGATCTTCTTCGCCTCATCCTCATCCTGTTCGTCCTCGTCATTCGCCTACCTCACCTCCTGCACGCCCGCTCACCTGCCTCCCCCCCCCCCTCCGCCCCCCCTTTCCCCCGCCCCTTCCCCCCCTCCCTTCCCCTCCTCTCGTCTACTTGTTTCCAGAACATTGGCCGCCAGTTCACGTCGACGACGCGGAGGATTTCGAGGGTCTCGCAAAGGTCTTTGAGCGTCATGAGCGTCTTTCTAGTCTCCTCGTACGCCAGGGATAGCGTCCCTGCCCTCCTTATCAGCAGCTCAGCGCCTCTTCCCTTGCTCACCTGTGACGACACAGTCGCTTGCATAGAACCAGGTGCCATCGAGCTCTTCCTCCTGTCCCAACCCGATCAGAAGCCAAGTGGGCGATGCGATAGCAGGAAGTCAGCGACCATCTTGTTTACCTTGAGAAAGCAGTCTGCATAGTTCTCGACATCGCCAAGTTCGAAGCCTTCAAACTGCAGCAGGAAGAAAGAATCAACTAGCAGGAAGAGAGAAGCTCAGATGGAGAAGAGAGGAGGAAGAAAAGTACAACAATTGCGATCCCAGCAGGAACAGCGTCAAGGGCTCAAAGTGAGAGGTTCAAGAGGATGTACAAGCAGGAGGGACGCAAGAAATCAGTGAAAGAAGCAGGATGGTACCAGGGAGGAGGAGGAGGGTACTAGGGAGGAGGAGAAGGCCGGTGCTGGGGAGGAGGGGGGATAGTGATCACCTTTCTATCGCCCTGCTTGTCTCGTGTGACAAAGACTTTCCTCGTCGGCTTCCCTTTCCCTGTCTGCGTCAAGCACAGCGGCACTTTGCATTCCTCAAGAGTCTGCGGAGAGTCAGCGAGCTTCTCACTCCTCCAGCTTCTCGCACTCTTCTCAGCATCTCTCCATCCTCGTCGTCTCCGATCGTTCCAATGAAGCCTGAAGGTGTTCCCAACTTGGCCAGGGCACAGGCAACGTTGGCAGGAGCTCCTCCCGCAAACTTCTGCTCGCATGGTGAGGGGAGGAGGAGGAGGAGGAGGAGGGGGAAGCGTCGTCCTCACCGTCCACTTGTCTGCTGGGTCTCCCATCTTCACCTCCGCCGACTCGGCGATGCAGTCGACGAGCATCTCGCCGATGCAGAGCACGCGAGGTACACCCATGGGCCATGGCTCCGGCGACCCTCCCACTGTTGGGTTGTCGAGGAAATCAGCCGCACTCATGTGACCGACGTCAGGCGATCCCAAGGGCTGCACACAAGGTCATGGGCATGCCATGTGCAAGGAGGAAGTGAGGTCAACGGAAGGAACGTATGTACCCAAGCAGCTGGTGTCCATTCAGGGTTGGTTTTCTTGTATTCTATTTCCATCTCTTCTTCCGTAAGCCATCGACCATCTTTCAGTATCCCTGACTTCTCTAGAGCCTGCCGGACAGCATGGTCACAAGCGCATGAGAAACGAAGGAGGACCTGTCGCAGCTCCGGACTGAGAATGTTGGGGTCTTTGCCATAGGCGTTCTCCTGGTTGGGGATGGTTGAGCGGACTGAGGCAGCAAGAGAGAGGGAATTACTCCTTTCTCACGGCCTCCTGCATTGTAGTTGGAAAACAAGGAAGACATGCTGACGGACTGCTTCTGACGAAACAATTTCAGTTCAGTCACGGCGTACCAGTCGGCAAGGACCTGTCGTTGGTTTCTGCTCCTTGACTTGACCCTGCTAGGCAGGGGCTGGACGAGAGAACACTTCTGCCAACTGTATGAAGACATGAAGGTAGCAGGAACATCTCACCTCGAGCGGCTTCATGGTCTTGCCATGGAGCCCGTGAAGGCCTGACCATGCATCTCACTCCCTCCTCTGTTCCTCCTCAACCCCCGTTGTCACTGCTCAGCCCATCTATCCCACAGGAAGTCCTCATCTCCCTTCATGGTCTTCTCCTCTCCTCCTCTTATCTTCGTATCCTCACCTTGGAAGGCTTCTCCTTCTCCTGCAAGCGCCACCATCGCCACCATCGCCACCATCGTGCGAGCTACTAGCCCCTGCATCGCCGGCCCCACCAATCCTAAATTTACTCAACTTTTTAGTCCTTCCGAGCCTGCCCCACCACTGGCAGTACTCAAAGTTTGCGCCCCCCGGTCCCCCGGGGCCGCGCCCCGGGCTGACTCGGCCCGGTCACCACCGCGGCGGTCGGGCGGCAATCATGGGCCGGGCCCGGGGCACGGTGGGGCGCGGCGTGCGGCCCGGCTGACTTGCGCACACGGCGCCGGACCTTCACGGAACCGGCCGGGCCCGGGGCCCGGGCTGACTCAGCACGGTCGTCGGAGTGAATGGGGTGGTTTTCTGGTTTAAAGGGGGGTGGAGGTACTACCATCTTAAAACTCGTTTTTATCAGCGGCCGCTTCTCTATTCCATGGAGAGAGCGAGAGTGGGATAGGTGGATGGACATGGATGGATGGAGAGAGGGAGGGGAGACAGAAGCGGGAATGGGCAGGAGAGAGAGCGTGATGAATGTGTGGATGAATCCAGGAAGAAGGTGAGAGAGAAGGTGACCTCAGAGTTGGAGCAGAGGTACAAAACTTCACGGGTGCTTCAATTTCATACTGAATGTGTAGATGTTCTGTTCTTCTGTAACCTGGCCTCTGCAGGTTCCTGCAAATGAGTTTTAGGGAGTATTGTGAAGTGTCTTCGCCATGATTACTCATTGCATGCACGGAAAGAAAGTGCTGCTGACGGAATTCCCATAAGATGAAAAGAAGAGAGCACCGGATATTTGCCTTGCTATCTGCAATATCGATGGCATTCCCAAAGTCCGTCTTCTTATCCCTGTCGTGGACAACTCAATCGCACTCTTATCCCAACATTTATTCCGCAACTTTTCAAGCATTTCAATCTTTCTGCCCAGTAGATTCCGTCAAATTTCAGAAGAAACACCCCTGGAGCAAAAATACATGGCGTCCGAAGCAAGTCAAGAAGTCCGGTGTGCACCTCTTCGCACTCTTTTTTAATGTTGACGATGATGTTGGTCAGGCGGTGTTACATTCCGTTCCTCTCTCAACAAGCACGTTTCGTCTCGCCCATTCCCCCAATCCACGAAGTTGAATACATTTCGACCACTCTCTCGACCAGCCTTCCGAGCGGGCTACGGCAGATTCTGCTCATCCGGTGCAGGTAGTGACGATGCAGCACGAGACCAGATCTTGGTTATCGTTGAGTCTCCTTCAAAAGCCAAGATCATTCAAAGTTTCCTCGACTCCCTCTACGTCGTTGAGTCGTGCATGGGTCATGTTCGCGATCTCCCCCAGAGTGCCAAGTCTGTTCCTCCTGAATTGAAAGCTCGCTTCGGGAAGGTGGTTGGTGTGGATCCTGACAACCACTTCGAGCCCCTCTACGTCACTCTTCCTGGCAAAGAGTCAGTGATCAAAAAGCTGGAGGGGATCCAGCGCAAAGCAAAGGAAGTCATCCTTGCGACCGATGAAGACAGAGAAGGGGAAGCAATCAGTTGGCATCTGCTCGAGCTGCTGAAGCCTAAAGTTTCTCACCCACGTCTCTTGTCGCTGCTTAGCTTGTTGTAGGTGCCGGTGAAGCGAGCTGTCTTCCACGAGATCACCAAGGATGCCATCACTCGCTCGTTCCAGTCGTTGCGATCCATCGATCTCAACCTTGTCCATGCACAGGAGACGCGGCGAATTCTGGATCGTCTTGCCGGGTTCACCATGTCGCCGCTGTTGTGGAAGAAGATAGCTCGCGGGTGAAGAGAAGCAGTGAGCGCTTGCCACTGACTTGTCGCAGGCTTTCTGCTGGGCGAGTACAGAGTGTGGGGATGGCGATCATAGTGCGACGAGAGCTGGAGAGACTATCGTTTGTTCCTGCTGCTTACTTCGACTTGCGAGCAAACCTCTCAGCGGTAGAAGGCAGCGATGCCAGGCACTTCAGCGCCATGGTAGTTGAGGTGGAAGGGAAGGGGAAAGTAGCAACAGGAAGGGACTTCGACGCGAAAGGGCAGCTCCACGAGAGCTCAGGGAGAGGAAAATTGATCCACCTTGACAAGGAGTCTGCAAACAGCCTCATGGAAGGACTGAAGCAGCAGGGAGCTAGCTGGAAGGTGAAGAAAGTCGAAAAGCGGGCACAGCGGCGCAAGCCTCCTCCTCCTTTCATCACCTCTACTCTGCAGCAGGAGGCCAACAGAAAGTTGTCGCTTAGCAGCAAGGAGTGCATGAGGACGGCGCAGAGGCTGTACGAGTCAGGCCTGATCACCTACATGAGGACAGACAACCCCATCCTCTCCGACTCTGCTCTTACCATCGCCATCAAGCGTGCCGCTGAGCTCTTCGGACCCGATGCTGTGCAGCCTGCAGGTGAATTCTACGCTGCCTTTCTTGCCTTTTTTTATGCTTCTTTTCGCCTCTTTTTTAATGCTTACTCAGCGTGTTTTTCTCCTCCCCCTTACCTCTGATTTTGCGTTTTCTGATCTTTTCGTTCTCCGCGCTATTTCCCTCTGACATGCCCTGAAAGATGCTGCTCGAAAGAACATCAAGAAACCCAAAGGGAGTCAAGAGGCGCACGAACCGATCCGACCGGTGAGACAGGAGCTTCTCTCCTCCTCTGAGGCACATGGCAGGCTGTCTCCGATGCAAGGGGCACCTTCCTGCTCCCCAAGGAGACTAAGCTGCAAGGAAAGGAGGCGAGGAGATCAAACGGCTGCTGGTCTGCGACTGACAACAGCTCAGGCGGAGCTCTACGAGCTGATCTTCCAAAGGACATTAGCATCTGTCATGTGCGACGCTGAACTTGACTTGACATCCGTCGACATTCTTGGACAGGTCCTTGTTCTTCCTATGTGCTCCTTGTCCTGTATGCCTATCTCACCCTCTCTCTCGCCTCCCTCCAGCCGGCTGATCGCTCGCGAGACTCTGCCATCTTCCGAGCATCAGGACGAGTGATCCGTAAGCATGGGTGGATGCTTGCATACCTCGACTCGTCCGATGAGCAACAAGTCGACAGTCAACGACTCCCCTCGCTCCTCACCAACCAGGTCTCCCAGTCCTCTCCATCTCTCGCCAACCTTGTTCTCCTCACCTCGTCGCCTCCTTTTATGCAGGAGCTGCTCTGCTCTGAGTTGAAGGTGGACGAGCATTCGACGAAGCCTCCTGCACGGTACACAGAGGCGTCGCTAGTGAAGGAGCTGGAAGAGCTAGGGGTCGGCCGGCCCTCTACCTATACTCAGATCATAGAGACGCTTAAGGATCGGGAGTATGTCACCATGGATGGCAAGGCCTTGTCCCCCACCCTCATCGCGTTCGTCGTGACGCGTCTTCTTGAAACCTACTTCCAAGACTTCGTCGATACCTCCTTCACCGCCCGGTCGCTCTCTTCCTCGCTCCAGCGCTCACCCGCTGACTCACCTTCAAGGATGGAGGAGGAGCTAGATCGGATAGCACGAGGAGAGATGAAGAAAGAAGAGTATCTCAGTCGTTACTATCTCGGTGATGACGGGCTGCGGAACAAGGTGCTCGAGGGCTCTCGTCCTCCTTGTGCTCTTGGTGTTTCATCCTACTCACTCGGGTCAGGTGGAGATCTCGGAGTCGAGGATCATTCCCGAAGAAGCTCGACAGGTCAAGCTCCCGACGCTCGAGGTGAAGAGGAGAAGCATGTCCCGCCTGTGACTTGCTGCAGCCCTATGAGGATGAGTTCCAAGTGCTTGTCGGGTCCTATGGCGCTTACGTGCAGGCGAGAAGGAAAGAGGAAGGGAAAGAAGACAGCGAAGGAGGCGAGGGCAAGGAGGAGACTCAGCACAACCTCGTGAAGGCCAATATCCCGCAGACCTTCTGTAAGGATGTGAACCAACTGACGCCCGAGAGGATCCGCAAGTGCCTGGAGACGAAGCAGGTGGCTGCAAACTGCTTCTCCTCCTCTCAGCCGCATCTCAGGGTCCATACAACGGCATCCTGATCGGTCGGGACGACGACAATGAGCCGATCCTTCTCCGTGTCGGGCCTTATGGTCTCTACCTGCAGAAGGGAGAGGGAGAGGCGGAGGGCAAGACTGCCAAGAAGGTTGCGTTGCCGCAGGACATGGATCCTCAAGGTTGGCATCCTCCTCTATGCTTGCTTCTACCTTCACATCACCTGCTCATCTGACAGGCATCTCTCTTGAAACGGCCAAAGCTTACCTCAACCTTCCCCGAGTCATCTGCGATCATCCGGAGACAGGCTCGGCTATTCAAGTTGGCATCGGGAGATACGGGACGTTTCTCCTCTACCAGGTTTGACTTTCTCCCTGTGCTGCCTGCTAACTCTCAGATGGCAGGGGAGCTATCGCTCCCTCCCAGCGACAGACGACATCTTCACCCTCGACTGCTCTCGGGCCGTCGAGATCATCAACTCTGCTGCTGTATCCCCACGTTCGACCCGTGTGATCGCTGAGCTTGGCGAGGTTCGCAGAGGGAGGAAGAGGAAGAGCGTGGAGCTGACGAGATGAGCAGTACGAGCGGCGGCGAGTGGCTGTCGTTCAGGGGAGATTCGGCCCATACATCAAGTGCGGGCTGGTCAACGCCAAACTGCCCGAACATCACAAGGACTCACCTGGTTTCAACTGCCTGCCTCACCCTCCGCATCTGACGCATGAGAAAGAGGACTGCACCTTGGAGGAGGCGATTGAGTCGATCAAGCTAAAGAGCCCGCAGAAGGGAAAGTCAACCCCCAAGAAGAAGGTCTTCACCCCTCCCCCTCCCCCCGCTTGTCTCCTTCCTCGAAACCGTTGAATCTTTCCGTCTCCTCTCTCGTCGTCTCGTCTCGTCTTTTCTCCTCTCTTCATTTTCCTCTCTCCTTCCTGCCTCACGTGAGTCCTTCAGGACTCTCCAGCTTCGAAAGGGAAGGCGGAGCAGTCAGCGAGTCCTTCCAGGAAGTCTCGCAGCTCCTACGCCATCTTCAGCGCCGAGAAGAGGCCGCAGGTTCCTCTTGCCTTCCGCCTCGACTTGAGCTGAGGCGAAGCAGCTCAAGGAGAAGGGGCTGAGCTTCGGAGAGATCTCCAAGGAGCTTGCGAGCATGTGGAGCGAGCTCTCGCAGGAGGACAAGGCCCCCTATGATGAGATGGCGCGACTGGAAAAGCTCAAGTACCAGGAGGAGTCAGAGGAGGAGAGGTGGTCTGCTGCTCCTCGAGGCTCGTCTGAGACACATGCCATCAGCAGGACGTCGACAAGTACAAAATCGAAGAAGGGAGGCAGCTCCTCTACCCGAAGCTCCGCGACCAAGAAGGCTGCGATTTCACGGCTCAAGTCCATCAACAAGACGACCAAGAAGCCTCTGTCCGCATACCTTCACTTTTGCAGTGAAAACCGTCCGCTGCTGGCCCAACAGGGGCTCAGCTTCGGGGAGATATCCAAAAAGCTCGCGGTCTGACAGGTTTGTTGGGCTTCATTGTTGTGACAGATTCATGATACAGGAAAACTGGAGGGCGGTCGATGAAGCGACCAAGCGCAAAGTAAGAAGAGCGAGGAAAAGATTTGAACTGACAAGATTTTGCAGTACGAGGACATGGTGAGGAAAGAAAAGATGGCTCTTGGACAGGACGATTCTACTTGAAAGGAGAGAGCGTTCAAAATGCAATTAGTTTGCTAGTCATTCATCAGCAAAAAATGACATTACTCAGACTTGGAAGGAATATTGATGCTCATTCTAGTTATCTAGCACAATCATAGTACAAAAGATCGTTTAGCTTCAGTCAGCATCATCAATTTGCATGCTCCACATAGACTTTCTCGATCTTATCACACTCCATTCTGTCAAGAATCTGTCCGAGCGTATGATCCAGGACAATGTCTGCCAGATTCTTCTCTCTTGGCACACTCCTGCTTCAAAACATGTCACAAACAGACTTGCCTTCGTCACCGCTTACCTTGACGACTTGGGGGATGGAGCAACAAGAGACGAAGGCAAGACGTCAGCATGCCGAGAGGTCTCCTCCTTGCTTCCTCGTCCATTCTCGAGCTTCACGGCTGGGCCTGCCCCCGTCTTGCTCACTGCGCCTCGCTTGATCTCTACCTCCAGCACCTCTGATCCGAACACTCCTTCCCTCCTCACCTTCAGCCTGACTGCCTTCCCGGCCTCTCCGGCCAGCTGCCGGCCTACCTCCTCTAGCGTCTTTCCCGCAGGCTTCTTGTCTATCTCCAGGATGACGTCACCGTGGTTGATCTTGCCGCTCAGCTCGGCTGGTCCCCCTCGCTGTATGCTGCTCACTGCGATGCTGCCCTTGCTCGTCTTGGTCACCTCAATGCCTATCCCTTCTCTCCCTCCCAGTAGCATCGCCGCCTGGTCTGAGATGCTCGTGATCATGTTGCCAAGCAGGTCCTGCCGAGGCGACGCTATCTCTGCTCCTCGAGTGCTGCTGCTGTTGGCAGGCGACCGTTGAGGCGTGCGCTTGCCGTCCTGGGCTGGGCCTGCCCCCGTCTTGCTCACTGCGCCTCGCTTGATCTCTACCTCCAGCACCTCTGATCCGAACACTCCTTCCCTCCTCACCTTCAGCCTGACTGCCTTCCCGGCCTCTCCGGCCAGCTGCCGGCCTACCTCCTCTAGCGTCTTTCCCGCAGGCTTCTTGTCTATCTCCAGGATGACGTCACCGTGGTTGATCTTGCCGCTCAGCTCGGCTGGTCCCCCTCGCTGTATGCTGCTCACTGCGATGCTGCCCTTGCTCGTCTTAGTAACGCTCACCCCTATGCCGACATGATTGTTACTTGGTGAGAGGAGGCTACTGAAGAACTTGTCGAGTTGTACAGGAGAAGTTTGAGTGGGAGTAGTTTGATTGTCTTTGCCTGTCTTCCTAGCATGCGAAGAATTTCCGCTGTGTGTATCCGGTGACTTGACAGATGTAAGCATATCACGGACGAGATGATCGAGCGACTTCTTGTCTCCTTTATCGAGTGACTTCTTGTCTCCTTTATCTTATCTATCTTCCTGCCTCTACCTCCCTCTCTTCTTCTTCCTCTACCTCCCTCTCTTCTTCTTCCTCTACCTCCCTCTCTTCTTCTTCCTGCTTCCTCTTCCTCTGTTTCTTCCGCTGTCCCGTTTTGTCATGTGAAGTGCTAAAACTGTAGCTTGAAACCGCGACGCCGGCAGACCCCAGCAACCGTTGAACCGTTGAACCCCGAACTGCCCAGCCCGCCTCAGTCTGCCGCCGTCGATCCGATGGCGCACTGCCCGGTGGGCCCGGACAGCCGCATGCGGGGGTGACAGGTGTGACTGAAAGATTCAACTTGGGAGAGCATCCCATATGTTTATATGAATCAATGACCTACGTCTACTCGCCATCATCGCTGCTAGCACTTCCGTTCTTCCTCGCTTCCTCCTCCTTGTATCGCTGCTCCACCTGCTCCACCTCTTAGTGCCTCCTCTCCCTTCGTCTTCATGCACCGCTAGGCGGATACGAGTGAATGGATTCCACGTCGTCTGCGGGTTCATCTCCCTACCAAAAGTTCAGCGACTTCCCCCCCCTCCCCCGGCGCCCCTCTCCTCCTCTTCCTCATTGATCTACCGCTCTCTTGCCGTCCGGATGTTGTCCTTCACTCTCACCTGCCACTGCTTGTAGCCCTCTGAGATGCCTGCTCGCTCCTCAGACTCGCCCGAATGATCGCATGCTCACCGCTCTCCAGCCCCTCGCCTGCGTCATCGAGCGACGCGTACACCTCCTTGGTGCTCTCGTAGAGCAGGGGGATCTGTCGAGATTCAGGGAGGAGCGGAGGAGGAGCGGAAGCACCTTGTAGCAGAGGAACCCGATGGCGGCTGACGCGATCTCGCGAGGAGGGATCTTGGGGAAGCCACCTGATCTTGAGATGAGAAGGGAGAAACCGGTGGAGCGAGAAGAGGAGGAGAGAGCAAAGTCGAGATAAAGGGGAGGGAGGACGATGCTGATTCTGATTCTGATTCTGATGATGATGATGATGATGAGGAGGAGGCAAGCGAAGGTATACCCATCGCCTCAGAAGCATCTTGGTTGTAGGTGAACTGCAGGAGGAAGTGAAGAAAGTCACTGGAGCAGGCAAAAGGGGCAGGAACAACCTTGAAGTAGAGAGCGACGAATAGAGCTAGAGGAGCGAAGAAACGCGGAGACAGCAGCGGAAGCCCCGCATTCTTTCACATGAGTTTCAGAGCTCGAGATGGTGGTGGAGATGGTGCGAGTGGAGTTCAAAGAGGTTCAGGAGGAAGAGGACAGTGAGGAGATAAGGAAGCGGAAGGGGAGGAGGAGGAGGATGAAAAGGGTGAGGGTGAGCAGGTGGAAGAGGGAGAAGTTTTGATTCACCTGTGCCCCACCAGGCCTGACGTCCTCAACCTGCCTGAACGCGAGTGAGGGGACGGACAGGGGCAGTCGAAGTTACATGGCAAGCAAGCTGATGTAGGCGACGGAAGCCAGAGCTCCTGCAAGCAAGAGAGGTGAATTTAAATTTAAGAGAGGAGCGAGTGAGCAAGTGAAGTGAGGGGAGGGGGAAGGAGGAGGGGGAGAGGTGCGTGTGTTCACCTAGCGCGAAGCTTGACGCACACCCTTGATCAACAAGAGCGAGTCCGATGCTGGGGGAGCAGGTCAAGCGGAGCCAGGAGAGGGAGCAAGAGACACCTCCCTGCGAGACCCAACGCTCCTGTGTTGACGAGGATCTGAGACTTGAGCTGCGAGATCATCATCAGTCCCTTCAATGCTTGAGCCCCCTACCCGTCCACCACCACCACCACCTCCTCCCCCATCCAGTATTTCAACCCCCTCCTCTTCCCCCATTGCTCGATTCTGCTTCTCTCAGCTCGGTCGCCTCACCTGGCTGTACTCCTCCAGCCCGATGGCTCGCGCTGTCTCGTTCACCACCACCGGCGTGTTGCCGAAGTTGCGCGCGTTCTCGACCTGAAGACTCTGATGACAAGAGCTCGAGACCCTCCCCTCCCCTCACCCGCCACGCGTCCTGCTCCTCCACGTACTCCGCTCGAGCCGGACGGATCTGAGAAGTAGGTATCAGGGAGGCTGGAAGGATGAGCCAAGAGGAGGAATGAAGTGAAGGAGAAGGAGGAGGAGAGATAGGATGGAGTAGGGAAGGAGGAGGAGGAGTGGAGAAGGAGAATGGGAGGAGGGGCAGGAGAGGAACCTCGCTGACGTCAAACCATCTCTTGATGGGCTGCCGCCATGGGCTGTAGGTCTTGCCATAGAGCGAGGGGCCGACCTGGAGTTGGAGTGAGAGGGACAGCAGAGACGCACGAGAGGAGGCAGGAAGAGAGAGGAAGAAGGAAGGGAGTGAGTGTGAGGCAGAGGAGAGGTTGAGAGGAGGGAGAGGAGGGAGAGGAGGTTGGAACTTCAAGACTTTCGCTCACTTGGTTGAGCTCGATGATGTCAACATTCCATGACATCCTTGAGTCTATCCACTGCCCTTCTCGTCATGCCCTGCCGCCGACTCCGACCCATCACCCCCCCCAACCCTCTCCCTCACCAGACCATCACCCCCCACCCCCGTCTCCCTCACCAGACAGATTGTTTTTCCTCGTCCTCCCTTTCACTCTTCCTTCCTCACTCTTTGAACCCCCAACCCGCCTTTCCTTGACTTTTTCATCACACTTTCTTCTTTCTCTCTCTTCTCCTCCTCCCTCCTCCCTGAATCTCACCTGTGTGTTCTCTACAACTGCAACCATATCTTCGTTCGCCCACTACACGCGCGTCAAGCTCCCGGAAAGCAGAGGAGGAAGAGGAAACCTTTCCAGGACAGAGAACAATGTCGCCGACCTGAGGTACGACGTAGCCCCGAGGGTCAATCTCCAGCTGAGAGATGGCTTCTGCAGCAAGCCATTATCCCGCGTGTCGTGCAGGACGAGCGCAAGTCGTCAATGGCAGCAACGGACACGCGTCATCGCACCTTGAGCTTTGAGTCGATGATGTCGGACATGTCATTCTACGAGTAGCAAGCACGTCAAGACAAGAACTATCTCTTCCAGCACTCTCACAGCGTCAGAGTCCTTCCCTCCTGTCATGCTCAGCGCGGTCGAGCATGTCAAGGTCGGTCTCCTGCAAGCGCATTTTATCATCTGCTGGCAAGGCTTCTCAAGTACCTTCGCTCCATGGTGTGAAGAGCCGGCTGCTGCTGGCACCTCCGATTCATCTGCAACATCGACGATGGCGAGAAAGCATCCGCATGGTCTACCAGGGAGAGCGAGAGCAGCAAGACCATTGCCATGCTGCTTGTGGTCCACATGAGGAACCTCGCCGCTCGTCCTTGAGAGGATCTCCTCCTTGACGAGAACATGACCGCAACTCTCCGAGTCGTCAGCCCTGCAAACTTCGTTTGTCACAACCACCTCACACAAGTCAAACATGTTCAGACGCAAAGCAAAACATTGGCGGACATGGAGCGCCAGGACAGAGGAGGGAGAAGTGTAGTACAGCAGAGCAACAGGCAATGAAGTTGGAGAAAACATTTAATGTCCGGCGAAGCGATTGGATGAGACTGAGTAGAGCTATGAGTGGGCAGGAGAGGAGAGGAGAGGAGAGGAGAGGAGAGGAGAGGAGCAGAGGGGAGGGGAGGGGAGGGGAGGAGAGGAGAGGAGATGCAGGGCGAGCAGGATCAGTCCTCAAGGGTGCATGCAACAACGGCCGCCTTGCATGGCCACCGTGTGGATTCTCGTTTATTGACTGAAAAAGAAGGGCAAACCTGGGTGGCTGTCTGGGTGGTTTCTGAATGAAGCAAGAGCGGGGATGAGGGTAAAGAACGTGTGAGGGGATGAGGGCTCAGAGGATTCAGAGACTTGGGTAAGTGGGGGATGAGGGCATGAATTTCACGTGCAGAAGGCGAAAATGAGTTTCTGGGGGGAGACCATACAAGGTTAGAGGAAGCGGAGGAGGGGGGAGGGGGAGGGGGAAGCGAGGAAGAGGGGGGAGGGAGAAATGATGCGAGGGAGGTATGGGAAGGGACAGGGAGAGAGGGGAAGGGCGGGACCGACAGGACATTTGTCCGTTCTTTCATCAAGTCTGATTGCTCAATAGCAGGAGAGTCAGAAATCTCTGACAACGAGGTAGACATCGCCATCACTCGAGCAACTGTCCGGTAGACCAATATCACCCCTCTTTCATTCCTGATTCATGAGGGCAGGAGCTCACTCAAGGATGGGGCCAAAGCATCCCTGCTCTTCAAACATGTGACCGCGATGACAGAATGTCGGGATGTAACAGGAGATGCAGGAGGAGGCAAACGAGTGGATGTTCGCTTGTCATTTCATCGGCTCCGTCAAGGTTGTCGCCCTCTAGAGTCAACAACCCCGATGACGAGTTTACCCAGGAGTCCCTCCCCCTAAGCATCTTCGTCACCTGTGGCAGTAAAGTATCCTTCAAGGTATTCGCCCCTTTGATTCACGTCCAGCTCATCAACACATTGCTGTAACCATGTCGAACAGGTCAACGGAGGCTGTTCGGTGGATCTCTCGGGATACCAGGCGCTTCCTTTCTTCGATGACATGTCAGACGAGGACTCAGAGGATGGCATGCTCATGGAAGACGAGGCCAGCGATGTCGAGGAGGAGGAGGAGGAGAAGGTAGTCCCTCCTGACAGCACGACCAAGAGGAAGCGTGAAGACAAGAAGGAGGAAAAAGAGACCCGCAAGACAGCCAAGACAACTGAAACTGCGACGGTAAAAACCAACGAAAACTCAAGCAAAGCCAGCAACCAGCAGGTGCAGAAGAGCCAACCCAACGGAGAAGCGAAAGCCAAGAACGAGGAGAAGGCGAAGGGGCAGGAGAAGGCGAAAGAATCTGAAGCCAAGAAGAACTTCATTCCGGCGCCCTCCTTCCAAGGCAGCAAGCCAGGCTACGTCTTCAAGAAGGACAAACAGGGCCTCGGATACTACCTTGACAAGAAGCCCGAGGTCAACGATGTCTCAAGGCTGTAGCGGTCTCATCAGCTTTCAGGTCTCGACGACTACTTCGGCTAAGGGAAAACAAAACAAGCAGTCGCAGGCCGACGCTTGGGCGGTTGTGATGAGAGATGGTCAGAGTAAAGTCTGATTTGAAGCAGGAGAAGAAGGTGGAGCAGATGAAGGTGCATCAGGGACCTGGAGGATTGAAGTGGAAGTAAGCCTTCTCTTGTTACTTGCCGTCCTCTGAGCTCAACTATCAAGGGACCTTGCCGTTGGGACTGGCGAAGAAATCCGCAAAGGCATGCGAGTGAGCATGCATTACAAGGGAAAGTTGAGCAAGAACGGCAAACAGTTTGACTCCTCCTTCGGACGGGGCCCCTTCACGTACGACTAGACTAACATCGCTTGATGACCTCACGGCCGTTGAAGGTTTCGATTCGGAGCTGGCGAGGTGATCAAGGGATGGGACCTTGGGTTGCAAGGGATGAAAGTGGGAGGAAAGCGCATCCTCGAGATCCCCTCCGCGCTCGGTATGCCTGCAACGCCACACCTTCTACGCATGACCATGCTTGACAGGATACGGAAAGCGAGGAGCCGGCAAAGACATCCCTCCCAACTCTGACCTGACCTTCGAGGTGCAGCTCCTCAAGTGCCAGAGGTAGTTCTGTCACGCATCGATGCAAAAGGGAGGAGAGAGAGAGAGAGAGAGAGAAGAGAGAAGGAAGAAGGAGGGGAGGTAGAAGATGGTTGATAGTCTTTTGCTGGTCAGATCTTTACATAGAAAACTGCGATAGTCTATTAAACACATGCAATACAGAGGAAACGAAGGAGAGAAAATATCACATTTGGCTCATCTGCAGTGATGGTCAGAATACTTGATATGCATCATTGGACACAAGTTATCCGCACCGTTTGACAAATGTCTGGAACGACGCAAAGAATGGTGCCTGGAGGAATCCAATCCGTCAACAATTCTGGATTCATACTTCGCAGCGATCGCTCGGGAGTTCGAAATCTCTGTGCATGAAGTTAGTCACATTCAGAGGGCGAACGGCAAACAACCAGTGCAGCATCAGCGATGCTTGTGTTTTGAATGATGGGGAATGTAGGCCCGAAGAGCAAGACTCCACTAGTACCCAACGCGTATGGGTTTTGAATCTGAATATTTGCGCTCCACAGTTGTAGCCAATCGATACGGTAATCGTGAGCAATTTTGAGCAAAGTTTCATCGGTCCTGATACAAACCTTGCACTTATTCACACGGAAGATAGTGCAAAAAACTCGCATTTGCAAATTGGGGTACGTTTGGTCCTGAAAAACCAAACAAGCCTTCATCTGTAAAGATTGCTGCCCCCTCGTCGGGGTGTAGCGAATTTCTTGTCTTGAAATCTCATAAGTGGGAGATGTACAAGCAAGAGTTCGGTCCCAGCAGACTTTGACAGCTTCTCTGCTTGAAAGGGTGGCGCCTGGTGGAAGCGGGTTGGATTGATCTACGATGGCATGCGGTTTGTACAGGCCTTGCTGGAACCCCATGTAGTCGATGGAGCTTGCAGTCGATGGAAAATCTCTTGCTTCCCAGGAGGTGAAGTTCCAAGAATAATCACATCCCACCGTCAGATCCAAATACGTTGGATTATCCATGGTACCATTGGTAACAACCGAGCCCTGCACCTGAATATTTGGCAGAACAACCTCCATCGCGAAGCATGTCAGATTGGTCTGATTGGAAGCAGAAACATTGTTGATGTAGAATGTTGACGAGTGAATCTCTCTTGCTGTGAAGCAGAAACGGTACTTCAATCCAGCCTGACTCAAATCCGGAGTGAACTTTACCCCTCTACTGAAGAAATATTGACTATATCCGGGATTCGACAGGCTATCGAAGCGTACCGAGATGAGGTTTGTGAAGACACTGGCAGTGAGAATATCATTCAGACCTCCTCTCAGATTGTCGATGTTCATGGAGTTTGGATATCCGGGATCTGAGACAAGATCTATTTGCACTGAGTCCATCCTTGGGTCTGCAGTGATGCCGATAGCATTGTTGTCCTTGAAATAAACCCTCTTATCCAGGTACTGCCCCACCCCGAGATACGTCTGTAGCTGCAATGCATTGTCCAAGTAGCAATATGAAGAGAAAGGAGGACATGCAGGCACGTAGAATGGCGGCAACTGTATGTAGTAATAGTAACAGAGTCTGTCTGACCGGACAGTGGGGGCAGCAAGGTCCGCAACCTGCACGCAAGCCATGTAGTATGGGTTGATGTAATTCTCAAAGCTGCCGTGCATAGGATGATAGATTGTGAAGTTAATCATCGTTCTATTCGTCATGTAATCGACTCGCCACATTGTGAATGACATGTTGCAAGACGTCGTTGCTGTGGTTGCGCCTGAGCCATACAGAAACTGACAGACGACAACAGAGTTGTCGAAGGCAATGGTGCCTGCTGCTGTTGCATTGGAGTCAGCGTCATAAGCTTGAACTCCTCCCACTGTCACTGTATCCCCCGCATAGATGTAGTTCTTCATGTCCACTCCTGGTGGCCCTTCCAGCGTTGGAACCATGGCAAGAGAGGGGTTCAGCAGCATCAGCAGCGTCACGAGCAGAAGTGGCGAGGGAGGACAAGTCCCTCGTCGCTCCTCCATGCTGTTCCCTCCTCTCATCTTCGCATGCTCCCTCTACCGAAGAGCCGCCTCTACCCCCCACCTTCCCTCACACAGCACCCCCTACCCCCGTTAGGACCTCACTACCCTGGAAACCCCCAGATAAATAACCCCTTTAAAAGCTCTACTACCCCCCTTCGCTGATACCCAGTGAGTCCTCTAGTCAAATTGCCGGGAAGGTCTCCGAGTCCCTCAGTGGCCTCATTGAACTCCGAGTGGGCCCGGACTCCCGGCCCGGCCTCTCCGAGCCAGCCTCAGCCACGGCAGTCCCGACGGCCGGGCCCCGGTGTTTGACAGCGACGGTTGAGATGTGAGGGGATGCGGTAACGGCCGTCGGAGAGACCCAAACAAGTGACCCTTGGAGCCAACTGACCAGTCGCGGTCACTCTCCCCGGCAGTCATTCCTGAGATCTGTAGGGGTAGTACCGGGTGGTATGAGGGTGGGAGGTGGGGTGATGAGGGGTGGTCTTCCCCACCTCGAGGAATGTCAGGAGTGTGACAGGAGGAACAAGCCGAGCAAGGGGAATGCCAAAGCACGAGGGAGGAATACACATTGAAATGTAATTTCAAAGATTATTCTAAAACTTGAACTTTCGAGATCAACAGTTCAAAATGGAAATTCCCTGAGAGAGCCCCCATCATAGCTTCAAGGCAGTAAAACAAGGTCAAGGGGTAATAAAAGGGTCATCAGGACCGGTAATTGATAACCCCCTACCCCCCTCTCTGAAATGTTTCGGATTATTCCCCCGCCCTACCCTTGAAAGCCATACAGGGTCTTCTTACTTGTGAGACTAAAAGCTAATTTTAAAATGTCAAAAGATATCCCTTTGACATTTTTCTTCTTTAATAGTATTTTTCTATTTTATAAATAACGACTAAAAATACCTTTAAACATAATAATTTGTGAAATATACCAAAAGAGATAGTTTCGAGTACGTACCTTATTTCCCCTTGTCATCCATTAGTTCCTTCTTCCTCCTACATCGTTCCCCTCGTTCGCAATTCGTTTATCCCCTCCTCCTCTCCTCTCTTCTTCCCCCCTCCCTTCTGCAATCCTCCCTTCCCGCAACTAGCTCACAAGGGATTTTCAAGGATTCGATGCACACAAAGACAGCACGCGTGATAAATGAACATGATCGAAAGGAATGCTCTATCAGCGCGTGTGTACCCTCGAATCCTAGAAGCAAGCAGTTGGTCGATGAAATCGAAGCCACCAACTTTGCATCGCTGCCGCACACTAACAGCAGCTCGAGCCTAGCACATGAGCCAAGACAAAGTTGCGATTCCTCCCAGGAGATCTCGTGCGTGATCTCCGCCTGCAAGGGTTGGCTGTCGAAGGCCCTGTCCATGGCCAGACCCGGACAGACCATCTACGTCCCTCAAGGAGTTTACACGGAGAGCTGCACGCTGTCGTTGAGCGTGGATGGTGTGAAGATCAAGCCCGAGAGGAGGAACGGGGAAGACGCGCAGGTGACGTTCGTGGTAGAAGGCAGGAGAGACTTTCTGAGGTCAAGCGGTCTGGGCTGTGCGGTGTCGGGCATCAAGTTCACTCATGTCCCTGACCAGACGGCTACCGAGAGCGAGACGGAAGACTGCAGGTCGGCGATGACAGTGGTGGGAGGAAGCTTGCAGGTAGAGGAGTGCTCGTTCGAGGAGCTGTCTTGCTACGCCATCCATGTGCGCCGGAAGTCGAAGACAAATGTCATCGCGTGTAAGTTCAGCCGATGCAAGGAGGTGGCGATTGCCTGTCAGGATGCTTCAGTTTCGCGGGTGTTCGACTGTGTGTTCGATGGCAACTTGTCCTTCAGCATCTGGTTGTCGGGTCAAGGAGGAGGAGAGTTTGTTTCCAACTTCATCAAGCATAACAACAAGTGCGCCATCGTGTGTGCCGACGAGTCGCGAGGAAACTTCAGGAACAACGTCATCACGCGGGGCAACCAGGGGGCGTTCTGGCTGCAGGACTCTTCTTCCTGCAGGCTGGAGCGCAACGTCATGTCGAAGAACAGGAAGGCAGCGGTGCAGGTCAGCGGGAGGAGCGACCCCGTGCTGATCCGAAACAAGGTAGTGGACGGGGAGGGGGGTGGGATAGTGCTGCATGACGAGGCTAGAGGAAGCTTCATCGGCAACTTCTTCGCCTACGGGACGAGAGCAGGGGTCGGAGTGATGGATGCTGCGGCTCCTCTCTTCGTGGGGAACGAGATCTCCTGTAACGATGGAGGAGGCGTGATCGTGGCTGGCCGAGGGCAGCCTGTCTTCATCAAGAACCTGGTCAAGAGGAACGGGTTCGTGGGGTGTTGCTTCAAGGAGGACTCGACTCCGCTGCTGCAGGAGAACGAAATCACTGAGAACAACGGCTTTGGTCTGCTGCTGCAGGGCAATGCCAAGGCTTGCGTGCAAGATGGGTCGATAGTCAACAACGTGCGAACAGGCGCGAGCCTGTTCGACTGCGCGGCTCTGACGCTTGCTGGCTGCTGCTTCCGCACCAACGACAAGCTCTGCCAGCGCATCGGAGTACATCTACATGACAGCAGCGGGATGCAGATGGAGAAGTGCAAGATGACGGGGCACGGCGGGAGCTGCGTGAAGATGGAGGGAAGCAGCATGTCGGCGATGAGGAGCAACGAGCTGAGCTGCTCCTCCTTCGGACTCACGATGAGCAGGAAGGCTTCGGCGAGCCTGGAGGGGAACCAGATCGTCAACTGCGGCGAGGATGGTGTCATGCTGTCTGATCAGGCGGAGATGTACGCGTGCAGGAACAGCTTCAACGACAACAGAGGCAGCGGGGTGAAGAGCGTGGGGAGCTCAGTGTGCCTGCTGCAGCACAACGTTCTGATGGGCAACGGCAGAGGCGCCTCCTTGTCCTCTCTCGGTCAGTGCATCGTGCGGGGAAACCGGATCAGCGACAACTCTGTCTGCGGGCTGCACGTGCGGGGCAGCAACGTGACGGTGATGGAGAACGCCATGTTCGGGGAGCAGGAGAGAGTCTTGAGCTTCGGAGAGAAGGCGAGGTGTGACGTCATCGGCAACGTGCTGATGCACAAGAACGGAGTCAGGATGTCGTTCCCCTCAGACCGCAGCGAGGACGTCTTCCTCCGAGACAACGCCCTCCAGTTTCCCCCCAGCGACGAGGGGAAGGTGCTCACCCTGTCCTCCCTCCCCCGCCACTTCCTCGCCCACAACGTCGCCGTCACTTCCAAGACACGCGAGCTCATTGATTGCACGCTGGACCTCATTGCATACTCCTTCTCCTCACCCTCCTCCTCCCCCTCCCCCTCCCCTCCCGTCAAACTTCAAATTCTTAATCCCGATGGCTCGAGCTGTCTTGCTGTGAGAGGTTAGAGGTCTTACAGGCTGTTTGTGCTGTCAGTGAATGCTTGTCATCCTGTTCATTCGTCTCTCTTCACTCACAAGCGATGTACATGAGGAGGTAGGCCTGGCATGCGAGAACTTCCTCCTCCTTCACCAGCACCACAGACGAATCGTCGCAGAAGAACCAGTCCCTCCCTCTCCTCACAAACGACGTGTAGTGACCTGAATCAAGCTTGCCGTTGTGTACAACCACCTACCATCTTATAAGCCTTTTCACATGTCAATCCTCGTCCTCGTCCTCGTCCTCATCTTTCGACCCTTTCTCGTCTCCATTCTCTGCTCGTCTCTTGGCCGCTTATTCTGAACGAGATCCTTCTCGTTCTCTCCCTCAAGTTCTATCTACCTCGATCCCTCCTTGCAAACGAGTTCATTTCAAGGGAACCCAAGTTCCCGGTTGCTTCTGCTCAGCTTCACTCACCGCATACAGGTGATAGACGCAGCTCTCTGTCTCCGCCTCCGCCTTCCCTGCTACAACAAAAGTCAGGGGAAACACGCAGCCAGCAGGATGAACCTTTCTCCTCCTCTTTTGCCTTCTCCTCGCTGCTGCTACTTCTCAAGTCAAAAGGAGAGAGGAAGGGGGGATGGTCGGAAAGCTGGGAGCTAGGAAGGAGCGGAAAGAGAGAGGAGGAAGAGGAGGACGAGCAGGAGATGAGAGGAGGAAGAGGAGGAACAGGCTCACCCTCTGAACACTTGCTTTGACATGTAAGGCGACATGTTGAGTCGCAGGGGAAATGTAACATGAGTATCAACTTTGAAACTCTGCTGGCCCCCTGCTCCTCCTCGTTGGGACTCAAAGCGCTTAATCTGCATGGCGACAATCTTAAAACTCCCTTCCACCTTCCTTCCCTCTTCTCTTCCCTGCTTGCCTCTCCTCCTCTCCTCCCTCCCCTCTCCTTGTCCTCTCCCCTTCACCTGGATGCACAGGCTCGGCGCAAGCTGCTCGATGGACAGCTGCTTGATTCCCGGCTGGTATCCCTTGCAGCTCTCACACCTTGAACGCGTCAGAGGCGGGCCCGTAAAGTCTCTTCCCACCTGTAGGACTGCGCGTCTAGCTGCTCCACCCTCGTGAACCACTCCAGACACTCGGACAGAGAAACAGTATCCCCTGCTCCTCCCCATCAGCCTCCCATCAGCCTCTCGCGCCCCCTCCTTCTTCTCCACACCGCTCTCGTCCGAGATCAGGTCGGCTGGTCTCTTGTCGCCCGCAGAGGAGGACGAGGAGTCGCCATGGCCCGACGAGCTGTCAGCGTCTGCACCGTTGAACATCCCCTGGACCAGGGGACAGAGGCTGCCATTCTCACTCGGCGCCTTGATCGGAGAGAGCCTGAAGAGGGCAGAGGAGGAAGTTGAGAGGCACTTCAGCGAGAAGGAGAAGCTCACGTGCGCAGCTCGAGGGAAATGTCAAGGAAAGGATCCCTGGTGATGGAGGAAGTCTTACAGCACATGCACGTCACATCCGATCGCATCCTCCCACGGAAAAGATTCTGCATCGCCCCCTGCTCCCCCTGCACACGGCAGGGTCAACAAGGAGAAAGCGCTGGGGAGAAACTCACGGTGACGTCGTTGGCGCAGGAGTTGTGAAGAGCGTCGAGGACAGAGATGAAGCACTCGTGCGCGTCTTGCTGCTCGTACCTGCGGACTCGTCAGATTGCAAGCATGTCAAGAAAGAAAAGGAGGATATGAAGGAGTGAGACAGAGGTGGTAGGGGGGCAGAGAGGAAGGGAGCTTGAGAGGCAAGGGAAAGCAGCGGACGGGAGTAGGTACCCAGCTAGGTGCTGACTTGATCGCCACATGTTGTAGAGGAACTGATGTGGAGTGTAGGCTGACTTGCCGCACTGAAAGAAGTCGTTGAGCAATCTGTCCATCTCGCAGCCCATGCACACTTGTTCCTGCATGCCGCATCACAGCTTCCTGCCCTCGCCCCAGTCCTCCTCCTGCCCCCACCTGCCGTCCTTCCCCCTCCCTCTTCTTCAAGCATCGGAAGCGGTTGTGGTAGTCGCCCAAGAAGTAATCTCTCACCCCGGGGTTGTGCACTAGCGCCTGAGACTTTCGTCAGCTCCTCCTCCTCCTCCGCCATCGCGCGCGTCATCGCCTGCAGGATGCAGTTGAGGAAGCAGGTGTTGCCCACGTTGTGAAAGCCCTTGAGCCCCGCGACCCCTTGGCTGCTGCTCGAGCTGCGAGCGTGCTCCTTGAGGAGGTCAACCTGCAGGCTCATCAGACGTGGCTCGGGTCCAAGAGGCGTGCTCGCCTCGTAGTCCGAGGGGATCCACACTCGCCGACGAGGAAGCAGCAAGTCCTGAGCTCTGCCTGTCGCTTCCTTGTGCGCGAGGTGAGAATCAGTCTTGCTCGACTCCGCCCTGTCGGCACTTGTCAGACTCGCTCGCTCGCAGCCTCCTCTCATACTGGGGCGCTCCCTCCTGCTGATCCTTGGATTTCTCGCCATTGCTACCAGAGGACTGCCACCAAGATGAGCGAGCTTCGAGGAGCAGGCAACAGACTACGAGCGCGTTGAGAATAGTTTCTCTCCTCTCTTCCAGCACAGCGTCGTAGACCTTTCACGACTCCGTCACGAACATCGTCGACAGATCCCCTCTCCCTCTTCTCACGTAGTTCTTGCAAGCAAAGCAGAAGAGCTCTCCACGTGCGACGTCAACAGCAATGTGAGCTTTGTTCGCCTCTGCGAACTCCTTCATGTGTCCGGCCTGGTAGCGGGATATCAGCGCAACAGACAACGAGGGCGGGAAGACCTCTAGGCAGCCGATGTAAACCTTGTGCAAGGAGAGAAAGAGCGTGCGGAGGGGCCCTTCATCGCCTGCGCATCATCGTATCATGCTGGGGAGAAAGAGCAGGGGAAGCGGCACATGTGAAGCATTTGGGAGGAGCGATAGAGCTCTTCTTGCTAGCTTTCTGCAACCGATACAGGTTGATCAAACGCAGAGAGGCTTCGTACGCCTGCTCAGAGTCAAACGGGCCAAGGAGCGCCAGCAGAGCTACGTCTTTCCAAGTCTCGCTCGTCATCCAGTCCTGAAGGAGGTCAGCCATCATCCCTCCTCTCCTTCTTTCACCTTGAGGTGCGCACATCCTTCTAGCCTGACCCTCGGCGGCGACCAGACGCTTGTCTGCGAGAGCTGATACTCTGACGAGCACATCAGCAGGAGCGAGGCAAAAGTGAGGGGCCACCTGCTTTGATCTGACTTGAAACGAGCAAGGGGCTGGATGACTCTGTTTTCGTCGCGCTCATCCTCTCTGATTTCTTCCTTGATCACTGGCCTGCATCCATCCCTCATCCCCATGGAACTTCTCTCATCTCCCAACTCGATCTCTCCGCAACTGCCACCATCTCCACCCGCTTCTCTTCGCCCCCTCCCCCCCCTCTCCCTCCCCCTTCCTCTCTCCTCCTTCCTCTTCAGCAAAGACTAGCACCTCCTGCCATCGAGAGCCCAAATCGAAAAAATTCAATAGAGATCGAAAAAAACCAAATCGATCCAATAGTTAAAATCAATCAATTTCAATCGATTTAAAATCGGGCACCGGCCGCCATGTCGCTGCTGGTGGCTTCGCTATTGATGTTGATGGCGGGAGAGGCGGCAGGGCATGGCGGCGGACACGTTCATGGCGAGGGAGGAGGAGGAGGAGGAGGAGGAGGAGCAGGACATTCCGCTCACTTTCTTGGAGAACACAACGAGGGTGAGCATGATCCTATCGGACGGCCATGCAGGATCGAAGTTTTTACAGCTTGGCAGGGTTGAATCAGTTTATCGGGAGCTACCCCTCACTGTCTGCCATCATCGCCACCTTCCTCATCAGCTTGAGCAGGTCGAACGTCCAGTGCGTCTGGATGCCTGTGGACGTCGCTGATGCGATATCCCCTCCCTTACAGCCTCGTGATCATGCCTCTGATGCCCCTGGTGGAGAAGGTGTGAGCACGTGCGTTGCTGTTCTTTTATGGGCTCATCCACGTTTCATGCTTCCAGCCATCTACAGGCAAGACGATCCTCAAAGTTCTGGTGCGTTCCTGCGTCTTCGTCTGCCGTATGCCTGTGACATTTGCACCAGGTCAGCTTTGCGGTCGGAGGGCTCTTGGGAGACGTGTTCTTGCACCTCATCCCTCATGCACTGGAGCATCTTTGCAGAGAGGTGATCGACTTGCTTCCTCGGGCTCGTCAGAGTTGTGAAGCTCCGCAGGCTGATTTTCACGTGTCGAGCGCGAGGCAACTCGGAATCCCTTTGCTTGCGGGTGCTTGATTCCAAGGGCTGGCGTGCAGGCCGTCAGCTGAATCGCGACCGCAGGGATGCTTGTCTTCTTCTTGGCGGACAAGTTCATCTGTGAGTTCACTGGCAAGGAGCACGAGCATTCGCACAAGAAGGTGAGTCGGACTTGCTGATGACGATGTCGATTGAGTGCTGGCAGGATGATGAGAAGAAGACACCAAAGACGTGATGCGGTCTCAACATGGTCCAGCGTTTGACGTCTGTCACCTCAGCTCCAAGACGAGAGCAGCTGCCTACCTCAATCTCATTGCAGATAGTCTGCATGTATGCAACATGCAACACGCCCTTGCTGCCTTGCCCCTCATGCTGGTGCAGAATTTCACGGATGGCCTGGCTCTGGGGATCACGTTCGTCCAAGGTGACAGGAAGAGCATCTCTGAGCTTGCTGATCATCTTGGAGCAGGCAGTGGCATCACAACAGCTGTTGCCATCTTCTTCCACGAGGTGCAGCAGATCATTCGAGGTCGACCCTGAGGTTTGCTGAAGGTCCCGCACAACTTGGCGGATTTTGCCATCTTGATCGAGAATGGTTTCACTGCCAAACAAGCTCTGCTCGCTCAGTTCTGCTCGGTGAAGCGATCTCTCTCTTGCCTTCGCGTGTGACTGTCGCAGTCGATGACTGGCGTCCTCGGCTGCTGCGCCGGTCTTGTTCTTCCACAGCAGCAGTGGATGTTCAGCTTCGTAGCTGGTGATCTGACTCGCCGCGAGGAAAGGGAGCTGACGAGGCGATCAGGCGGCTTCATCTACGTCTCCACCGTCAGCATCCTCCCGACCTTGATGGAGGACAGAGGAGCCATATCGACGGCCTATGTAGGAGCGGAGAAAGTGTGGTTGGCTGTGACGCTCTTCCTGCAGCAAGTGCTCGCCATGTGTCTGGGTGTCTACATGATGCTTCTTATCGCCGAGTAGCCTTCTCATCCAGTGCGAGGCCGCGGCGAGCAAGCAGCCGACGGCTTCGCATTGTTTTCATCCCCGCGTATGTATTATTCTACGTTCCCCCCTTTTCGCCTCTTCAGTTTTTCCCCGACTAGCGCGAGCAGTCACAGGATTGATAAAAACAGCAACGTGAACTCACTTGAGATCAACGTGGCCGGACCCACCGGCTGCCCCTGAACCACACGCGCGAAGTTTGTGATGATGCTTCCTGTGTAACCATCACGAGGAGAGGAGGAGATGTGATGATGAGGAGGAGCGTACGGTAGCAGTGCCATGTCTCCTCCGGCTCAGTGCGATCAGTAAGCTTGCGCTTCAAGGAGATCATCATCTACTCGCGCGGATGAGAGCGAGCGAGCGAGGAGGGGCGACTTGCCTCCTTCAGACGGTTTGAGATCGGCATGCCGTGCAAAATGATGACGAGCTCTGCGAGCTTGTCCTCCAGCTCTCCCCACTGCAAGGATCAGACGCAAGTGCGAGGGAGCGGAGGCGTCTACCTCCTCCAGGATGAGATCGAAGACGAACTTGGCAGCAGGGTCAACTTTCTTGGAGACAGGTCCAGTCTGCCGCACGTCAGAGGCCCCGCCATGCTCGCAGTCGTCGCACCTCGAAGGTGAAGAACCTGAACTTGCGACAGACTCGCACAAACGTGTTGCAGTCGACCTGAGCATGTCAAGACACGAGGAGCACAGGCTGCGCTCTCAACCTGCTTGTTCAAGGTCATCTCCGAGTACATCCTCAGCAGCTCTCGATGCTCCTTGTTGCTCTGGATTCTTGCCACCTGCGACACGCGCTCACCCCTCAGCTGTCGAGCATGCGAGGCGACTACCATGCCGGCGAACTCTTCGAAGTCGAGGTTGCCGTCCCCGTCTGCATCCGAGGCCACGAAGAGAGCTCGCAGCCGCTCCTCTGAGCGCTCAACCTCCTGCTTCCACTGCGAGGGCATTGAGAGGAGAGAAAGAGCGGTGAGAGGACGCACCTCCTCGATGATGAACAAGAGGAAATGGTCCACGTCGATGTGCTTCCCCGTAGCCATCTTCTCTGCTTCCAGAAGCACCTTGACCCTCATGTTTCAACCCGCCCGTTGATCCGCCCGTCCCCTCATGCTCCGCTCACCTTCGATCGAACGATGGACGAGGTCTGAGCAAAGACGTACTCGATGACTCGCAGTCCCCTTTGCAGCGGTCAGACCTTGAGGGTTGGAGGACGCGGCTACCTCGCGGCATCGACTTGGATCGAGTCGTGGGACGCGAGGAGGGGCAGCTGTCCGTTCTGCAGTCGCAGCAGACCGCACAGGAAGATGTTGAGGGCTTCGAGAGGCAGCGGCTGCCCTCCTGCACCGCCAAGTCACCTCGCGTCATCTCCTGCGGTTCTCGAGGAGACGAGCTCACCGAGGTTGAGGAACCTGCCGAAGGTTCTGATCCTCGTGCTGGAGCTGTCGTAGCTCCTCACGTTGGCTACGACGTTGACCAGCGCCTCCTCCGCCAGCCGAGGGTCTCCGAGCACCTCCAGGTGATAGTCGTACAAGAACTCCGGGAGGGTCTTGACAGGTCAAGGTCAGTCCCCTGCGTCTCTCAACCCCAGCTTGGACCTGTCGGGTCAACTTGGAGCGATCATCGATGTCGTCGTAGATGATCTTCTCCGAGTAGATCTTGGAAATGTACTCCTGCATCTGCTTCTTCCCCACCTGCTCTCCTCGGGTCAAACCCAACCGAGCAACTGCTGGCCTCTACCTGCAGGTCCGGGTTTCTGCTGAAGTCAACCATTTCAGCCTGCAGCTGGTGAGGAGAGACTCACGCAAGCATGGCAGCTGCACCTGTCGCACGATCCCCGCCCAGAACCCCGAGAAGGCGATCAGCTCTCCCTGCAGGTACTCCCTGCCCACTTTGTGCTTGCTCGGCTCCTCTCGAGCTTGCGTCTGATCTGCCGCCGCCTGCTGTACTCCATCGCTGGGCATGATCCGGCCGACACCCTCTATGCCTTCCCCGTCTTGCGTCCAGCTATCACAAGTGGGCTTCTTCTGACTTCTGGCGTACCTCACCACCTGAGCCCACGCGAGCCGGATCTTGTACCTCGCTACCGTTTCTCCGAGAAACTCTATAGTGTCTGCATCTTTCCTTATCCGCTCCTGCAGCTCATTGACCTGTATCGACAAGATGTTCTGATTTCTTTCCATCTGCTTGATCTGCATCTCTAGAAGCTGAATCTTGCTCTGAAAAGTCTGATGCATCATGTCTGCCTTTGCTAACTTCTCGTTCAAATCGTTAACTTGAAGCTGCGAAGTCTTCAGTCGATGTTCTAAGTCCTCTTGCTTTGCTTGCTTTGTCGACTCTTCCGTCGACTGATCAACAAGCGACTGCTCCACCAGACGTTCCTGTCTCGAGAACATGTCTTGAAGCTCATTCACTCGAAGGGCTTTGCAAGTCAATGTCAGCACCAAGGCACACTCGCAGTCGGCAAACCTTGTTCATGCGATGTCTGCATTGCAACTGTGAGCTGGTTTGAAACGTCAAGGACAAAGTCTCTCAGGGTCCAGATGGCGTTTGAGTACGAGCTGTGGCATCGGTCGAGAACTTCCCCGCGCTCCTGGCACTGGATGTGAACTTGTCGCTTCAATTCAGCCATGATGATGTCTAGAATCTTCATCTCCAACCCCAACGTCTTGAGCACGTCCTCAACCATCCCCTTCCGGGCCGCTTTTGAGAGGAAGGTATCGATGTCGCAACCGAACGAGGAGGAGATCTCTTGCGTGATGAGCTCCAAGCTCTCCTGCAGCATCATGGCCTCGGTTCTTGAGGGGATGGGCTTGACCCTTTGATCGTCGACGGAGAAGGAGAGCTTGCTATTGATCCTTGAGATGGCGTCGTCGAGATCTTCCGAGAGAGATCTCTTGTCTGGACTGAAGAACTTCTGAACCGAGTTGAGGACGAACTGCCTTCTGCGCTGTCGCTCGAACGGCTGCTCTTCGTTTGAAAGCTCGCTGAAAACTTCATTCATGTGAGGCTGGAGCGAGGAGGTCAGTGAGAGACGGGGCAGAGGTTGAGGATACCTTGACTTGATAGTCCAGATGCTTCGACACCACTTCATTCCAGACGTCGACAGGCAGATGGTCGTTCTCGATGATGGGAGGGGCGCTCTTCCTCCCGGACCGAACCTCACTGAGCTCAGGCGGCTTCCTCTTGGTATGTACATGCGCATGCTTTATGCTCCTCCTCTCCGAGATCTCCGGCAGCACTCGCGCTCGCTCTCTCGGCTGCTGCCGCACGTGCTTCCTCTCAGGCTTGTCTCTCCTGGGCGCCTTCGCAAGCTTGTCAAAGCTCTCAACCTCCGGCACCGGAAACGTCCAGATGGTGGAGCTCGCGATCCCCAACGTAGGAGGGTTGCCCAAGGAGCTGGGAGGAGGGCTATCCAGCTCCTCGCTGTCTGCGGGTCTGCGAGACCCCATGGGACTTCAGGGGAGGGGAAGAAGCGACGAGCTCCTTGACATGAGAACACTGGACCTGCTGCCATCACCAAGTTAGCGACCACAGCTAACATGAATGCCGTCCCGGGCTGCTTTCTGAATAGCCTGGCAGGGGGGTAGCTGAGAAGAAAGCCAACTGAAAGGAGATGCATAAGGGTCCTAGGGGAGTCTAGAGAGGAAGCAGGAGAGCAGCAGGAGAGCAGCAGGAGAGCAGCAGGAGAGCAGCAGGAGAGCAGCAGCAGGAGAGCAGCAGGAGAGCAGCAGGAGAGCAGCAGCAGGAGAGCAGCAGGAGAGCAGCAGCAGGAGAGCAGCAGGAGAGCAGCAGCAGGAGAGCAGCAGGAGAGCAGCAGGAGAGCAGCACTGAGGAGAGCAGCAGCAGGAGAGCAGCAGGAGAGCAGCAGGAGAGCAGCAGGAGAGCAGCAGCAGGAGAGCAGCAGGAGAGCAGCAGCAGGAGAGCAGCAGGAGAGCAGCAGCAGGAGAGCAGCAGGAGAGCAGCAGGAGAGCAGCAGCAGGAGAGCAGCAGGAGAGCAGCAGGAGAGCAGCAGGAGAGCAGCAGGAGAGCAGCAGGAGAGCAGCAGCAGGAGAGCAGCAGGAGAGCAGCAGGAGAGCAGCAGCAGGAGAGCAGCAGCAGGAGAGCAGCAGGAGAGCAGCAGGAGAGCAGCAGCAGGAGAGCAGCAGGAGAGCAGCAGCAGGAGAGCAGCAGGAGAGCAGCAGGAGAGCAGCAGCAGGAGAGCAGCAGCAGGACAGCAGCAGGAGAGCAGCAGGAGAGCAGCAGGAGAGCAGCAGGAGAGCAGCACTGAGGAGAGCAGCAAAAGAGCTGCGATCATGCCACAGAACTATCCCAACGCCAACCATGGTGTAGGGCCGGCTGAACTGAAATAGCTAACACGATTATTGTTGTAATTGAATTTGTGAGCTAAATAACTTGTCTGAATAGCCTGCCAGGCCCTCAGCCGGGCTGGCCGGCCCGCGGCCGGGCAGCAGGAGAGCAGCAGCGGAAAGCCAACTCAAAGGAGAAGCCTATAAGGTCCTTAGGGAGTCTAGACGCCAGCTGAACCGAAATATAGCTAACGCGATTCAAGTTTTGTTGTAATTAATGCCCGAAGCCGGGCTCGGCCCGGGTCCTCGCTTCACGGTACTGGTGCGGCAGATCCACTGAGCTTTACGATTGTTCTGCCTTGTGCTTTCCATTTATTTGTAGGCGAGGCGAGCCCGATTTTTATGCAGTTGGTGCTCGAGGGATGACGGAGCAGAACAGAGGCAGCCAAGGAGAGGAAGAGGAGAGCAGGGGGAAGAGCAGAAGAGAGCAGAGTAGAGGGTATCAGAACTGAGAGCAGAAGAGAGGGTAGAGTAGAGGGTATCAGAACTGAGAGCAGAGTAGAGGGTAGAGTAGAGGGTATCAGAACTGAGAGCAGAGTAGAGGGTATCAGAACTGAGAGCAGAGTAGAGGGTATCAGAACTGAGAGCAGAGTAGAGGGTAGAGTAGAGGGTATCAGAGCTGAGAGCAGAGTAGAGGGTAGAGTAGAGGGTATCAGGACTGAAAGAGAAGGTAGAAGAACCAAGAGAGGTCAGAAGAGAAGCACTGATCATAGAGGAAAGGAGTACAAACAAGATGAAACAATTTTCAGGCAATACTACAGATAACCAATGAATTCATTGTGAGAGCAGCAGAAACATCAGCGGATGAGCAGGTTGATCAGCAAACCTCTTCAAACTTCTTTCATTCTTCTTGGCTCCCACGCAGCATCCTTCCTTGACAAATGGTAGCCGACACTCTTCCGTCGCCCTCTCTCCCTCCCGTCTGCTCATGGGGAAGCGGGAAGTTCTCTCAGCTGCTGCTGGAGCATGACGAGTACTACTTCAGCCGGGAGAGATGCCTGATGATAGTCCATCGTCCTCTCGGAGACCCCTGCGATGGTGCGCACGGCACCGAATCTGTCTGCAGCAACCGACGGGCTTGTCGGGGAATCCTGCATATCGGCTCCAACGGACTGCTCGTGGAGTTCAGTGAGGAGGAGATGCCAGTCGTGAGAATTTCATACGCTGAGGTAACGAAGTTCGCGCCATGGCAGAGGACAGAGGAAGAAGTCGGGCTGCTGCGGGAGCTTGGCAGCGAAGGAGACATTCCATCCTCCTCCAGCACGAGGGAGGAGAGACCGCGCCCTCCTGAAGCGCGTCAGAACGGGAAGAGCATCCTGCACAAGGTCGAGAGCAGCCTCCTCAAGTCTTTCTTCCGAGTGCAGTCCTACTACGCTCCTCCCCAGCAGGACGCCAGGGGAGGAAAAGGAGGGAAACGAGAGCGAGGAAGAGGCTGCTGGGAACACATACAAGTAGAGGCGCGCGTCATCTCCACTGCCCTTGACGGATCGACTTGCCACAGCTACCGCAAGCTCCTGCCTGCTGCTCCCTTGTGCTTCTCCGTGTGGTCGCCCGAGGGTGCCAGGGGATCAGAGGAGAGCTCTGCGGTCGAGACAATCTCGCTCCTTATCGCCCTGTCGGCGATGGAAAAATCGGCGGAAAGCATCGCGATGCGGCAGGACATGATCAAGCGACACGAGATGAAGCGGCTGGAGGTGATGCCTTCTTGTCCTGGAGAAACTTTGTGCCACGGGAGATGCGTCAAGATCGAACCTCTTGTCCTCACCCCTGGCAGGTTCACTTTGACGGACAAAGCCATCTACTTTCGTGCTTTCTGTCAGAACGATGCAGAGGAGGAGGAGAGAGTGTTTCTCAGCGACGTATTCCGTGTCGCAAGGAGGAGGCATCACCTGAGCCATACAGCTATCGAGATCACCTTCAAAGGCGGAAGAGGGCGAATGCTTTTCATGTTCGGCACCTCGAGGGACTGCAGCGTTGTCTGGAAGCATCTCGCGAGCGTGCGGCCGATTCTAGCCGACGACGCGAGCGAGCTTGAGGGGATCACGAGGGCATGGCAAGAGGGAGCGATCAGCAACTACCACTACCTGATGCACCTCAACTCAATGGCCGATCGCTCTTTCAACGACATCGCTCAATACCCCGTGTTCCCCTGGGTCATCCGTGACTACGACAGTGACGAGCTCGATCTAGAGTCCGAGGAGACGTTCCGCGATCTCTCGCGTCCGATCGGAGCCCTCAACGAGGAGCGACTGGCGCGGCTCATCGACAGGTATCACACAATGGAGGACCCCAAGTATCTCTACGGCACACACTACAGCACACCTGCCTACGTCGTCTACTACCTCGTTCGATCAGCTCCTCAACACGCTCTCAGGGTGCATGGCGGGAAGTTCGACCATGCTGATCGAGCCTTCGCCAGCATCAAGGGCACATGGGAGATGTGCCTGACCAACAGCGCGGACGTGAAGGAACTTATCCCGGAGTTCTTTCAGTCTCAGGGCGACTTCCTCCTGAACCGACTGGATCTCGATCTCGGCGTCCGGCATGATGGCGAGCGTCTCCATGATGTTCAGTTGCCACCATGGGCATCTAGTCCCAAGGACTTCACGCGCAAGAATCGACAAGCGCTGGAGAGCAAGTACGTCTCAGAGCACCTCCATCATTGGATCGACTTGATCTTCGGCTTCAAGCAGCAGGGCGAAAACGCTAAGATGTCCTTCAACGTCTTCCATCCCTTGTCGTACGAGGGTGCGATCAACCTAGACGACATCAGAGTTGAGAGTGAGAGGATCGCGTGCTTGGAACAGATCTCTGAGTTTGGTCAGATTCCGAAGCAACTCTTTGCATCCCCGCACCCCAAGCGACGAGGCCCCATGCTCCGTTCGATCCCATGGAGATCTGACTCGGACCAGGAAAGTGAGAATTCACGGACATAAGGATGCTGTTCAATGAATAGATTCAATAATCTTGTACGTTGCAAATAGAAGCGCCGTCTAAGTGATGAGCTGGACGACATCAAACAAGCTGCATACCAAGATCTCGAGCTGTATCTGCACTTAGAACTCCATAGCCACACTCGTCGAACCTTCTGTGTCGTTGCTGACAGACTCTAGCAAAGCCCTGATTCAAGTCAGTAATGACGAGCAATGGATAAAGAGGGCCTACTTGAGCTTGGCATCTTGTAGTATGGATTCGTACATGCTAACAAACTTGTGACAAGTGTTGCTGTCATGCATCTTGTTCAATGTGGCCACCTAAAGGGGTTTCAAGAGAAGGTCGAGATGACAAATAGCTCTTTGTTGGCCAAGAAATTACATACCGTGATCATAGCCGATCGCTGCAGCTCGTTGTGACGCTCGACATCCTGCGGCGACGCGTTTTCTTTTGTCTTCTTGTTGAGCACCGTCTTGAGAGGATCCGCCAGCGTATCGAGCACCTTACATTGAGAACCCTTCAAAATCGACCCATGGGAAAGCAGCTTTCGGTTTGTTTTACCTCCCGCACGAAGAATGGTTCACGAACAGCCAACTTGCAGAGCATTTGGTATGCAGCTTGTTTGATGTCGTCCAGTTCATCACTCAGACGGTCCTTTCCAAAGATCAGGAACCAAATGATAGCCGTCATCACTCGCAGGATCACCTGTAAGTGATGGAGGAAAGCAGAGGTGTCAAGCTGCTCTGCACACTTATCCAGCAGAGTATCCATGGCTGCAAGTGCCTGACAAGGTCAACGGATCAGCGAAGATAAGACTGGAAGTTGCAAGATTCACCAGCTTGCGTAGTTCAGCTCCATCATCTACTTTATGTTGAAAAGGGCCTAGATTTACAGTGCGCACCTTAAGAACAGGATCAGAGAGCAATCAAACATTCGTCAGTAGCCAATACCAAGTCTTGTTTGTACACAGATTCTCCATACAGTGAAGGCAGCAACCAATCAGTCTTGAGGAGTGGGCGAATAAGGGCAGGTTTGTTGTGAGTTGCAGAATTGAGGGTGGTGAGAACGGCGCGACGGACCATGATGTGGTCATCCTACACTTAGGTCAGATCGTCATTGAGACGCGACACAACATCCCAACCTTGAGGAGAAGCAAGAAATCAGTTATGCATGTGGCAAGTTCTTGCACTGGGGCATTATCCGTGATGGTAAATTTCAATGAATGCACAGCAGTGGCTCGCGTCTCGACGCTGTCCCGCCTGCATCAAACACTTAGAAGAACCAAAGGTTTCGCACTGCAATGTACGTTATCAGTTCCTTCAGCTTGGGCAGCACCTCAGTTGGTGCGATCAGCGCAAGTTTGCCCAAGCATTCCGCCACCTGATTATGGGTATATATATTAAGAGAAGCTTCTCCAAGGACGTAAACGTTACCATGCTCCGCACACCTTCGTCATCTGAGTCGCACTGATCCATGAGGAGATTCATGACTGTAGACATGTGACCGGCAAGCGAGTCATGACCCTTCCCTATTCCTCCATCACTAGCTTTCAACGTGATGAGCTGACGAAGCGATTGCAGCAGCAGATATCGATATTCGGCTTGAGACTCAATTTGGGTCAGAATGTACGGGAGATATTTGCTGATTGCGCCCATTGCAATTGACCCAAGAGCGTATGATGCAGCCGCCTTGGTATCTTCTGATGTAGATGTAAACGAATTCATGATGACATTCTCGAGGGAGAATTGCGATAGATCGAACTCCCGGCCAATTTCACCTACGCAGTGCAACAGAAGCTGCTTCATTTGCTCAGCGCCAGAAGGATTGCCTAAGGTATTCATGAACCCTTGGAGGGTTGCAATTCTCTCGCTATCAGCAACCGCCCCACAGAGGCTACTGACGCATTGTGCAATGGAAGAAAGTGATTGCCTCGAAAGCTGATTTCCTCCATCAACAATTCCGAGAAGTTGGCCAAGCAATTCTTTGTATTTTGATCCGGACCCTGCCTGAACAAGGTTCGCAAAGAGTGACCTCAGAGAGTTTCTCGCAATGCCTTGAAGAAGAGGAGATTGTAAGAGCACGAGTACACGCGGGAGTATGTAAGAATGAATTAGATTGACGTTCTCATTTGGAGACTTCGAAACCATACAAGAGCACAGTTGCAACGCGAGGTGCGTCAGGTGAAGCTCCGCGTCCGAAACAAGAATAGTCAACTCCTTCATAACTGTCTCATAGAGGGAATCTCCTATCATTTTTCCATAAGAAGCAATCAAGGAATTGAGGGTCATCAGTGCGGCCTGCTTCAAAGCCCTGTCATTCTTGCGAAGGAAAGTGGAGCATTCCAGAATCACATCCTTGCATATGATGGAAATATCGATTTGCAGATCGCTCTTTGCAACAGTTGCAATGGCTTTCAAGGAGGTCACTCGGGTGGTCTCATTTCTCAGACGTTCTAGCAAGACAGGAAGGCATCCATTCAAGTTTGAGGGGCCGACAATATCACCGAGTGTGGCTATGATCTCACCCATCGTCAGGATAGCTGCCTCCTTGACCTCCAAGTCCTGATCTTGCGAATTCAATCTGCCGAACGCAGAGGTGTACATGTTTTGAATGAATTGGTCTTCTCCCTGCAACAGTCTCTTTCCGCCATGCTTCGCGGTTGTGAATCTACCACATACTCGTAACGCCACAGCTGAAATCTTGTAATTGCTGTCAGCTACGCTTGCAAGCACTGATGGCCCAAGATCTTTGACATGCTTTGAAAAGTCAGCACCAGGATGCTTTTCAAGAAGCAGACAAAGGAAAGTAAGGGCCTCGACCTTGAGAGAAGTCTTTGCACTCTTCTCAATTGCCTTGGCAATATCCGGAACCAAGTTTACAAGGTAGTTATTCAAGCCTCCATTTAGCACAAGGATGAGCTCTCGCAAAAGTTCGAGGCATCTTTCTTTGGTCTTGAACGATTTGTCTTTCATTTGCTTTGTGATTGCTTTGACAAGTTTGTCCACATCCAACATGGATACAACTGTATTTGGCAAATGATGGGAATCATTTCCTGATGGATGGTCTTCATCCATTGCATCAGGGTTTGCCGTACGGCCTTGCGTTTGTCGAAGTAAGTCCTTTAGGGCAGAAAAGATTTCCATCTTCACAATCTCTTCTCGTTCTCGAAATCTGATGATGAGTTGAGGGAGAACGGCCTCGTAGAGCTCTTTCAGCATTTCTGGTCTGGTGCGAATGACTGCAGCCAAGCACTTAACAGCAGCACTCCTCACTTTCCAGCTGTTGTCGTCATCCCCGCTGTAGTCGCCGTCATCAGAGAACTCGTCCTCCTCCTGCTCATCTTCTTCCATATCATCGCCATCATCCTCATCATCGGCATAATTGGGGTCATATTTGATGAACTTAAGAGAAATGTTGACGATCTTGTCTAGATGCGATCCAATTTCCTTGGGGCAACGGAGAACAAACGATTCAAATGCTTGAAGACAATTTTCGAGCATTTCTACGTCTTCTTGATGTTTTGGGCTCTCGCAGAGCTCAATCAAGAGCGGAATAATTCGTTTTAGCTCTCTTCCTAAACGATGTCCTACCGAACGAGATATTCCAGCTATAGTTTGAATGAAAGTTCGGATCTCATCAGGGCTCTTCGCTTCTCCCATGCTAACGAAGATTGTGCTGACTAAGTTTGCAAACAGCTGGTCTGGCGCACAGATAGCAAGGGACGCAACACAAATGGACACTCTTTTCCGAGTGGCAGCTATGGGAGAAGCCAGCATCGGCAAAATGCTTGTCTGCAACGCTGGAAGCTCTCTCTGCATCAGCATACCGAAGTTCTTGAGGAGGTCGTTCAAAATTTCTAAGCAGTAATGGGCAACCTCGGTTTCTCCTTGGATACCAATTTGCAGCTTTGGGGTGACCCGCTTAAGAACAGCTGGTGCCGTCTGCTGATTCACGACCCCAACAAGCGTCTTCAAGCCAATGCTGCCAATATCCCGTCTCTCCTCGTCAGTCTTGTTGATAATGTGCGTTGCAAGCTTGTCCGCGATCTCTTCTAGTTGTGGTTCTTGTACCTTCCTTGCAAGTGAAGCAATGGTTCTCACGGCTTGCTGCTTGACGTCGGTACTGGTGTCCTCCAAGTGCTTAAGAATAATGCTGACGACTCTTCTCTCAAGCTCGTTCTCAAGTTTGATTGTGTCTCTGTCCAGATCTGCTGACAAGTCGTGCATTGCCATGTACCGCTCATCTTTATCCCGTGCATTCAACTTCTCGATCAGACTTGCCATGGAGAAGCTCATCCTGCCCTCAGAAGGTTAGTATGAGAAACCACCGCCTCTTGTCTTGGTTCAATCTGCCGTAACCCTCTCCATCCCTGTCTTTTTGCTTTATTTCATTTCTTCCTTTCTCTGACTCGCAATCAAGCGTTCCTCCAGTCTTTGCTCACTCAAGTTGCTTCTTTTTCTCTTCTTTTCCCACCACCTCCTCCTGCCTCCTCCTGCCTCTCATCATCTTCGCTTTCGCGTTCATGTTCAGCTGCTCATTCTTTCACTTGTCCTGTCCTTCTGCTTCTGCTTCTGCTCCTGCTCCTGCTTCTGCTTCTGCTTCTGCTTCTGCTCCTCCCCCTTAGTGCTTGTCCTCGTTCTCTTTCTCCCTCTCTCTCCCCGCGCATCTCAACTTTGCTTGCCTGCTTCTCCTCTGTTCTGTCACACAGCCACCTGTCCCACTATTCATGCCGCCACCCCTCACAATTCCTTCTACCCTCTCTCAATATAACCCCACCTTACAAATATGCTTCAATCTTGCGAGAAAAGTACCCCTATTTCCGATCTACTACCCTACTCTACCATCGACTTGTTGTACCCCACCCCCTCTAAAATCCACCCCACCCAGGCATTTGAAGTTCTTTTTCGGAGACGTCAAGAGTATGGCGAAGAAGGGAAAGAAGGGAGGAGGCGGAGGCGGAGGAGGAGCAGGAGGCGGAGGCGGAGAAGAAGCATCCGACAAAGGTGATGAATCTGAAACTTCGTTGGTCAAGCATGCTGCAAGTTGATCTTTTCGTTCAGACAAGAAGTCCTGGCAGCCTTCGAGTGAGTATTTCCTCTTGTTATCTGAGGATATCGGCACTGTTCCGAGAGTCTACATTCTCAGCGACTGATGTTGTATGTTGTTGGAACAGGGACTGATTGGAAGACCAACGAGAATGTCGAGGCTGAAAGCAAGGTCTTCACATTCGTACATCCTGCTTTCCTGGATTGCGTCTGAAAGACCATGGGCAGATTGTGAAAACAGTGCAAGACGTACAAGAGCTGACAAAGGTCAGGCTTGTCTCGGTTTCCTCTGCACATTGATTGAGGATGTAGGATGTCGACGTTGAGGGCAAGAAGGAGTCGCTCCTCGGCCAGAATTCCTCTGCTACTTCAACCGTAGATGGCCCTACCACTGACTCCAGAGGAGAATCTGGCAAACAGCACCCGCAAGCCGTCGAGCACGCAAGGAGCGATGTGCAAGTGAATGGAGCGACCTCGGACGATGGAGAGGCAAGCTGATAGGTCGCTGAGGGGTTGAACACGGATTGACACATGTTGACAGGCACTCGAGAACAAACTTGACAACCTGAAGCAGCAGGTTGTCTTGCTACCCCTCAACATGGCTCCTTGACTTTCTTCTTTCAGTTGGTGGATCTACGTCAGTCGATCAAGGTGCAACCCACCTTCGTTTCTTGCTCGTCCACGTACATAAGTGTGCTCATTCGCGCCAACAGAACTTTGAGTCGGAGTTTGACTCGAGATTGGATGCTTGCCTGAAGCAAATTGTGAGCAAAAGGAGTAATTGAGTGAGTGGCAACCTGACAGCATATCACAGGCGGAGATGCCTGCACAGGGCGGCGAGATAGATTTGGACAATGAATGATGAAATGTCTGTCAAACAGACTGATATTTGGATGTTATGAACTGGATTTAATAAAAGTGCCACAGCCAATTCCTTGAGTGCATGTGACCATTAGTATTCGAAAGATACATGAATATTCAAGTGTTGAACGAATTGAACCATGTAAGAATGCCATTCCTGCTCCAACTGCAGAACCGAACCAACTGAACCCATGGAAACAAAACGGTAGGCACCTCCAATGTTTTGAATTTGATCGGAGACAGAAAAAAAGGATGACATCTGGTCACAATTCCTTTTTTTGTCAGCTTCCATGATATCCCACAGACGACTCTTGTATGACAATTTCCATGGTGTCATGAAGCAATGCGGTTATCAAATGCGTTTCCGCATCAATCGTTCGATGTACCCACCACATCTCCCTTCAATTTCACGAAGCTGCGTTTCCAAGTGAAACTTTCCTTAACATCATCGGGAAGAAAGCACTAGGTAAGCATCTCTCTTCTGCATGTATGAATGATCTTTAGTACCTGCAAAAATGGTGATTTGCGCTTTGCAGCAAATCACTGAAGGCCCTTCCTGTGTGGAGCGGATTGTCATGGCCAACCTAATCATCAGCGTTGCCTCCTGACTGTACCTCAAAAGGATTCATCTCCGTTGTCTGAGCCATGAGACAACTTCATCTCTGGTTTGCGAGCCATGAGACGATTGCATCAGATGTCTGTCTGTCTGCATTGACTGTCGTCAGGATCGTTCGAGGCCAAGAGGGCATTCATGATTTGATCAACAGGGAAAAATTTATTTGTACAGAACAGAAAGTTGGCAATCAAATGCTCTATTAGACGCACAATCTACAACGAGAGCATGACATGCAACGCTCCATCACCCTAAGGATTCTGCCCGCCAGATTCGGGAGCCAAGTCTTTCATATCAGGTAGGATCATCCCTGCATGGAACTGTTGCTCACTGATGGAGGAGCTGCGGCTTCCATCGCTCCTGTTGCTGGAGGAGGGCCGCCTGTTGCTTGCTCCCTCAGTCAAGTTCGGTGGATTCTGGTTTCTGTCCTGCTTGCAAGTAAGATCGCCTGTCAGTCTTTGCGGTGAAAAAGATTGAGCACCTTTTGTGAATCTTTGGCCACGTCAGAGGAAATCTGATGCACTTCATTGTCTACAAACACAAGAAGTAAGCCTCTGCAGAGGTACATGGTGTAAATCGAATCTTACCTGAATCTTGATTGCTTTCACCAGAATTCTCTGTCAAGCCCTTCGGCTCGGTTTCCATGTACAAAATCTGGCCCAGCCAATCGTCAGCGTTCAGAGGGAGTGAAATGAGATTAACATGTACCTCTGGTTCTGGGAAAAAGTCGTCGAATTTGAAGCGTTTGGGTGAGTGTTGAACCCAACTTTCTGCGTTCGAGTATTCCAAGAGCCTTCCCATAAAAGTATCCTTTTTCGAAATGTCTCAAGCTACTCGAAGGGAATCCGAAGCACTCAAAAGTGAGACTTCGTCCGATATTGCCTGGAATATTGTGAATTAAGACAAATCATGGAAGATGAAGTGATGGCAAGATCCACCTGTCTGCGCCGGTGAAGTCGGAACGGAATGAGCCGGGATACAGGCGAGGGGTATGTGCACGAAGAATGATGATAGGAGAAGCGTCCACACGGAGCAAGAGGTGGAGGGACTGGTGTAAGATGGAAGGGAGAGGGTGTGGGTGTTGGCAGGAAGGGAGTGTGGGAGGGATGGTGGAAGGAGAGCGAGGATAAATAGGGAACAGGAATCAGGGGGGGGGGGAGAAGGGGAGGACGAGTAGTTAGTGGGTTAGGGGGGGTCACACCCGTGAGGGGGATGAGGGTGGAAACGGTGGTATGATCACCACCCCGAGACCAGCAAGTATGGGGGGTATGATGGGGGTGGGGTCCTGTTCCCATGAGTGCAAGGGGTCGAGCCGTGCTGACCTTAAAATATGTTTTAGTTATAAAAGGTTTTTCTCCAAAAAAATCTGCTGGGGGTTTAGAAATTGTTTTTTAAACATGAAAATAATTGTTTTCATCATTTCAGAACTCAACGTTTCCACTGTTCATGGGATTGTAGTAAATTATAACGTCCACATATGGAGGTACAGGGAGGGACCCCTACCCCCTCCGGCAAGTACCATTCCCCGTACCCCTGTTACATGTGACGATAAACCTGCAATCACCCGGGTACTCACAACCTCACCCCTTTCGCTTCAAAGTTCATCCCTTTGTGCTCCATTCCACCCACCCCACGGAGCCATCTGCAGAACCACAACCACCAGTGCCAGGTAATTTCCATACCCCATTTTTCGCTGTACCCTGGTAAATGTGCGAAAATACCCCTAACTTTCCCAATATGACTTCTTCACTACCCTACCACCTCAATTGCAATGGACCCCACCCTCAGTGAAGAATGCTTCAATCGTCCTCAGCTACTTCGCAATGGAACCCTGCCCCACGAACTACCAATTCAGCCCCCCACCCTGGGATTGACTGGCATATGGTGGGTACTGAATCAGAAAAAAAGAAATTGCCGTGACACCTCCTTTGCTCATCCCAGCAAGAACCCATATTTATCACCCCCTCAAGAGACCGTCGGTGAGGGGGTACACAAAATGGTTTTTAAAAAATAGAAAGGTCTGGGAGCCAAACTCGTAACGTGACAGAAAGTGTGACGAAAAAAAACTTAAGAGATAGCTGGGGATCACACGTCCTGAAATGAAAACACATCTTTTCATTTTAATGAGACCTGTAAGCGGGTGAAAATATACATTTTCGAGTATATACCGGTGGTATAGATTTCCGAATAACAAAGGGGTGGTGACCCTCGAAGCTGCTGGGGACTTGTTATAAATCTTGAGATCAGAACGGTTCGAGGTCATCGACCCGACGTATAAACTATCTCATCATCTCCTTCCCGTCGCCAGCCCCAGCTGTTGCCTGCCTTGCCGTCTGCCCTCCGTCACGTTCCCTATCTCTCATCATGTTCCCCCTTGCAACACGTTTCAAGTCATCTTGCCATCTTACCTCCTTGTACCTCTCCTCCTCGCCCGACACTTAAACTCTCCACCTGGCCTGCCTGCCCTCGCTCGTCCCTCCCTCCGCCTCCCACCCCCTGCCCCGCCACCGCCATACCAGCCTCCTCCATATTCTCCTTTCCACTTTTTATGGTCTCATGGATATCTCATTCCTCTCGTTGACCTCCCTTCCGTCCACTTCTTCATTCTTCTCAGTTCCATTGATCAACGACCCCGACTGATGACCTTAGGTAGTGCACTCACCAGTCTTCAACACACTCTTGTTTCTTCAAGACTTCTTGAAGTCCGATACTGTAGTAATGGATGGTTTTTATCAGACTGCATTTGACCCTTTCGAATTGTTCTAAACACTAGTTAGTAACTAGTTTCCTTTTGCCTTCGTCTAGATAGATTGTAGGTTCTATGTGATCTGTCCCGAGACATAGTTGCTGAAAGATCTCCCATCGAGTGCTTTATTGGTCTCATTCACCTTCATATGTTTATTTACATGGATTTACAATCATCGTCACTTGAAGCATCACTGATCAATGAGGGACGTTTGAGTCATGGACAGAGCTTCCATTGGCTGAATTTCAGAATACTCGTAGTTGGCGAGCGTACTGTGAATTTCAAGGGGTGTAAGAACAAGAGGTTTCTCATAGCAGTGTACTCACGTGGTTGGAAGCGTGGATCCGTCAATCCGTTTGATTGCATTAAAGATGTCGTCGCTCTCAATACGCACTTCTCGAGCTTCTTGCCTGTGAACCACCAATCAATCATCGTTTCTGGCGCACCAGGTCTCATCGTCACAGTGCTGAGCAGAAGTAGCAAAGCGTCACTGCGAGGCAATCACCCAGACAGCTCTGTTTGCGAGATAGAGAGCTTCAGTTGTCATCACCTTCATGAAACCTTCTCAGCTTACCCCTTTCACAAGAAATCTCGTTCGAGCATGCTTCCGCCAAGTCACCCGGATGAAAGGAAATCTGCGACCCGGCTCAGAAGGAGGGTATGCCATCGAAGTGTAGTTGTTCATACAGCAGAAGGCAACAGGAGTTGAGACAAAGTGCTCGTGCCGGGGAGCTGCACTTGTAGCCGCAGGCCTGCAATAATCCAAGTCAATGGAAGGAAGGGTGGGACGTGCATGCTTGAGGAAGGAAATTAATGTCGTACCGCTCTGACTGGTTGATCCTTTACCTGATCATGGTGGTTCATTTTAGTTCCTACATATGAGATAGACCAAACTCACCATCGTGGTTTTGCCGTCGAACGTTTTCTTTCCCCAGACATGGCTTCCGTTCAAAACATCAACATATGTCTTGGCCGGCAGAAAAAAACAACAGCAGCTTGGTAGGCATAAAGCAGTCAGCCTCTTTGTCGACGCTATCATGGATTGGATACTTACAAGCCACCCCAAGCCCCATGACCCGCAACGTAGAGAGTCTCTGGATCAGTCCAGATGTCAAACAGCCCTGTAGACCATGGCATCTCCTGAATCTGCTCCCTGAGCGAAAGGAAGGTTCAGACCACAGTTTGATCGCACATCTTGTAAGTCCACATACTTTGTAGCCTCCTGCATCCCCCGCTTCTGCATCGCCTGCCGTCGTCGTTCCACGAGGAATCCATTCTTCATTGTTACCAAGGAAGATGCCTGTCTTTGCACAGAATATCTCTCAGAATGTTCTGATCGGTCTCCTGCGAAGAAGGGAATGAGGCGCAAATTAATCATCATTTCACCATTGCTACACTGTGCCTGTCGATTTTCTCGTTCAGCCGTCTCTCTTTTCTCTTACGATCTCTCATTCTCCCTTCCTCCTGTTCACGCCTGTCTTCACTCCCCCCATCCCCTCCATCACCTTCTTCTCTCCCCACTCTTCCCTCGCTCTCTTTCCCCGTTCCCCCCTCCCTCCTCTCCTCCCCCCTCTCCTCCCCCTCTCCTCCCCTCCCTTCCCCCGGGATGCAGCAGTCAGCATGGCTGTAGTGCCTTCAACTGCACTCGCCATTCCGGGCCTTCGGAAAACAAGGGGTGTATCACAGAGGGGGTGGGGTAGTTAGTGGGAGGCGGAGCGTTGCCAATGCTAGGTGGCGGGAAACCAGCAGCAAGTGCGGCGGGAGAGGGACGGAAGACAGCGTCAGGGGTAGGAGGAGGAGGAGGTCGAGCAACAGGAGGGGTAGGGGCAGGAAGAGCAGGGGTGGCGACAGGACGAACAGCTGGACGAGGTGCAGGAGCAGTAGGAGCGGGACGAACAGCGATGGGAACTGGAGCAGGCGCAGGAGCAGGAGCAGGAGCAGGAGCAGGAGCAGGAGCAGGAGCAGGAGCAGGAGCAGGAGCAGGGGGCGTCAAGAAGAAGACAGTAGAAGCGGGAAAGGGCTCAGGTCCAATGCAGCCTGGCGTAAAGAAGTTGGATGGGACCAGGAAGAGAAGTCAGGAAAACTCCAAGGTCGACGCCAAGAGAGGTGCAGATATAGACACGGGGACCGATGTTAAGGGGGAGAAGGCTGCGAACAGATCAGCCGACATGAAGTACAAGTCTCTTGTAGAGCCGTCCCGCCAACAGAGTAGGAAAGAACAGTTTCTGAAAGCGTTTGAGAGACTTCAAACGATGTCCATGGAAGAGCTCCAGGTGGAGTTCATTGTTTGCTTGCGAGCGAAGCATTACAAGGATGCTCTGATGTACTCGGAGATCATCTTGAATCAAGATCCCAACAACCCGATCATACGCCAGTTTCAACCTCTGCTCGCAAGCATTTCTGTTCAAGAAAATGAGAGGCTGGTCGACTCCACAGACTCTGACGACACGGGCGAGGAAGGAGACGGTCGGGATGAAGCTCTTGAAGGGGAGGAGCAGGAGGTCGAAGGAGGGGAGGGTGAAGGAGAGGAGGGCGCATCAAACTCTGACAGCGATGACCCCGAGACAAATTGGATGTGGTCGCCGACATGGAGAACAGACGCAGATGAGCTGAACCAGCGAGCGTAAGGGGCTCAAGAAGCCTCGGCTTGCCTTAGCATGTACACTCTTTGCTATCTACATTATCATACATCAGTCTGAATCGCAGCTTCCCGCATCTTCCATGGCTCCTCCTCCCTTGCTCGCTTCATGTGCAGGCAGGCGAGGAGCAATGCGGTTGGCTTGAGATCGGAACAAGTCCAAGACCTTCAAGGCACATGATGAGAGAAGAGAAAAGACGCCCCCGAGCTCCATCACCTGCTCGCATGTCGACGCCTCCTCCATAGTCTTGTCGTGTCTGATCCGCAGGAATCGGGGAAAGCGAAGGGCAAGGCCCCTGCCTTCAGGCCCCTCCCCCACTGCCGCCATGTGGACCGGACTGTTCCACGTTGAGCACAGCACAGCACAGCACAGCACAGCATAGCACAGCACAGCACAGCATAGCATAGCACAGCACAGCACAGCACTGGATTGACCTGGCAGTCAGCTCGGCTCCTCGGATCTCCCACACCTGCCAAGGCGTCAGGGGTGAGGGAGGAGACGATCGATCCACCTCCGAGGCCTCGAACCAAGTAGAAGGGTTTTCTCCGGTGATGTAATCTGACGCACAAGCACGTTGAGGTGCCTATAGGAGTAGCAGCAGGAAGAGACGCACAGGAGGGAGGCGACGTGACGATCTTGTCCTTGAACCGAGCTGTCGCCTCCTTGTAGAAGGCGTCGGTGAAGCCCGACATCACCTGGAGGGGATCAGGTGGACAAGAACATGCTACCCGCTCACCCGGCAGATCGACTGTAACTCTCCAGTTTCTGGGTTCTGGACGGCCATGAGCCAAGGAGAGAACCATCCTGCCTTTCGTCCGCTCCCTGCTTTACTTCAGCGCTCCTCCTTCTCGCTCCCTCATCCTCCCAGAGACTACCATTCCATGCTCCTATTGGAATCAAGTCCAGCGAGTCTGCCAAGCCCTCCACGTAGTCTTTCTTCACCTGCCCACGAGTTGTGAGGCATAGGGAGAGGAGGGCAGGAGGACCTTGAGCCAGGCGTCTGAACGCTTCCCCGGGTGATAGGGAGCATCCGCCTGCTTGACCACCAGACCTGCAAACTTGTCAGAGCAGCTCCTACTGTGAGCACAAGAACCTTCGCATTGAGCCTCCAGCGCTTCGAGCAAAACAGCGTGAGCTCCTTCAACCCTCTCCTCCTGCTTCTCCTCCTGCTTCTCCTCCTGCTTCTCCTCCTGCTTCTCCTCTGCATCATGACGGAATGGAAACAGCCGACCGCGTGCCATTTCAATATCCCTCCGCTGGGCGATGGCATCCTTGTGCAAATATTACAATTCAGAAGGGTGTGAGGAGTCAAATAGGAAGCGGGGGGGAGTGATGAACAGAACGAGATTCAAGTTGATGAACGAGGAGTAGAAGCAGGAAGAAGAAGTTCAGACAGACTTCGCTCAGAAATTCCACGAGCTTCTGCCGACGGACTCTGAGCGGCTCTCTGACTAGCGAGTCGCTTCCTAGGAAGAGCAAGTCGAACACAAAGACCTTGACGGCGACAGAAACATCAGCAGAGTCGAGCTGCAACGAGACTTAGCAACGAGACATGAGTTTGGAGGAGCCAGGCTGCTAGCCTTGCGATCTGCGGTAGCTCTTGAGCGAGTAGACAGCTGCTGGAAGGGGAGAAGAGCTGGGAGGGCCGAGTAAGATGAGGGTTAGGCGAACACGATGAGAGACCTCCTGTGTTGGTGTCCACTGCGACCATCTCGGCATCGAGGACCAGCTCTCTTCCAGCAGCAACGTGCTGACGTCATCACCGTCATGGTACAGCAACCCACGGAAATATTACCTGCATAGTTTCAACCACGTCGGGAAATGAAGCTGTGCAATCCTCGCAGTTTCTTGAGAATATCTTGACCTGTTCATTCACTGTTACCTCCCCTGTCACTACCTCTACCTCTACCATGACTGTCCCCCTCTTTTGACTCTCCTCCCTCTCGTCTTAGCTTCACTAACCGCTCCGCTCTCGGCAGAAACATGGATCATCGCTCGTTGTCCATCGTATCTTGATCAAGTATCAGGAGGACAGGGCACCGCATCTCATACTTGTATTCAGCTAGGAAGCTGCATCCCTTGCCGTATCTCTTCTCGAACTTGCCGATGGCGTCCGCCATGCCCGTTGCTACCTGTAACCGAACCCTTCACCAGAGAGACTGAGGAGGGGAAGCAGGTACCTTAGCAAGCATCGGCTTGAACGGAGTTCCTGGAGTAACCGTGCACTTCTTGACCATGTGGTCGATGCCTCCTTCCAGGAGGGCTGGGACGAGTACTGCAGGAGAAGCGTAAACGTCATCAACAGCCAAGCTGTTCATTGACGGACCATTGAGGTTCGGACACTCTGAGTAAGCAGTGGATGCAGCAGCTGCCGCGAGCTTCAGCTGCTCTTCGATGAGGACTGAGAACTTGGTAGTGCCCTTGACCGCTTTCTTCGGAGGGTTTCGCTTCGCGGTAGCCTGAGGTTCTACTTCCTCCTGCTTGATGGACTTGTCTTGCTCCAGATGGTATGCGGTCGCCAGTGCTCCCAGCACGAGCGTCGTGTTCATACCTATGCGCATGTGCTGCACAAGGAGGGTCAAGAGCGCGAGGCAACGACGAGCTCACCTGCAGGAGGGTGCGGACTATGTAGCGCGTCTCCTGTTCCCTGCAGCTGCGCAAGAGTTTGGTCATCAAGGCCTTGCGACGAGCGGAGCTTCCTGCTCCTCCTTCATTGGCGATCGCCTTGAGGGTCTTGAAGACGTCTCGAACTGTGAGGGGAGTGGGTTGGCAGATGAGCCGTTGGTTCCTGCGGAAGCTTTGAGCAACATCGCCGAGGTCTCCTAGCTGGTAACTTGAGTCAGAGGAGGAGCTCAAGTCACATGACAACCTTAGCGTAGGCCTCGTGCATTCGCGATCGACTGACTCCTGTCACCTCCGCCACAGCATCTGATATCGCTGAGTCCCCGACGTTGAGCTCAATCCCCTCGTGTGCTGGAGCGATCTTGCCGACAGCCAGGTACACCGCGGGCAGGACGTCTTCGGGTGTCAGGCAGAGGATGCTGCGGAACATGTTGCACATGGCTGTTCGTAGTTTGTACCTTCCTTTCTCGTTGTCGATGGTGGAGAAGGTTCGAGCGAGATGCAGGTACGGAGCAGGCTCTCCTCGCTTCCAACAAGCATCTTGCTCAGGATTATAATCATCTGCTAAGATCCTGGAGCTGTCAAACTTGTCTGACTGACTTCCGCTGGTACTGTCCTCTAGCTTTAACTTCTTGTCAGTCGTTTCTATCTGACTCCCGCCGGTGCTGTTGTCTAGCTTGATCCACTTGTCTGTCAGTCTCGGCTCAGAGTCTTGTGCTTCATCTGCTGCTGGACGCTCCTCGCTTTCGCTTGAATCAAGCTCGATGACTTCATTCTCATCACGCTTGGGTTCAGCCTCGCGCAGATTCCGTTTGCCCTGGTCAACAGTCTCGTTGGCTTCTTGAGATGCCGGTGTGCCTGATCCCATAAAGAACTTGAGGATGGAAGACTGCTTGCTCGGGCTCCTTGTGCTGGCTCGGCTCTCACGAGATGTTCGCTCCTTCTTCACTTTCGTAGCATTCGAACTAGCTTTACTCCTCTTAGCAGCTTCCTGCGCTTCCTCTCCTCGTCTCTTTCCTCTTCCTTTGCTGCCACCTCCACCGCCATCGCCGCCCATTGCTCGTAATGGGACAAGCAATCTGCAAGCAATTGCTTATAACAATTTGGGTTCGAGGGGGATGAGTGTTAAGTCTGGTGATGAGGCGGATCTGGCGGCGGATCGCATTCTCAGTTGTTGGGGGATGAGGGGCGCCAGTAGGCCGTCCGTCCGATCAGCCATGGCGAACGAAGGCGTGCTAGCACGGCTGATGCTGCAGCAGAACGAGGGGGGAGGGGAGGGGGAGGAGGCTGATGCCCTTCCTTGGGGGCTCGGAAGCCTCGGACAGCTTGCAGAGTCGGTGAGGGAGAGACAGGCCGAGCCTCCTCCAGTTGTATGCCATGACGCTTGCGTTGCAGCTGACCAGACCAGCGCTGGAGCTGCTGGGGGTGGGAGGAGCAAAGGAGGAGGTTCGCGATGCAGCATGGTGGAAGCAGACGCGTCCTCGACCTTACAGAGGCAACTCAGCAGACCCATCGATCCCTGAAGAAGAAGTGTGACCAGGCTGACATAGTGGTGGGTTGAGGGCTGACAGGAACGCAGACCAGGAGAATCTTAGCAGAGCAAGCGGTAGCTGCCGACAAGCAGGCGGCAGCACAGATGGCAGAATTGATCAAGCAGAAAGGTGATTGATCTCACCAGGATGAGCTACCTCCTGACGAGTTTGATGTAGAGAGAGAAGAAGCGAAGTTGTTGGAGATGATCCTGATGGTACGAGCTCTCCCGTAGCGCTCTCCACTCAAAGTTCGCGGGCAGACTCAAGACTTCGAGACCACGGAAGCAATCAAGAAGCGAACATCCTTCTTGGGGAGGCCTGCCGAGAAAGCAAGGCTCAGAATGTTGAAGTTTCAGGTGGAACTGATTTGAAGCTGGTGGATGTTGTAATGAACGTGAGCAGATCGATCGTAATGAGAGAGAGCAGCAAGCTTGCCTCTTTGCTCATCTCTACAGCGATGCTGAAGAAGAGCATCGACTCAAAGAAAACGAGTACAAGATGCATCAATCGAACAAGAAGAAGGTGGAGGGTCAAGGTTGTCTGCGGGCATGTGACTGAACAGCAGGCGTCTGATCGAGCTGCCAAGTATCGAGCTGAAGAGAAAGGAGCGCGAGCAGCAGCAGCAGCGCTCAAGGTGTGTTCGCTTGCTTGCCACGAGGAGAGCTCAGCTTGCCTTGCCTTTGCTGCTCAGGCTGGCGGGAATCAAATGAGAAGTGCGATGGAGAAAGCGCTGGAGGCATCAAAGCAGTACGCAGAGCAGGCCAGAGCGCAAGAGGATCTTGCGAGAAATGCTCGAAGACTAGAGGCGGAGGCATATGAAAAGATGCAGCAAGAAAGTGAGAAGATGAGGATCTGCCATGCTCAGGTGCCTCTGGATGCCCACAGCAGAGGCTGATCTGGTCCAACAGGTCAGAGCGAACAAGATGACAGCACGTGTAATCTACAACTACCTCTCTGGTGCTGAATCCCAACAGCTCATGGTGACCGACTCATACTCTCAGACGGAAATCGTTGATAATGAGTGGCAGGAGCTCATCAAGGAAGATTCAATGCTCGACAACTTCATCCAAGAATGGGAAAAGCGTCTGAAATCAGTTGCTTTAGCATCCTTCTAGAACTTCATTGCTGAGATTTAAACAGGTTCCAAGAGGAACTCCCGCCGCTTTCATGATTCAGGGGCAGATCGACACCTACCTCAAGCGGAAAGACATCGTTGCCATGGAGAAGCGCATGTACGTGCCATGGTACTTGCAGGTCTGCGAAGAGATAAAAATAAAGGGTAGCTGAGCTGCTGGACCAGGAGAAGAAAGACCCGAAGCATATCTTCGAGGAAGAGATCGTAAAAGGCGAGATTGACTTCAAGCATCACCCCGAGCCCCGGAAGGTTGTGTGGATAGAAGAGAAGCAGTTCGCCAAGGACGGCATCATCTGCGTCGGACGAGGGTCTGTCGGCACTCTCGCATCTCCTTCTTAAAGTTCTCTCAGGCCAGTCGGACCTCCACTAGCCTTGCGGAAGAAAGTTGTACAGACAGAAGGGGAGAACGTGAGTCCTGCTGTTGTGAAAGAGCAAGCTTGTTGAGACACTGGCAGGAACACCCGGACATTGAGCTTCCCGAAGAAAGTTGTGATATCCTGTTTGAAAAATCGATTGTGGTCCGAACAGACTTTATTGAAGAAAGTGACAACGTTGCGGGACGATACTTATCCAGGTCAGTGGAGTGAGAAAGAGACGCGAGCTCTAAAAGAGGTTGTAATCGCAGGAAGGATTTCGAGGCGAACAACAAAGACACCCTCACAGCACTTAATCACCAGGAGTTCAAACGAATATGGGGACAGGATGAGCGGCACGATGTGAGAGGAACGCAAGAAATCTGCAGCGCGAAACTTCGTCATCGCCCTGACTTTCGTTGGTGCTGCTCCTGGGTGGACAGGAATAACTTTGCCAAGTACAAGCTGCCCAACTCGTTCCTGCTCGGACCTCCTAAGAAACCCTTCGTGCACGTGAACGCTCCTGCCTTGCACAACGACGACAAGCCGGGCAGCATCAATGGGCCCGACGGTCAGCCTCGACGATTTGCAAGAATACACAAGTGGATCAAGAAGTTGGGCGAGTACGTGGAGGAGGGAGAGCTTCTGCTGGAGCTTGAGATCTACAACCATCGACTGATAGGGAAGATGAACGAGACTGGAAGATACTTGCCCGGCACTCGTTACTTCGATGATGGCGACTACAGAGACCATGAGGATCAACTGCCCAACAATTTTGTCAAGAACGACAAGGGGGAGATAGTGCAGCAAGTCAGAAGCACAGGGGAAGGCCTCTTAACGGGTCTAGTGCGCGAACCAGGCAGCAAGGTCTTGAGCTTTGACAACCTTGCCTACCTGGATCAAGGTGACGAGAATTGGAAACAAGTGCTGCTGCCCATCGACGAGTGGCCAATTGAATTCTTTTCGGCATAGCAATTTTACTTCCATGGAAAAGAATTCGAAAAGAAACAAAGAAAGCAGAGTGGTCCCTTCACCCTTACAATACAACAAGATCTAAACATGACAGAAGAGTTAATCTATGATGTGCCTCGCACCGTCGAAGGAGGCCTTTCGTTGCCTTCCAGTCAGCTGCACGTTGATCCCTGCCCCCGTTGTAGATCTGAGAATGTCCGTGGCAGGGTTGTAGGTGCGAAGCCCAGGGACAGGAGGGCCGTTCTTGGGCTGCGAAAGCCTCTCCCAGAACGGAGATCGCAGCGTCCGTGTGAGCTTGAGAGGCTGCGGGTCTACAGGTACAGCAGGGGGGAGCATGAAGCGCCTGGGGCTCTGCTCCTTGTCGACCTGATCGGTTTCCCTGTCGTTGACCTGCTGCTTCGCCTCGCGCTTGTGAGCTGGGGTGAAGGACCTGATAGGCGACGGCGGGGATAGATAGCCAATGCTCGAGATCCTCGACCGTCGCACGAGTCGGTGATGGTGCAGATCTATAGAGTCCGTGTCTCTCGTCTCCATAATCGGAGGAGGCGACGTGTTGTCTCGCAGTAGCGGCGACAGAGGTGCCCCAGCGTCCCTTTCAAACTTGGAGAGGATGTTCCGACTGCTCAGAAGGAAGGTCGATCGCCTCCGCCTTGGGGAGTCGGCTTTGCCCACAACTTCGGGATGCGTGCTGCTGCCGGACAAATTCTCCGTTGGGTCGCTAGTTCGTGAAATCCCCGAGTTCTCTTCCTCCTTGGGAGAGACGGACCCTTCAGTCACACTCTGAATGAGCAAGCTTCTTGGAATGGAGGAGAAAGAACTGTCGCGGTCTATCCCCATCCCCAAGTACCAACTGTGGTTCTGCAGCTGCGACAGAGTGATCCTGTGCTGCGGATTCTTGTGCAGCAGGCGCTGCAGCAGATCACGAAGAGACTTTGAGATCCACTTGGGATACTGCACTGGTCTTTCCAGGATAGCATTCTTGATATCCTCTGAACGAGGCCTGGGGACTTTGTTGGCTATGGAGAAAGGGTAGCTGCCTCCCACCATCACATACAGCAGAACACCACAACTCCACACATCTGCAGGAAACCCGAGGTAACCCTTTGCCCCCGAGCTCAGAATTTCCGGGGCAGTGTAGTTGAGAGTTCCAGCCTGCGTCTTGAGCAGAGCATCGGCGTCGTCCAGCATGATGGAGAGCCCGAAGTCACAGAGCCGGAGGTTCCCCTGCGTGTCTATCAACACATTCTCAAGCTTGATGTCTGGTGAACATCATGTCAGCATTGGAAATGATCGAACAATCATGTGAACCTCGATGAACTACTAGCTTCTTGTGCGCGTGCTCTACAGCAGCAATGATTTGCCGAAAATAGCTTCTTGCGAGGTCCTCGCTCAAGATTTTGACATCAGGAGTCACGACCTCGTCTTCAGCAGGGTCCAACTCGTCCTCAGGAGGCTTTGTGCCTTCCTTCAGAATGATATCATGCAAATTCCCTGTACAAAGATCCATGATGACGTAGAAGAAGTGGTCGTTCTGCAGAATCTCGTGGAGATGGATGATGTTCTTGTGGCTGATGAACCATGAGTCAGTCAAGGCCCTCGTTCGAACATCAGTACCTTAGCGAATTGAGAATCGCAAACTCTCTCGTGTATCTCATGACATCTTGGATGTCACCGATCCTACTCTTGTCGATGATCTTGATCGCCACCATTGTACCACAACACTTCCTTGTGGCTTTCTTGACCTTTCCAAAACTCCCTTGCCCTATGGTCTCATGTAGGATGTAGCCCTTTGCAAGAATCTCATGCTTATGAGGATGAGGATGATCCTCTTCCAACATGGTTCAACAAAGGCCCCAAGTGCTGATGCACAGGATTCGTGTGCGGTTATGTAGCAAACGCACGCAGGGATTTCAAAGAATCACGCATGATCTTGGGCTCCCGTTGAGTCTAGGGATCAGATCGGAGATGTTTTTGTCTGGTGAGACAACCGTCCCAGAGGCATGCCTTGTTTTCCCGGTGAAAGGTCAGCCTCTCACCCCAGAAATCCCCCAAAAATCCCCACGTCTCAAAGTGTTCCCAAATTTTCTGTCAAGACCTTTCTATAGTCGAGTGACTGCCGTTCTATTGTTTCTCGCCCAGGCTTTCAAGCTCAAGGCGTTTCCTTCCAAAGCATCACACCCGCGACAATCTTCCCCCGCCTCCCTCCTTTCGCCTTCTTGCGACTGCCGGCGCTTGCACCACAAGCCTTTCGTCTTGATCTCGATCTCTTTCTGTTGGCCTCAGTGTGCTTGGCTATCCATCTCCTGCTACTCGCGTACTCGTCTGTACATATACTGATCTTGGTGTTAACCTGACTTTTCTCTCTTCCTTGACTCTCCCCTTCCTCTCCTCGCTCTCACCGCCTCCTCCCTGCCATAAGCCCAATGCCCGACCAACACATAGTACCCCTACCATCTCATGCTCACTACCCTGCGTGTACCACCCGACAAGCTTAGTCAACCTCTGACCCTACCCCTCTTGGCAAGGCTTGTACAAACAGGACCACCTCTACCTTTAACCCACCCCCAATTTTTAGCCTAGACGGAGTGAAAAACTACCCGTGTTTGGTCTCATTACGTACCCTATAAAACCATGTAATTGATACCCCACATTGTTTTAGCTGCTGACCCTGGCAGAAATAACCCCTACCCCCTTGCCGATGCAGACCCCCTGCATGTACTTGCATGGATTTGAACCCCTACCTCCTGCGTTGATGGATCAGCCACCTATCGGTACAAGGTATACTACCCCTTCGAATGCACCCCCTTCATTGTATCTACCCTCATTTCAAAAACACTACCCCACTATCTGTGTTCATTCATTGGGAAACTACCCCGTGATATCCAATCGCTGTGAGGTCCCCCACCCACACTGATGATTCCGTACCCCACCTCCTCCGACCGTCAAAGCTGCTCCACCCCACGTCGTCCTTTCTCCACAACAAACGATATGACTACCCCATGATCATCTCCCACCCACCTTTTGGTGATAGTACCCCCATTTTCCCTGGAATATAACCCATCAAAACAATTTTTAACCCACCCCTACCCCGTCAAAGCCATGAGATGCACCTGAAGACTCTCTATTGAACCCCACCATTACTCCCTCCATCGAAGAGGGGTCATTAGCGTTGCCGTTGCATTGCGTTACCAACCGAAACCTGTTGGCACCGCCGGGGGACCGGGCAGTGGCGGCCCGGCCGGCGGCACTGAGTCACTGTCAGTGTGCTGGCGAGGCGGCCCGGCCAGGATCGGACCGCCGGAGCCTTGGAGTGACTCGGACTCAAGCCTCGGTCGCCTCACTATCACCGTGAGCGGTACAGCACTTCAATGTGCTGCAGTGCAGGTCAGTCAGCCAAGTTTCCCGGCACCCACGTTTGGCAGGCTACCGTACAAGACAATCATTTGTCAAGTATTGAATAAGTTCATTCCGATAAGGAGTTTATCACGAGTCACGTATTGTACAAATGATTGATCAATGATTTGCCAGTTGTTTGGCAACAAGCGGCTACTACACACTCATCCTGGGACGCTTCTCTTGCCCCTTATGCGCATGGTTGCCTTCGAACGAGTCCTGTCTTGGCCTTCTCGAGTCTCGAGCATGGAATTTACCATTTCTGGACCTCGAGGTGGCGATTTGCCATAATCCTTTCCCGTTGCTACCATGAACCGGGTCATGGGGAACGTCCGTAACCACTTCCATCTGTCCCATGATCGATCCGTTATCCTGACTTGTTGCCATCTTGTTGTCTCCGCTATCGTCGAGGCTAAGAGAGTGAAACAATTGACCGCCCATGACATGAATCTTGTTCATCAGTCCTTCCATCTTAAGCGTCTCTATCATAACATCGATGGGTCTGTTGACAAGTTTCAGATTGTCAAAAACCAAGGCGAATGCATTAAACCTGCAAGAAACTCCCAGATCCTTGAGTCTTGGAGTCAATCCCGTGCTGCTCTTCCCTTGTGGAGAGTTAGATGGGCTTCCTGATTTCATCACTATCTGCTGTGCTGTACGAAGGAAAACAAATCTGCGAAGCGTCGTCATTGATAGGCTGTGCATCTTGGCAGGCACGAACCCTGTTATATAGGCATCGTAACCTGCCTCATGGAGCTGCGTGTTGTTTTTGTACTTGTCACACCCGTCTTGTAAGCCAATGATCGGTCGCTTGAAGGGATCATGCATCACTGTTCTAAAGACAGCATCTAGACGGGTGCCTCCTGAAAAGCTCAAGCCCTGAAGAAGGGTCATGTCAGACACATGGATGGAATATCAATTTCAAGACAGATATCTTACAAAAGCCGGATGGTCTGACGAAGTCAGGCACTTCGTGTCAACAATTAAAGGGAATCGTTCGTGCAAATTCCTTTTGAATTCTTCGTAGGTAGTAGGTAAATCACGGCAAAAATGTGCTTCAATTTGAGCCATGTCGAGCAACATATTGTGTCCAACAATGAGCTGTTATCAATATTTGACACATGCACTCTTTGGAGAAGTGAATTACCTTTTTCGATGCAGAGATGTGGTCAATCACATGTCTGAATCCAACGGCGGCCTGAATTTGCTTTTCCTCGACCTTTTGAGCCAAACTTGAAATGGACTCCATGATCTTGGCCTTTGTAGTGCCCAAACTTGAAGTTCTCTCATTCTTGTGCAACTTGATGGAAACTTCTCGTTCCACCTTGTACAGTCACGTCACAATGCCGCGCAGAGCAATATACTCAAGCTCACTGTTATGTTCTCCTTCTTAAAGCAGTCATCAAAGGTTTCCGAAAGGTCCCGATGTATCAGCATTCGGCGGTAACTGTCACATTGTGGAAGCATCAAAATACTCCGAGTCTCATCAGCTAGAAACTCTGCTATGGTGGCCCGAATGGTTGCTACGAACTCTGTCTCCTTACTAGAGATGCCTCTGCGCACGAATTCCTCCTGCAATGAAGTTTCAGACAAGATTTGTAGCTTCGCAGAGCTGACCTCTTGCTTATTCAAGTAGGAGATTCCGGATTTGATCAGTTTGTTGAAATCCATGCAGTTCGACGAGAGAAACGACATACACTTTGCCTGGCAAAGAAACCTTCGATCAAGGCCCTTGAATTCCCGAGGGAAGGTGTAGAAGTTGTAAGGAGTCGCAATGAAGCTTCGCTTCTGTGCATTCCATGTGAACACGCATATGCCAACCTGTACGGATGTTGATGTTTGTAGCCACGAAAAGAGAAATAAAACCTGCACTACCAAAAATGTTGTAGAGGCCTTGATCTTTTCGTATCTTGACTGCAGCTCTTCTTCTGCTGTCATGCCAGCATACTTGGTCATTCCAGCGCCAACTGATTGAAGGGTTCCAACTACCGTGCACATTTAGTCAGACGGCCCGTGGGATGGACACAGGCCTTACCTGCAGTTGCTGGTGCTTCATCAAGGCCAGTGAACTCGCAATCGATTGCAAGGAAATCACACTCATCGATCAACGGCTTGATTTCTCTCAGCACCTCCTCAAAGTTTTCTGTTGTGACGTCCATCGAGTTGCTTGTGAAAAATGAAATCCCCTCTAGTCCTGTCGATGATCAAGCCTCCTATGGCCAAGTATGCTGATCTCTTTTCGGCTTCTCCACTGACAACTTCGCTTCAATGTCTCTTCTCTGAGCGTCTCTTCTTCACTGTCTCCTCCTCCTCTCCCTGCTCCCTCCATGCCGCAACTTCCCGCTCTCCTCCCTTCAACATATCAGCACAAACCTCTGCCACAGCCGGATTCCTGAGAGGGTTCTCTTCATCTGATTTTCTACAAATTAGTGAACTCCAGTCTATTGATTTCAAGTTGTAAATTGAAGTTTAAGAAATGTCGTTATTTGTCAGTAAATAGTCAAAAATTGTGAAAGGACCGAATTAGAGTTCGGGTCCCGAGCCCCTACCCCGTTTCTGCCCTACAATACTACCCACCCCTTTGTGCATCGAGCGGCCCCACCTTCGACCCCTGAACTCCACACCCTACCCCTCAAGTTCAACATTTCATATTATGACCATGGACTTTTTCACCCCTACCACCATATGTATATCAAAATGACCCACCATTTTATATCCAGATGAGTGAAATGAATTTTCCCACCCCTCCATAATATTCAAGACCCCTCTATTTTCTAGCTGATCCCACCACCATTCATCCACCCCACACAACGACAGGTACCGGTACTTTTCATAGAAGTTTCTAGGGGTACCACAAACTGTCATGGTAAAGAGGGTGATGAGGATGAGTATGCGGGTGATGAAGATATCCACCCCTCCTTGTCAGCCTGAAAGTACCCCACCAAGCATCCTAGGAAAAGAGAGAATTCTAGATACCCCCAACCCCATTTTTAAAAGCCGCACCCCATCACATTTGCAATGTACCCCAGTACTATTTAATGACCCCTGTGATTGTATATAAAAAAGGACCGGTTATTGTTTAGGAATATAGCGCCTTTCATGTACCCCTACCCCTCCAGATATTTCAACACCCCCGTTGTAGATGACCCACCCATCAAATGTTCCAAAATACTCGAAGCTCTCCCTCAATGGCGGGAGAAGGGAGTAGTGCAGGGAGCAGAGAGGAGGAGGAGGAGGTTAAATGCATGATTCATGCAGAGTAAGTAGAAGTACAAGTGAGGCGTGGATGACAAGTGCTTTATGTCTTCTTCTCTCGGTCAAACACTGCCTGATATCCCATGAAAAGTAGTTCAATCTTTCTTGAAATATGTCTCCATTCTTCAACTTATAGCCTATGGCTTCAAGTTTTATTTGCGTTTATCCCCCTGTTCGCAACATCTTCAGCTTGCCCTGACACCCTGCACTTGTCTTTGGATCGTGCCTGCCTGGTTATCCAACGATTTCCTGCACTTTTCTGCTTGCTGTATTCCTTATTCACTTTTCTGGGTCGCTGTTCCCCTTGAAGGATAGACGATTATGTATCCTGTGATGTTTTCTAGAATTTCATATGCATCGTGTGTTGTGGTTTCCTACCTGCTTGCTTCGTCCCAATCTACTTGAAAGGGCGACCGGGGTGAAATGGCAGACAGCTTTCGAAGAAAAAACTAACTATCGCTTCATCAGATCTTTCTTCCTCTCAGGAAGCCAAGATGAGCGACGGAGCAGAAAACGAAGCATGGCATGACTGCAGGCAGGATGCAGACGTCGAGGACGTTCAGTTCAATTTAGAATGTGACGAGTCGAGCGCTGGCAATGAAGCGCAGGATGCAAGGAGCAACACAGGTGCCTCGAGACAAGATTCATCGAATCCAGTCCAGCATGATCGATATGTGAGATTGAGCTATGAACCCCCCACCCTCGTGATTCCCTCTGCAGGACCGGGAGGTTCCAGCAGCAAGCACTGTAGACAACAGGTCGGCCATGGCCTGTTGCAGGCTGATCTTAAGTTGGATGCAGTTGGACTCAATCCCAGCAGCACGGCAATCCCTTCGCTAACATGCAGACTTTTCAATTCCATGGATTCCCTGGTGAGAGCTTGTCGCTGCTGCCCTTGCTGGCATGCTCAACGTGTTGCGGCTTCAGGGTTTCATGGTGGGGTTGGAATGATGCAGCATGGAGGAAACTTCACGACAAGCACGGGAGTCGGAGCACATGGGTCAGTTCTGTTTGCTTTCGCACTGCAGCTGACCGTGTTTGCTGTGAAGGATGATAATCGACATACCGATGGATCAGAGCATCCCTGACATCTCTGTTGGAGTACTAGGTGGGGGGAGGAGGAGGAGGAGGAGGAGGCTGAGTGACAGACTTTCCTGCAGGAGTTCCTGTTTCCGTAAGGATGGACTCGCTCGGTAGTTTGTACTATCCTCGCTCGATCCTCTTGACTGAGTGTTGTCGTTTGCTCGCTGTAGATCTGTTCGCAGGGGATTCAGAAAATTTCTTCAACAACTTCGATCCCCTGCTGCAGGTTGAGCTTTTTGTCTCACAGCTTCATTCGTGCTGACGGCGGTGATAGGCGATGCAGGCAAGCTTCAACCTGTCTCAAGGATATAAGCCCAAGGTCTTCATTACCTCCACCCTTTCCACACTCTTGACTAGGTTGTGGGCCAGGCAAGTGCGCGAGCTCTGGAGTTTGTCCCAGCCATCAGACTCGAGAAGGGCGAGACGATTGAGTGTCCGATCTGTGCCGACGTGCTGAGGTCTAATGGCAGAGGAGCCTGAGGTTGTCTGAGGTTGTCTGCGGTCAGGGACGGGGATTGGGGGGCTCGCATGCCATGTGGGCATTACTTCTCACTTGAGGAGCTTGCCAAGGTCTCTTGCTGTTGCTCTGCTGCCCCATAAGGACTGAATGCTGGCCAGTGGCTAGCTGTGAATAACACATGCCCTGTCTGTCGGTTCGAGCTCCCGTCGACCGATGAGGAGTACAACAGGGTGAGCGACCGCGACTTTGTACAGGACTTCGCTAAGGGCAAGTTGACAGAACAAGAAACTTTCATATGAGGACTTGAGAAATTCTTTTGAGAACATCTGCAAGGTGAGCAGCAGGACTGATTCTCTCTAGCACTTGAGTGACGTCGCTGGTAGGCGCCCAATGACATAATGGCGACAAGAATCAATAGTGCGAGACAAGTTTTCCTAGGTAGGAAGTGATTGTAATCCGGCGGTGGCAGCACTTCTGTAACGATGCAACTACAGACGGAGTTCTGTCTGCAGCTCTGGATGAGGTGCACGCCGATATGGGGGAGGAGAATGTACATAGATGTGAGTGAAATGATCACACAGGGAGGGAGGTGATAGAAAGTAGCAGGTGAAGACTTGGGGGCCAAGGAGTCGAAGTCTTGTTGTAAATGCTTTAACGTAGATTCTGAAGAGATTGAGGTAAGCCTTGATGCTTCGAGTCGGTCGGTCGGGTCGGTGAAAGTCAGCAGGAGGAGCTGCAACAGCTGGCAGATCATTTCTTATTCGAGCAGGTCTACCATGGACTCCCTTCCCCCTGCAATTACCTTACCCTGCCCCTCGCCCCTTGCCATAAGAATATACTCACTTGTTGTGGACCAGGTGCAGCAGCGGCAAAGGATGGAAGTTATGTTAGACTTAGACTAGAGTTGGTAGAGAAACCACGACAACAACAACTTCTGCTTTCATTCTTGATAGTCTAAACACTGCAAATTCTCACGCTGGCAATCAGCTGCCAACATGCTACAGGCCAGGAGGACGAGACATCCAGCCTGCAATTAGCGTCACCTCAGAGGAGCAAGTGAGACCTTGTTCGTTACCGGACGAGGAGGAGACGCCTGAGGTAGTCAGGGGCTCTCCCAAGAAGTCGCACTGGCTGTTGGCCGGAGCTGAGCTCAAGCTTGCCGAGTGGGACGAGTTCGACGACCACGTGTGCATCAAGCAAGAATCGTCCTCGCCCCCCAGCAGCGACCCAGCAGGAACTCCTCGTATCTGACGCAACGTCACCCTCTAAAACCTGGTCGATCACTTCTCACCTTTCCCAGCTCGGACTCCAGCTCGGCCGTCCGCAGCCTCAGGTTCCCTGACACAGCGTCACGCTGACCACAGCAAGTCCTCGTGTATCGTCTGTCACCTAACTCCTCGTCCCGCCGCTGCAGCTGCGTCGCCAGCTCCCCCCTCTCCTTGATCAACGCCATGCTGAACTGCCGGAGGTGCAGAACTTCCTCTTGCAGCATGTGAATCTGTAGCCGGCACTCCGAGATGTCAAAGTGAATGCCCTCGGGCACGCTCCCACCGTTAGGACGCAGCGTGGGCTGCATCATCTTGTGCTCCGAGGAAGGGCCGGCCACAGACGAGTCAGCGTGAGGCCTCACCATTCGGCTCGAACTGCCGGACATCTGCTTGCAGTCATCGAAATCCAGCGACTCGGCCTCGTCCGACATCATCTTGTGGAGCATCTCCCACACGTCCTGCTCCGCTCCCCCTGCTGGCTCCTTGTAGTCGCCAGGGAGGATGCACATGTCCTCCAGCTCTAGCGTGTCATCTTGCTGCAGGTCGTTGAGGCTCGAGGAAGGAGCAGCAGCGCTGCCTGACGGCTTCCCATCGATGTCGTTGAGGGGAGGCAGCGGCGGCTTGTTGTTCATGGCTGTCGGAGCCTTGGACGAGACCTCCTTGGGATGGGAGGAAGGTGCGACCTTGCTCGAGCTCTTGGTGGTGGAAGTCGAGCTGTTCCCTTGCTCGAGATCATCGGGGTCTGCAGCCTCTGTCACTCCACTGATGTCGCAGTCCAACCCCTGGCGACGTCAAGTCATGGAACATGCACAAAACCCTGTGGGTGACATCATCATTCACCTGTAGCAGGTTGTTCCTCTTCTCTTCCAAATCTTTGATTTCTGCTTTATACTGGGCCATCAGCCCTTCTTCCGTGGAGTACCTGTGCTCAGCCTGCAGCAGAGCCAGGCGCTTCTCTACCGCCTTGAGCTTCCGGTGCGGCCACTGCTTGATCCCCATCTTCCTGCAGACCTTCTTGATCGCAGTGGCACAGACTCCGAGTTTTTTCGCCGCGTCGTTCAGCGGGAGATTGAAGTGCTTCCTCAGGGTCGCCGCGTTCAGAACTATGGGAGCCGCGTGAGCGTCAGAGTCCAGCTCGGGTCTTCCACCGAGAGCTTGCTTACCACCCTGCGAACAAGCAGATCAGACATTGCTAAGATGCTTCGATTGTGCTCACCTGGCCCACACTCCTTCTCTTCAGCCTTGGTCTGACTTCCATACTTTGATCTTCATCCTCTGGAATCATCTCACGTTTGATTCCAGTGGATGAAGCTCTGTCCTTTCCCCCCTCCTCTGCCTCCACAGCGCCTTGCGATCCATTCTGTCTCCGCTGCTCCGCTGCCTTGTGCCTCTGGCTCAAGGCAGCGACCTGCATCTCTTCCAAACTATCCAGCAACTGTAGATTGCATTCTTCGCAAGGGAACCTTTGTCTCGGGACTTGAGGATTGGCATTTCTAGCGGCACATGCCTTGCATTGTTTCACCCCTGATTGCCCCTCTGGGAAGTATCGATCCAAGAAGGATGAGAGTAGAGTATCAACTTTGATTGTTTCGAGGTCCAATATCTGATCTTTCCGACAAACAGGGCAAGATGTCTGGCAGAAATAAGAAGCGGCCGAAACGCATTTCATGCAAAAGCGATGGCCACAAGAAAGAACCACCGGGTTGCAGAGGATCCCAAGGCAAATGGGACAAGAATAGTTCTCTGGGAGAGGCTTCAGTTTCGTGGTCCGGAACATGATTTCTGAGGCGAGAACTTCGACATCCGTGATCAGAGCACTGAAATGAGGGGAGTTGTAGAAATGCTTCTTGTGGACTGTGTTCACCATCTCCCATTGCAGCTGCTTTGTGATACCCTCCTGCTTGTCATGCTTCTTGGTGATCTTGACGACCGCAAGTGTATTGATCATCACAAACTTGCGCATGTTGTCAACTTTCGCAGAGAAATGCAACAGTGCTTGAATGATTTCTCCTGCATCCGTGCCTTCTAGCGCCGACACCAACTTGTCAAGATGGAGGTGGCCGTTGATTCCCTTGGCAGACTGCGCTTTCTCCCACGCCGGCTCCAGGGGTGTCTGCGTGACCTTCTGACAGAGCGATCGGAACTCGGCGTACAGCTCCGACTCCTTCGAAATGAAGAATCGATCCACCTTGTCGATCTCGGCTAAGATCGACGCTGTGAATTGTTCGTCCTCCGGTGCGCTCGCGCCATTCGCCACGAGTGCCTTGAGGAGGTGCTTCAACCCCTTGTAGTCCACGTACTGATCGTTCCATTGCTCCACTGCCTCGGACCTGATCCGCTTACCGAACTTCATACCTTATAGCGAGGATACTCGCAGCCTCTCTATGAAAGCCGATGACAACAATCAAGGTCCTCCTTGACTAATAGGTAGAAATGACTCCGAGTTCTCGCCAGAATCAAACAGGCATGAGGTAGTCTCTGTCCCCAGGAAAATGAAAAGAGGCTGAAAGCGACTTCAACAAAGACTTCGTCCTTTTGCTGAATGAGTCTTCTTGATCCTCGACTACAGCAATAGAAAACTATCATTAGTATCGATCACTCCACCAGAGACACAAGAACACGACAATACATGAGAAAATTCTTTCGTAGGCATTGCGTGTTGTTATTAAGAGTTCGTTAGCAGACTTTCTTTGGGGATTGCAACCATCCATCTTTTCAGATCGAAGGAAAGAAGACATCTCCTTGTTATGCGCTGACTACCCAACAATGCGGGATCAGGAATCAACTACTTCAGATTTTGGCTACTTGAACGGCCCTCCTCGCAGTACCCTAAGCTGCCCTCAGCTGCCCTCATTGAGCTACCCTCAGCCACCCACTTCCCCCAAAGCTGTTGTTCCCTTGAATTGCACTCTTGTCTAGAGAAATGTAGTGTAATACCTTAGTTGATCATCAACCCATTCCTCAACCAACAACTTGACTCCATTTCAACTGCTTTCGTGTGCATTCTTATTAACTCTTCCTCTTTCATGTTATCCTATGCATCTCCATCCACTGATCTGTAATCAAAAGACATCATCGCTCTATCAACGTTGTCCATACAATTGTTCTCCTCTTTTGCATCTTACTGCTTTCGTCTCCTTTGTCCGTTCATTGGGGGAAACCAAACCACGAGACCAATGTTTAGTTGGTCACCAAGTGCAATCTATCCTTCACCTTTTTCTGCTGTTTTGTTAGTGACCTACATCTCATATCCTACATACTCATCGCTTCCCTCACTTTCATGCCTCTATCCGTCTTCTTTCCTTCCTCTTCCTCTTTCCATTGCCCATAGCCTGCTGTCCAGCCGCCATTGCTACCCCCCGTTTAAGAAGTATTTTAAAATGTGTACATTAAAAGTTAAAAGTAGAAAGAGATCGAAAAATACTTTAACATAAATATTTAAAGCGAATTCTTTGTACCCTCTAAACAGCCATCGAAGACAAGTCTATTTACATGATCAAAGTTGGTAGTGTCGCGAGAGTTTTAAAATCTCAGGGGTTGTCCGATCACTTTCTGCTCAATCTTTAAAACGAAAATTACATCACTTTTAAGGACGTGATACCTACCAGATTGACCAATTTAAGTTTTATATTCTACCATAACAGTTGTATATATACATGTTGAATCTAAATCATTGTAGATGTAAAACAAGCTGAGCCGTGATCTCGAGATTTCCTCGGTAACCCTACCCCGGGAAAGTCCCTGCACGTGATTATGATGACAGGGGTATGTGGGTGATAAGGTTTTTAGAAACCACACCCCACCGTCCTGCCCCATACCCCCCGTAGGTTACCCACCGGTCATACTACCCCATCATTAGAGCTGAACTACCCCACCATTCGCCCACTCGACTTCCTTGACTGGAATGAAATATGGCACGTCCTTGCAAGGGACGCGGAAAGGGATGGGTAGGGGTGGTCAGGGGGTTTGTGTTGCAAGATAGGATAATAGATAGGGAGAGATAGGGGTGATACCCATGGGGGTGGGATATTGAAGGCCTCGACTCCTGGGTCAGGGGGTAGGGTACGACGATCTCCATGGAGGAGGCACGGGGTGGGTTTCATAGGCTTAAGGTGGGGTTTGGGGGGGTGAGGTAGCGGGTGATCATGGTAGCCCCTCACAAAGCATTTGAGGGATCGACGGGGGGTGGGGTAGTTGGGAACACGGGGTCGATTGGAGTCGTAGAGGAGGGGCGTTGCAACACCTGGAAACTAAACCGGGTCAAATGTGGACAAGAACTAAACCAAACCGATCTTAGATAGAAAGAACTAAACCGGGCGGAGGGACGGGATGAATTAGATGAGAACTAAACCGGGCCGAAGATGCCCGGCCGGACTCCCGGCTCCACTCAACCAAAGCGATCCAACGCAGTACGGCATGGATGGCGACCGGCGTTGGGCGAGAGCGCGAGGAGATGAGAGGGACAGAGAGAGGGACAGAGAGCAGGTAAAAGCATGCTTACATGTGCTTGTACTCTTCTCATAATCATGGTACTCGTGGTTCTGTGGTTTCTCTTAGTTCTTTACGTTGATGATAGTAATTACTAATTCTATCCAGATGTTTGGTTCTGAAGGGCTCCCTTTGAAGTTGTGTGAGATGCTCTATCCCTCCAGCTCCTCTGACTGAGTGACCAGGGATGAGCACCGATCAAGGCGGCACTCGCATGCAGCTGCATCCCGGTAGCTCAGTGCTCGAATGAGGATGCAATATATTCGCTGAAGCACCTCAGGAGGCAACGGAGCCCTTCAACTGAGAGTTCTCGATCGAGCTCGAGGTGTAGACCATCTTTCTGTCAGGTTTGATGAGCGTATTCTCTGATCCCCACGAGCAGGTCTTCCTCCTCGACGTCATACAGCGATGATTCGTCGTCGTCGATGTCCAGCACAAGTTCATCCTCTAGCGACTCAGCCAGGAGAAGGAAGAAAGACAGGAAGAAGAGGCACAGCGGCGACAAGAGATCGAAGAAGAGCAAGGAGAAGAAGAAGAGCAAAGAGAAGAAGAAGAGCAAAGGGAAGTCAAGATCTAAAGGGAAGGAACGAAAGGAGAAATCGAGGGAGAGGAAGTGGCGGGATGACAGTGATCTCCCCAACGACCCGAGCAAGCGGGAGGAGCGGGCGAGACATTTACAAGCGCAACTCCTCCCAAGAACAGCTGCGAACATGATCCAGAAAGTTTTCCGTGGCCATTCCGTCAGGACATGGACAAATAGGAAGATCCGAGAGATGAGGGTTTTAAGGAAAGATCTGACGAGGTACATCATGACTGAGATCCTTCACGATGTGCTGGAGAAGGAGTTTGTTCCAGACATCTTAGTTGAGATTGTGACCTCCATGTCTCCTGAGGTGTTTGCTCCCCATCCAGCATGGCTGAGAGATCAGCTCGCGGCCGCCGAAAAGATAACCAAGGAGACAGTGACTAAGTTGATCCGAGAGGTGGTTCGGGAGACCTTCAACGACCTGGTGAACGAGTACCTTGTGAAAGAGAGGATGGAGCAGAAAAAGAAGGGCTCCAAGAGCGATCAGCTTGCTCTCTACGTGGACTTGGAGATCGTGCAGCCAGTGCTGAAGCCGATCCTGCTCACCTTGGCGCGTGAGGTAGCAACCCGAGCCCTGGTTTGGCTTCTTCTGACAACCCTCGAAAGTGCGTGAAGGAGGCTGCGCAAGAGTATCTGCTGTCCCGCTGGATCTCCGACATGGCAAGCGCGCTGCTTCTCTGACGGCCGTCCTGACATGTTGGACCGACCAGATTGAGTTCATGTCCAATGACAGCATCCGAGAGGTGGCGCAGAAGACGTTGAGCGAGATACAGGAGGAGAGGGCTATGGAGGGGATGTGCAAGGCGAGTAGAAGGAGGTGGTTGGGGGAGAAAGCCAGGACTGATCGAAGAGGCTGCAGGTCGTGGTGGCACAGATATGTAAGGAGGTGGCTGTGGAGATTCAAGCAGATCTTGCTGTCATCGAGAAGGAGAAGAGAGAAGCGGTAACAGCAGCAGCAGCAGCAGCAGCAGCAGCAGCAGCAGCAGCAGCAGCAGCAGCTTGGTGTTTTGTCTTTTGACATGTCCGCAGCTGGTGAAGCAGGAGATGTTCCAACTCTCCTTCAAGATCCTCGATGCTGCACTGATGCGACAGCTCATTGACAGGTGACCACCCCCCCCCCCCCCCTTCCCCACTCTGTCTCCCTCTTGCTCTCACTTTGCCTCCCTCATCCTCTCCCTGCGTGTCTCCCTCCCTTCCCTGCCATTGTTCCATCTCTTCTCTCAGCTCCCCTTTCCCCTCCTTCCATCCGACGTCTGTGGATTCAGAATCGCTACTGGAGGAGAGAAGGCGGTGGTCCAGCAGTACACTGAGAGGACGATGGATCGGCTGCTGTACAGGTAGGGAGGAGGGAGCTACTCCGCATCTGATGCCTCGCATAGTCTGATGCTCCGCCGCGCGCTCAAGTCAGATATACTCATCCAGTCGTTTCAAACCAACTTCGCCAAGAGGTGAAGGGGAGGAGGACGAAGGAGGAGGACGACGAAGACGAGGAGGCAGTGATGTTGTTGTCAGGTATCTCATGCACAAGATCATGTCACAGCTCCTCGTTGATCAGCTGACCGGAGACCTGACGTGGCTTGAGGGCGTCTACGAGGAGGAACAAGAGGAGAGCTGAAGGTTGTGAGATGTATAGTTGACTCGTGTAAAGTACATAGTCGCCTGACTGCGTTAAAAAGAGAGAAGATCAGCTAAGTTCGCTTCTAGTCCTCTACTGCTACTGCTCTGTTAGTTCTACTTCTGCTATTTACATCCTTGCCACTGCTCTCACTCTTGCTGTAGCGCTCACTCTCGCTCTCGCTCTAGTTCTGGTCGCTCGCCTCCCAACTCTGGTCATCTTCGTCCTCATCAACCCCCCGCAACGACACGAGGATCGCCTCTAGTGCCGCCGCGTCCACTACGATGGCGTCCTGACCGTAGTATGTGCTCCATGCATACTTCCAGTCCTGCGACAGGTTGAGATGCTCTCAGGGTCCTCCTGCCCTCCACCTGCCGCCAGAACCCCTCGGGATCGGTGAAGGCGATGGCAGGATAGCTGAGATGAGGAGGAAGCAGCTCATCTGGCGAACAGCCTCGTGGAGGCCCACAGGATTCGCCCTGAGCGGGGGGGAGAGAGAGAGCAGAGAAAGAGAAGATGAGAGACAAGGAAGTAGGAGAGGGGAGGGAGGAGGAGAGGGGAGGGAGGAGGGAGGAAGAGGGAGACAGGAGACAGGAAGAGACAAGGAGAGAATACGCCACAAACTTGTCAGATAGATCTCTTGATTAGATGCAGGAGTAAGATATTACCTTGAGGGTGTAGATGTTGTTCTTGAAGAAACGATGGCAGTGAATCGATCTGTATTCCCCTGGACCTGAAGAGGGAAGTCAGCAAGGAAGGCGCTGGGGTAACAGGGGATACCGTAGCGAATAGCGTTCTCGAACTCCCTGCCTCCTTTGTACCCGACCTGGGCGGCAACGTAAGCTGGAGTCAGAGAAGTTGATCGGAGGAAGTGTAGTCAGCAGGGAGCGGGACAAGTGATCAGGGGGGAGAGGCGGGGAGGAGAGGAGAGGAGAGAGAGGAGGAGAGGAGAGACGAGAAGAGAAGAGAAGAGTGAACAGGAGGAAAGGAAATGAGGGTAGAGGAGGAGAGCAGGAGAGGAGCATGTGAACTCACTCCGAAGGGGAAGATTTGAATTCCTGCCGCTCCTCTCCTCATCCAAAGAGCATTCCAAAGGCCCGTGCCAGTGACGCCAACCTAAAGCAGGTGAGCAGGAGACAGAGAGGGGACTGAAGCTACCAAGGCATCGACGTCCTGCACAACCTCGACCTGGGAAACGGAGGTGAGGTGAGGCAGATGGACAAGGAAGAGATGATAGTTAGAAACAAAGAGGGAGGTGGTGGAAAAAGAAGGAGAGGAGACACTCTTGCAAACTAGAAAGATGCAGAAACTGGTGGAGAATCAAGGAAGAAAAGTGGAAAGAGGAAGGACGGGAGGGAGAAGAGTTTGAGGAAGAACTTCGGGCGGGGTAGGAGAGGCACCTGCTCTACTAGGCTCATCTTCTCAAACTCGATGATCATGACGCGAGAGTTGAGAGACTCGACGGATCGAACAAGCTGGTCCAGGTTGAAGATGCCCCTCCTCGACGTAAGCTCCTCCGAGCGATGAACGAAGGCCACCACCCTCTCGCCTCCGCTCTTCCTCCTCCTCCCCGCAGTCTCCACGAACTTCAGGACCCTGCTCCTCAACATCTGCACATCTCTGTAGTTGGGGATGGGAGAGCTAGTCTTGTCCTCCTTCACAGTCTCCTCCGTGGCAAACATGTTCATCCCATCCGATAGACCGACCACCAGCTGGCGGAAGCAGACGCGTCGCCCAGCTGTGCGCAGGGTGCTGAAGGTGAACCATGGATGGTTGGAGAGGGTAGAGAGGAGGAACGAGAACTTTTTGAGGCTCTTGTCAGCGTCGATCACGTCTGAGATCAGGATGACGTCATCAAACACACTTTCCTCTAGGTTCTGCTGGTCTGACCCGCTGAACGTCAAGATGGTGTGGAAGAGCGCGAAAAACGTCTCGTGCAAGAGATGCCCGTATTGCATGATGTTCAACACCCCAAACATGTAGGCATCTTTTGCGATGAACAAGTCACACTGCTGCTCTGCTTGCCGCCTCACGTGCTCGACGGGAACAGCAAAGTGCCATTGCGGGCAGCACTGGAGGGCATGAACGAGGAGGAGCCTTGGAGGAAGGGAGCTGACTTCCGCGCCGTCCCCTCCGTCCACCTCAATCCTCCCATGCAGCGCGTCTCGGACATACTCAACATGTTCAAACTTGCAGTACCTCGTCACTTTCCTCGACGTGCAGTTGTAAAAGGAGAATCGCCTCCCCGGGCTCGGAGCGCCTGCAATGCGTAGGAACATGCTGGTTCTTGCCATCCAACCTTCCTCCTCCTGCACGGGAGACCCTGAGCGCTGATCGCCGTCCTCCAGAAACCTCACAAAGAAGAGCATCTTTGCCGACCACCTCTCATGTGATACGCCGCCGTTCATCTGGCTGTATAGGAGCAGTACGACGGGCCGGGTCGGGTTGTAGTGCTGGACTGTGGCAAGACGCTGCAAGTTCAGAACCTGGTGGCAGGTAGAGCGGAGAGGATGGTCAGCTAGCCTGCAGTCAGAGGGGGAGAGAGAGGTCTCGAAGTAAGAGGAAGCGTGATCCTTGTCGTACAGCATGACACCGACGCTCCTCCCCTGCTCGCTGAAAACAGCCGCGTCAACCTCAACAACTAGGTCAAGCACCATCGAGGACGTAGACTCCATCATCGTGGGAGAGAGGATGTGTAACTTCTTCTCCTCCTCCTCCAGCCAAGGAATCTTCTCCTCCTCGCAGCTGCAGGAGGCTGCCCACACCAAATGCACCAGACGTGTGCTCCACCTGCTCAGGAGCCAGTCTGCGCCTGCGCTGTCCTGCCGCCACTCGAGCAACTCGGGCTGCAAGGCATTGTCGGGGCTCAGGAGGGTCTGGACGTGGAGGGGAGAAGTCCACCACGTGTGGTGTGACAGGGCGAGGAGAGGAGAGACGAGGAGGCTGTCAGCACAGACGTCGGCGCCATCCTGAAGGGCCTCGATGCAGGGGATCGGGTCGGTCAAGATTTTCCAGTCATGCGCGCGATGGAAGGAGGAGCGAGAGTGAAGGTGATAGGTACCTATGGTGGTTGAAAACAAGAAGGAATCTCGTCCGAAGTCTCTAGAAGAGCAGAACTCATGGATCCTGTTGAGAAACTGGTCCTGCGAGTTCAAGAAGCTTCCAACCTGTTCTTCCTGCCTTCTCCTGATATCGATGACGGCTGAGACGCTCATATCTGCAATCATGCTCTGCAACAGTATCTCTGCTACATCTGCGAAGGGTCCCACGAGATGAACTTCCAGGCGCTGCAGCGCCAACATGAGAGGGAGGCGGAGGAGGGTCGAGAGTTTGGAGTGAATCTCCGGATACCAATCAGATCCTTGCGCGAAGACGAGCACAAACCCAAAGACTTTGATGTCCCCAGCAACATGATGAAATTGTTTTTGAGATCTACATGACTTGAAAGGGACCTCTGAAACATCCGCGTGATATGCTGACCTTCTCACGACCTGCAAAGATTTCAACCAGAGCCTGTTCGGGGGCGAGCAAAAGTGTTTGCTGTTCGGCACCCCGATCTCTTCATCATCCTCGCACAAATGATCGAATCTAACGTGGACATTGCAACAAACATCATGTTGCTCACTGTCAATGCATTGAACATCTCTCTCTCCGGTGTCCTGGCATTGCCAAAGATGAATCTCTTGACCTGAAGAGAGCAGCGGCCGGAATTTCTCATCGATCAGCCCAACGCTAAGGATACGATGCCTGCATCCCACTTCATGCAAACGGTTCAAACGAACCTCCATCTCCATTCCCTTCCCTGCACCTGTCAACCTTTCCTTGCCCACTTCCATCCCGTCGAGTTGAACTTGCAGGCTCAGACCCCAGTCGCTCAACGAGCTCTCGCTCTCCACTCTCACTCTCACCACCAAACCCCCAGCGTCACATTCCTGGGCCCCTCGACACTCAGCAGCATAAAGGTACGAGTGGTTGCGGGGCTCGAGGACTTGGATCGAGATCCGGTGGGGCAGGAGCAGCAGGGGCAGCAGACAGGGCATCGGAAGGAAGAAGGAGCCGCGACGAGTCCAAGGTGCGACGCTGATCTCGTTCCTACCCGGTCGGAGGTGTTCCTTCACTGCATCCAGCCGGACGAAGCTGCTGCCTCTGGCATTCTCTACTCGTACCAATGACGGAGAACCGTTGACATGTAACGTCACCTCCAAGAGCGACATCTCCTCGGCAGGAAATCGGAACGCTGCCGCTGAGATGTTCACGTCGACATCTGGCCAGGATCCCACTAGAGAGGTAGCGACCGTGAGCAGGAGAGGTGCGTCCTGGGGTGACACGGCATGATGCAGGAGGAGGTAGCTCCTCCCGTCCACCACGTTGTTGCCATGCGATTGCGCGATTGCGAGGAAACCAACGTCGTGCACCTCAAGTTCGTCTTCGCTCCTGCCTCCACAGAGTGACAACTTCACCGCATGCCTCGAAGGGCCCTCTTGAGTCTCCCTGTACTTTGAGTTGCGCGAGTTCTCCCCCCAGCAGAGAAGCACATCTTTGACCTCAGTCACCCCGCACGAGTGCAGGTTCCCCGCAAAGATCTCTTTGAACTTGAGTTGAGGAGGCCTTGCCTGCAGCCTGCGGTCTGATCCCCAGCAGACGACGTTGGGGAGGAAGCTGTCCCGGAGCTCCTCCGAAGTACCCAACAGGATCCCGCACGTGTGCATCTCTCCTGCGGCGATCTTGGAAAGTTTGACAAGAGGAGGGTCCGATTGCCCCAAGTACACGCCTTCCAGCTCGCCCGTCCCTTCGTTCGATCCCCAGCAGACGGCGTCATGCTGGGTGGAGATCGCACACGTGTGGCTGCTCCCACAGCTCACTTCCAGGAAAGGTCCAGCTGGTGGGTGTGCCTTTCCGCCTTCCTCATCCCCCCAGCAGACGACCTCCTTTGACGTCTTGCGTATCGCACACACATGAGCTGGACCGCAGCTGATCGACTCGAACCCTCCGTCTACCACTGGAGGCTTCGACATGTCCGAGAACCCCGAGGCCCAGCAGACTGCCGAGCTGTCGTTTGCTCGGACCCCGCAGGTAAAGAAGTCACCGCAGCAGACGTCGAGGAGCAGCATGTGGTCCGGCACGTCAGTCCACGGGCCGTCCAAGGAGGACACGCTCCGATGACCCTCATCGCTGGGAGCTGCTGAAAGCCCTATGGACATTATACACTTGGTCTCCCCCGTGCCCAGCCTGTTGCACAAGTGTGTGTCGGAGGACGCTGTCTGGACAAGAAGACCTTCTGTGCGGTAGCTCATGACGATAGGGACCTTGTTCTCTGGCCAGCACACCAGCATTCTTCGGTCGGTTGCATCAGGCACCAGAGCACAAGTCCTGTCGGAGAGCGAGACGAGTCTCGACGAGTCGCATGAATCGTTGGAGGATGAACATATGGGAGCTAGCAAGAGAAGATTGATGAGAGCAAAGGTACAAGCGCATCTCGGCGATGTGGCTGGAAAGCTGTATGCCCCCATGTCATTGCTTCATTCTTGGTTTCCACAGCTTCAACATTTTGCCTCCTGCTTCACTACTCTTTGAGATTTCAGCGTTTCATCCATGGAATGCATTGTCCTATGGCTCCGCTTGTCTCCTCGTCTCCTCGTCGTCTTCCTCCCCTTTGCACTCACTTCACCTCTCCATGCCATCCCAACTGCCATTGGCCAACCCTCTAGTGGAAACCCGCCATTCTCTGCCCAATTTTCAATGCCCAATTTCTTTCGGGTTATTACTCAACTGGAAGGCAACAGGCTAGGCAGAAAACAAATTCCTAACAAGTCCGCCTCAGAGGTACATAGTGACAAAAGAAGAGGCAGCAGAATTGAAAGACACTTTGACCACACCGCCGCCGTCGGGCGGCCGGGCGGCATGTTACAGCGGCCTCAGACCACTGGGCCTCAGTGGGCGACAGTTTCACTGTCAGGGTCAAGCCTCCTCGACTCTCCTGATTGTCCTCGTGCTGATTTTTAACTTAATTTTGAGTAAAGACAGCGGCCGGTCCGGAGCCTCAATGAGTCACTGGGCCGGGTCACCACTGCCGTCGGCCACGGGTCGAGGAGCCTAAGGAGTCCGAACGGTCCGGCCAGGGGCCGGCCAGGGGCCGGCCGGCCCGGCCGCTGAGTGGGGGCCCCGCCCGCCGGGCGCCCGGCTCATACGCCGAATCCGACTCGGGGACGGCCGCGGGGCCGCGATACGGTCCGCCGCCGGCGTATTTGATGGGTCTGACATCTTACGTGGTCTCCCCCCCTTCCTTGAACGGCAGAGCTAACCGCCGGGCCTATGGCGGCAGGCAGCAGACAGAGGCGAGGCGAGAGGAGGAACATGGGGAGCAGCAGAGGACAAGGCGAGTGCTGAAGCCACTTGAGCGCTGGGAGATCGCACTGGTGAGGCGCAGCCTAAAAAGGTCACGTGTTAGTGCCGGTTGCCGGGAGCAGACCCTCTGTTGAGATCGGTCAGTTCGCCTGACCCGCATTCTTCAGACATGTCCGAAGCAGGTTTGAAGAGGAACAGCACATTCCATGATGCCACAGGTGTGTCATCCTCAAATCCCATTTGCCGTTTCCTCGCTTGTTGATGTTTGATCGCAGGGTTCGGTGAGAGTATCGACCTTGCCAGAATCTCGACGAAGATAGGAGAGACTGAGAGTATTCGCAAGGTTGATGAAGACACGCTACTCATCAGCGGAGGCTTGAATTCTTCTCTGTTTGCTTACACAAGGGAGTCAGTCTTTCAGTATGACGAGGACCTGGACGTCGCCCTGCGGTCTCGGGGACATCCGGGCATGAAGCTGAAGCACAGCAAGTACTCGAGCACGCGCATGGTCAAGACCTCTAGCAAAGAGAATGCAGATGAGAATGGAAATGAAGCAAAAAGCCATCTCCCACGAACAGGCGATGAAGCCGTCGAGTTTTTCGGACGAGCAGGAGAAGATTCTGAAACCAAAGTGCTTTTCTTGAATCGTGCGCATACAGGACTGAATTTCCGACCCTATGACCTAGTCGTTGTCGACAGATCTGACATTGAGCCGGAATACTTTACAATGTCTTCGTCGGGAGTGGTTCACATTCAACCAAATCAACCATCGCAATTCACACATCTTGGTCAATGGTGGAGAAGGTCGTCACTATTTAACACACTAAGAAGTATTCCTTTCTTCAAAAACTTTGTGCTGGCAAAGACACATCAACTGTGGACTCAAAATGTGAGATTCCGCAAGTACTCTCAAATTCGCAAACGACTTGTGAAGAAGCTTTTTCTTGCTAAGAAGGCGTTTTGTTCTACCTTGATCGAGGTCAATCATCAATGTTTCGAGTTGAGGAGCACGTTGCTGCTTCAGTACTCCACGAAGCATTCGTACAATATCAATGAGTACATTGACATTCAAAACAAAGTACGCACAGAAAGTTCGAGGGCATTTGAAAACATTGTCGACAAAGTGCAGGCTCTGCTTGAGAAGGTCTGCGACGACGTTACTTCTCGCGTCAGAGCTTCCGAAGATGGATTGCCAACAGGGGGCATTGATGAAGCAGCAGCCATCATATCTCAGAAGAGTCAAAAGAGTAAGTCGATGCAGCAGCTGAAACAAGAGAAGTTGGAGCGTGAAAGAGCCTTGCTGCTTGCACGGCAGGAGGTTGCCATGCTTGCTCAATTCATTCGACTAGCAGATTACATGGTGGTCGAAAGCCTGCTCCTCTTGGTGATCCAGCAGGCAGACATGTTCTTTCAAGATCTTGAGGTATGCTGCATTTGTTTTCAATTCTCAACGCTCACCTGGTTTCCAGCAACCATCGAAGAAGAACGGTTTGTTCAACATCACTATCAGCATGGAGAGAGACAAGATATGCTTTGAGCCTGAAGAGAAAGATGTCAGCTCACAACTCTCCAGCATGCTAGATCAGATGGTTTCTTGCGTCCACAATGTTCCGCGCTTGCTTTACATTGCTTCTTTCAAGAGCCATTTCGACGACAAGCAGAGAGTTATAGGTCCACACCTGGGAGACATGATACGATCAAGCTCGAATTACAAATTGATTTGCCAACAGATTGAAGATGTCATCAAGAAAGACTTCCAGGACGTCAGAGGGTACGCTAAGTTCGCTGAGGCCTACTTTCCCATCTACAATTTCGCGGCGGACTTCGACAAGGAAAACTTTGCAAACCAGGACCACATTGCAAACTCACGAAATATCAAGAGAGAAATGTTGAAATGGAAACAGTATGGTTATGACCTTGAGAGAATGAAGCTCTCAGCGATAGTAGGAATATTCGGAGTTGATAGCAAAACCCTAAGAAATAGTCTGATGGACAAAAAGCAAGTGGTTCTAGAAGACATGAAAGATGTATTGCACTCGGCCGCCAGAGATGGCTGTGCCAACGTATTATCTCAATTTCAACAAAGGATCAAAACACTGGGCAGGAAGCCATCAAACCTGGTGGAATTTGCAAAGTTTGTTGAATCCAAGAATGAGATTGCGGATGAAGTCAAGAATTTAATTTCAAAGTCAAACACAGTAGACGACATGTACAAGTTGTTGAGCACTTTCGATGTCAAGATCCCTTCTGCAGAGCAAGTAAATCTGGATGACTTGCACTCAATTAACACCCAATTTCAAGATGTTCTCGAGAGTGCGGAACAGGATGTTTCTGGACACCTTGGAAGACATGCTCAAACATTGAATCAAGAAATTCAGAAATTAGAGCAAGACTTGATTGAAATCATGACGGATCTGGCTTCGGGTGATGCCACCAATCCTAATGCTGACAGCTCAGCAGTGATTGAAATGCTTGACGCAGTTCAAAAACAGATAGATACCATCCGGGCCAAAGCAGAGACGTACTCTCATTACCAAAAACTGTTCAATATGTCCACTCATGAGTATACCAACTTGACATCTACAACTGAACTGTTTGAGGAGAAGTACGAATTATGGAACCTCATCCGGGTATGGGAGGACCTGACATCTGGACCTGGTGGGTGGAGGTCACAAAACTGGAGCGCACTAAGTGCAGAAGAAATGGAAAAGGAAGTACAAAGTGCCTTGAAGAATGCAACAAGAATAAGCAAGAAGAGGGAAGACGACGTAGCTCAAAGATTCAAAGAAGATGTCTTGAAATGGAAGCATTACATGTCAACACTAGTCCCGTTGGGTAATCCGGCTTTGAAAACACGTCATTGGGAAAAGATATTCGAAAAATTGGGCAGGTCATATGACAAAGACATGACTCTGGACAACCTGATACAATGGAACATCTTTAGCATACGCGAATTCGTTGAGGAGATATCCGGAGTGGCCTCAGGAGAGCTTGCTTTGGAGATCCAGTTGGAGAAGATTGAAAACACGTGGAAGAACCTCAACTTTACAGTGCATGGCTATCGAGAGAGCAAAGACATCTTCATACTGGCTGGTCTTGACGACATCTTCACAGCTTTGGAAGACAATCAAGCAGCGCTACAAACCATGCTGGCGTCACGTTTCGTCATGGGAATTCGCGACAAGGTGGAATACTGGGATCGAAAACTCTCTTTACTCTCGGAAACTTTAGATGAATGGCTCGCTGTCCAACGCAGCTGGATGTACTTGGAGAGCATCTTTGGAGCTCCAGACATTCAAAAACAGCTGCCACAGGAGACTGTACAATTCTTGAGGGTGGATCAGAACTGGAAGGACATCATGAAGAAGACCAAGAAACGGCCGAATGCTATAGACGCATCAACCGCTCAAGGCATCCTAGAGATGTTCCAAGAGTCGAACAAAGTTTTGGAGAAGATCCAAAAGAGTTTAGAAGACTATCTTGAGACCAAGAGAATGGGTTTCCCGAGATTTTACTTCTTGTCCAATGATGAACTGCTGGAGATTCTATCTCAAACAAGAGATCCTCTGGCAGTACAGCCTCACCTGCGGAAATGCTTCGATGCGATGGCAACTGTTGATTTTGAAGACGGTCAAGCTACTGACGATGACAAGCCGATGAAAATCATTGTCGCCATGAATAGTGCTGAAACCGAAAAGGTGAAGTTCAGCAACCCGGTTGCTACGGCGCCGAAAAGCGTTGAGTTCTGGATGTGCGATCTGGAAGCGATGATGATTCAGAGTTTGTTGGACTGGACGATTGAAGCCAAAGAAGCATACAGCGAGGATGTAAGAGAGAAGTGGTTTTTCATGTTTCCCGCCGCATCTATCTCAACAGTGGATCAGATCGAATGGACTAGGAGCGCAGAAAATGCCATCAATCTGATCAATGAGGGAGTAAACGAAAACGCGCTCAATGATTTCCTTCAAGCTTCTGTGGAGCAAATAAGTAGAATGGTTGATGTTATCAGGACGAACCTCACCAACATCCAACGTTCTGTCATGGCAAACTTGATTGTTCTTGATGTGCATGCGCGAGATGTCACAAAACGTTTGATTCGAGACAAGGTGTCTTCTATCACAGATTTTGCCTGGATTTGTCAGCTACGATACTATTGGGACGAGAGTTCAGTGGACGACAAGCATGGCTGTGTTGTGCGGCAAACCAACGCCTGGTTCTACTACGGTTGGGAGTACCTCGGCGTGGTCCCCAGGTTGGTCATCACTCCTCTCACCGACAAATGCTTCATGACCCTCACCGGCGCTCTCAACCTTCTGCTCGGTGGCGCTCCCGCTGGCCCCGCAGGCACCGGAAAGACTGAGTCCGTGAAAGACCTCGGAAAGGCGCTGGCAATGCCGGTGGTCGTGTTCAACTGCTCCGATGGCCTCGACTACAAGATGATGGAGAAGTTCTTCTCGGGACTAGCTCAGGCAGGTGCTTGGGCCTGCTTCGACGAGTTCAACAGGATCGACATCGAAGTGCTGTCTGTCATTGCACAGCAGATCATGACCATCCAGAATGCTCTCAAAGAATTCGTGGAACGATTCGAATTCTTCGGGAAGGAAATCAGACTCAACAGAAACTACGGATGCTTCATCACTATGAATCCGGTGAGTCAGACAGTCCCTGTGACTTCCTTACTGATCGTCTAAATCGCAGGGATACGCTGGGAGAACAGAGTTACCCGACAATCTGAAAGCTCTCTTCCGTCCGATGGCGATGATGGTTCCAGATTACGCTTTGATCGCAGAGATCATGTTGTTCTCCGAGGGATTCAGAGACTCTCTCACTCTCGCTCGCAAGCAAACAGCCATGTACAGGCTGGCATCTGAGCAGCTTTCATCGCAAGATCACTATGACTTTGGCATGAGAGCGGTCAAGTCTGTTCTGGTCATGGCAGGGAAGTTGAAACGGTCAGATCCAAACATGGTGGAAGACATCACGCTGATAAGAGCTCTGAGAGATAGCAACATCCCCAAGTTCCTTGCTCCTGATATCCCGCTCTTCAACGCCATTCTACGGGATTTGTTCCCTGGCGTCACTGTGCCTCAAGTCGATTATGGAAATGTACAGACGTATATCGAACGGAAGCTTGTGGAGAGAAAGTTGCAGATCGTGCCTGCATTTGTGGGAAAGATCATTCAACTGCACGAGACGATGGTGGTGCGGCATGGAGTTATGCTCGTCGGAGTGACGGCTGTCGGCAAGACGACAGTGTCCACAGTCCTGGGTCATGCCTTCACGCAAATGAAGATGGACGGGGCCGGTGGAGACTTCGAGAAGGTGGATCAGTACACTTTGAATCCGAAATCCATCACAATGGGAGAGTTGTACGGAGAGTTCAACCTCATGACGCAAGAGTGGACAGATGGGATCATCTCGACCATCGTTCGTGAAGCTTGCAGCGCCGTAGCCAACGGTGACACAGCCAGGAAATGGATCTGGTGCGATGGGCCCGTGGACGCGATTTGGATTGAGTCCATGAACACGGTACTTGATGACAACAAGACTCTCTGTCTGAACAACGGAGAGCGGATCAAGCTTCCCTCAACCATGACGATGGGATTCGAAGTGAACGACCTCGCTGTTGCCTCCCCTGCTACTGTGAGTAGGTGTGGCATGGTGTATCTCGAGCCGGTGTACCTTCGCTGGCACCCTGCAGCCCAGTCGTGGGCTGAGAATGTGCTGGAAGAGCGCTTCCAAGGGTATGGGAAGAAAGCGATGGAGCTGTTCGAGGTCGTCGGCGATCCTACCTTGTCCTTCATCAGGAAGGAATGTACCGAGCACCTTGTTTCTGTTGATTTCAATCTCATGATGAGCTTTCGCAATCTACTTGGCAGCCTCTTGAATGAGTCTTATGGAGTTGACAAAGATAACATCAATGAGAGGTTCGAGAAGTATTTTGTGTTTTCGTACATCTGGACCTTGGGCGGAAACCTCCATGACAATTCGATTCCAAAGTTCGATGAGTTTGCTAGGCAGATGATCACGAAGATTGTCCCAGACTTTCCCACAGACAAGAGCATCTACGATTGGAAGATCGACGAGAGCACAGGAGATTTCGTACCATGGTCATCGCTCATCCCGAAGTTTGAATATGACAAGACGCAACCATTCTTCAACCTGATTGTCCCGACAATTGATTCCACCCGAGTCAAGTTTGTGATGAAAGCTCAGATTCTTGGAGGTCACCATGTTCTTGTGGGAGGCAACTCAGGAGTTGGCAAGACCATCATAATCCAAGACTTCCTAGACAATGCTGGAGAGGAGTACATCAGTCAAACTAAAGTTTTCAGCGCTCAAACGCCTGCTCGAGGCTTACAGGTCTTCTTCGAAGAGAAGCTGGAGAAGATTAGGAAGAACCTGCTTGGCCCTCCCTCTGGAAAGACTTTCTTGTTCTTCATCGACGACTTGAACATGCCCATGAAAGAGACCTACGGAGCTCAACCGCCAATCGAGCTCATCAGGCAGATCATAAACGTGCAAGACGAAAACAACGGAGGGTTCTACGACCTGAAGAAGATTGGGCTCTTCAAGAAGGTCCGAAACACGCAATTCCTTGCAGCCAACGCCCCACCAGGAGGGGGGAGGTCCGAGGTGACTCCTCGACTGATGAGGCACTTCCATCTCATCAACCTGCCGGACTTGTCAAACGAATCGATGAAATCCATCTTCCTGTCCATTATGACCGGCTTCCTGCAAGATTTCCCTTCAGAGTATGCCGGCATCGGGGAACCTGTCGTCGAGGGGACCTTGGACGTGTACGTGGAGATACAGAAGGCTTTGCTTCCGACCCCTTCCAAATCTCACTACACCTTCAACCTCCGCGATCTCGCGAAAGTGATACAGGGCATTCTCATGGTCGATCCTGCAAACATTGAGAATGTTGATCAGTTTCTCAGGCTGTGGAGCCATGAATGCTCGAGGGTCTTCAGAGATCGTCTGATCAGTGACGAAGACAAGCATTGGTACGATGAGAAGATACTAGCAGTTATAGAAACTTCCTTCAAGAAAAACTGGACCAAGGACGAAATCTCTGATGTTTGCTTTGGTGACTTCCTTGCGACTAAACCAGCTCCATACGTCGAGATCAAGGACATGGAGAAAGCGAATTCCGTACTGAAAGATTTTGCTGAGGATTACACATTGAACTTGAACAAACCGATGGACTTGGTATTCTTCAAAGATGCCATTCAGCACATTGGCAGGATTGCTAGGTTGCTCCGCCAACCCAGGGGAAATGCCCTTCTTGTTGGAGTCGGTGGCAGCGGACGGCAGAGTCTCACAAAGCTCGCGTCATACATAGCAGAGATGAAATGCTTTCAGATTGAGTTGTCGAGAGGGTACGGGGTGAATGAGTTCCACGAGGACTTGAAACGTCTGTTGTTCCTGGCTGGCGCGGAGAACAAGCCAACTGTGTTTCTGTTCAACGACACGCAGATTATTCGAGAATCATTCCTTGAGGACATCAACAACATTCTCAACGCTGGCGAGGTCCCTGACCTCTTCGCTGCCGATGAGATGTCCAAGATCGTGGATGCCGTACGTCCTCTAGCCAAGGCTGCCGGCAGGCTAGAGACGAAGGACAACATATACGCTCACTTTGTGAGCCTCTGCAGAGACAACCTTCACTGTGTGTTGGCGTTCAGCCCTGTGGGCGAGGCGTTTCGAAACCGCCTGAGGATGTTCCCGTCCCTTGTCAACTGCTGCACCATCGACTGGTTCACGCCCTGGCCTCAGGACGCTCTCCGATCTGTGGCGAATCAGTTCCTGTCCAAGATCGACCTGGGCTCAGAGACGGTTAGAGACTCGATCAGCAAAGTCTGCATGACGATCCACTCCTCTGTCAGAAAATCAGCTGAAGGGTTCTTGGCAGAGCTGCGCAGACACACGTACACTACCCCCACAAGTTATCTGGAACTGATCAACGTCTACACTCAAATGCTCGCCGACGAACGATCCATTGTCAACGGGAAGGCGGATCGATACCAAGGAGGAATGGACAAACTGATCTCCACCAACAAGATGGTCACAGAGCTCAGGACAGAAATCATTGAGCTGCAGCCTGTCTTAGCTCAGGCAGCAGAAGACACGGCAAAGTTGATCGAGGAGGTGACAAAGGACAAGGAGGCAGCAGCAGTGGTGAAGGCAAACGTTGAAGATGAAGCGAAGAAGGTTAACGCAGCTACGGAGGAGGCGCAGGCGATCAAGGAGGATGCGCAGAAGGACCTGGATGAGGCGCTGCCGGCGTTCGACTCGGCCCTGAAGGCGCTCAAGTCTCTTAACAAGAACGACATCACTGAGATCAAGTCGTTTGCTAAACCACCTGAGATGGTGATGACCACGTTGGAAGCTGTATGCATCCTGAAAGGCGTGAAACCTAACTGGGATGAGTCGAAGAAACTTTTGAATGATTCCAACTTCCTTTCCAGCCTTGAAACATATGACAAGGACAACATTCCCGAAAAGAGTCTCAAGACCTTGCAGAAATACATCAACAATCCAGACTTTGTGCCAGACAAAGTCGAGAAGATATCGAAAGCAGCGAAATCGCTGTGCATGTGGGTTCGAGCCATGGATGTCTACGCCAGGGTTGCCAAGAATGTTGAACCGAAGAAGAAGAAGTTGATGGAGGCTGAAAAGATGGTGGCTGATATGAGCGCGCTGCTCGCTCGGAAAACGCAGGAGTTGAACGATGTCCTGGCACGAGTCAAGACGTTGGAAGACAAGCTCGCAGAGACGTTGAAGAAGAAAGACGAGTTGCAGCAGCAGTCAGACATCAGCACGGCAAGGCTCGAAAGAGCTGAGAAACTCACCGGAGGCCTTGCCAACGAGCAAGTCAGGTGGGCGCAGGAGTTGGATCAGCTGAACCAAGACAAGATCGACTTGACCGGAAACATCCTGATAGCCGCTGGAGTCATCGCGTACGCAGGGCCCTTCACCGCCAACTACCGCAAGGATCTGATCTCCAAGTGGACCAAGGTATGCGCTGAGGAGAACCTGCCCTGCGACCAGCACTTCACCTTGGAGCGGATCGTGGGAGATCCTCCGACCATCAGGAACTGGAACATCCAGGGGCTGCCCGCCGATCCTTTCTCAGTAGAGAACGGGATCATCGTGACCAAAGGGAGGCGATGGCCGCTGATGATCGACCCTCAGATGCAGGCCAACCGATGGGTCCGCGCGATGGAGAAGACGAATCGCATCCAAGTGATCAAGCTGACAGAACCGACGTTCTTGCGTACTCTAGAGAACTGCATCAGGATAGGAAACCCTGTCCTCCTTGAGAACGTGGAGGAGTCTCTCGATCCGGCGCTTGAGCCTGTTCTATCCAAGTCCGTCTTCAAGCAAAGCGGTCGGCTGCTCATCCGCCTGGGGGATACCGATGTAGACTACAACCCCGACTTTAAGCTCTACATCACATCCAAGTTGCCGAACCCTCACTATCCCCCCGAAGTCTGCGTCAAGGTCACCATTGTCAACTTCACCGTCACCCCCAAGGGCTTGGAAGATCAGCTGCTGGTCTCTGTGGTGGCGCACGAGCGGCCGGAGCTCGAGGACGAGAAGAATGAGTTGGTGGTGCAGATAGCTAACGGGCAGAAGCAGCTCAAGGAGATCGAAGACAAGATTCTCTTCATGCTTGCAAATTCGCAAGGAAACATCTTGGACGATCAAGACCTGATCGAGACGCTGGGGGCGAGCAAGACAACATCAGCTGAGATCAACGAGCAGCTCAACCAGGCCTCCGAGACCAAGACGAGAATCGATGACGCGTGCGAGGGATACAGGCCGGTAGCGAAGCGAGGAGCCATCTTGTACTTTGTTGTGGCGAGCATCGCGAATGTCGATCCTATGTATCAGTACTCTCTTCAATTCTTCATCAATCTGTTCAATGGCTGCATGGACAAGAGCCCCCGATCGCCTGACATAGCCGAGCGAGTGAACATCATCATCAAGGTTGTGACGGAAGATGTTTACACGAACGTGTGTCGAGGTCTGTTTGAGAAGGACAAGAAGATGTTCTCCTTCATGATCGCTGTGCAACTGATGCGGTTGGAATCTGAGAGCATCTCGGAGGAAGAGTGGGGCTTCTTCCTTACAAAAGGAGGGTATGTCGATCCGGCGAAGCTGCCGGCAAATCCATGCGAAGATTGGGTGAAGACAGAAGTGCTGGGAGGCCTCTACAACCTCAACCACCTCAAGAGCTTCGACTCCTTCCTCGACTCCTTCTTCGCAGACGCCTCGGCATGGCAAGCATGGTTCGACAAGACAGCCCCGCACGAGGAGCCGCTGCCTGGGAAGTGGGAGGAGGAGCTGACGCAGTTCCAGAAGCTGCTGGTGATTCGAGTGCTGCGAGACGAGAAGCTGGTGGAAGCAGTCACTCTCTTCATCTACAAGAACATCGGGAAGCACTTCGTTGACGTGCCCGCGTTCGATCTTGCCGCCTCCTTCAACGACTCCTCCCCCCTGACTCCCATCATCTTCGTGCTCTCCACAGGCGCTGACCCGACCATGTACCTCTTCAACCTGGCCAAGGAGCTCTCGGTCTTCGAGAGGCTCAAGATGATCTCGCTCGGGCAAGGCCAGGGCCCGATAGCTGAGGCGCTCATCGCCAGCGCGCGCGAGTCCGGGGACTGGGTCTGCTTGCAGAACTGCCACCTGGCCTCGTCCTGGATGCCGGAGCTGGAGAAGATCCTCGAGTCGCACCAGACAATGAAGCTGCACGATGACTTCAGGTTGTGGCTGAGCAGCATGCCCAGCAAGGTCTTCCCCGCTAGCGTTCTGCAAGCTGGGATCAAGCTGACCAACGAGCCTCCCAAGGGCCTTCGTGCGAACATGAAGCGAACCTACGAAGACATGTCTGAGGCTGAGTTCCTCTACTTCGACGAGAAGGCTGCTGAGGATGACAAGCTGGCACCCAAGATCAGAGCATGGAAGAAGCTCTTGTTTGGCTTGTGCTTCTTTCACGCGTGCGTGCAAGAGCGGAGGAAGTATGGACCCATCGGGTGGAACATCCGGTACGAGTGGAACCAATCCGACATCCTAACGGCCATGGCGAACCTTCGGATGTACTTGGAGGAGCAGAGCACGGTCCCTTACGAGACTCTCCAGTACGTCATCGGCGAGGTGAACTACGGAGGGAGAGTAACAGACTACATGGATCAGAGGTGTGTGGCAGCTATCCTGGAAAGGTACATCAACCCTGAGACCGTGGAGAACGACGATTACAAGTTCACTGAGGACGGGAGGTATTACTCCCCCGAACCATCTCAGTTCCAGTCTGTTCGTGATTACATCGACAAGCTGCCGCTCACCGACACCCCTGAGGTCTTCGGCCTCCACATGAACGCAGCCATCGCCTTCGAGAACAGCGAGACCAAGTACCTTATGGACACCATCATATCTTCTCAGCCGAGGAGCAGCCAAGGCACGGGGGGCGACACTGCTGACGACATTGTTGGGGCGCTTGCCGCGGACTTGCTCAGCAAGCTGCCGAAGCCTCTCTCCACAGAGAACACCTCCTCCTTGACGTTCATGGCAGACGACGAGGGGACTGTCAACTCTCTCGGGACTTACCTGACCATCGAGATGGGCAAGTTCAACAAGCTGCTCAAGAAGATGAGCTCCACCCTCTCGGAGCTCAGACGAGCCATCAAGGGGCTGGTGGTCATGTCCTCCGACCTCGACAGCATGTTCCAGGCCTTCCAGTTCCAGAAGGTCCCCGCCAACTGGAACTCGGTGTCATACCTATCGCAGAAGCCCCTCGGTTCCTGGTTTAAGGATCTCATCGAGAGAGTCGAGTTCATGCAGAAGTGGATCGAGCGGGGGCCTCCGGAGAGCTTCTGGATGTCCGCCTTCTTCTTCCCTCAAGGCTTCATGACCGCAGCCCTGCAGATGTACGCGCGAGACAAGAAGATAGCCATCGACACCCTCGACTTCAAGACAGTAGTGATGAAGACTTCTCCTGAAGAAGTCGTAGCTCGTCCTCCGCACGGCGTCTACATCTACGGAGCCTTCATTGAGGGGGCGCGGTGGGACAAAGAGCTCAACTGCATCATGGAGTCGCGCTTCGGGGAGACCCACGTGTACATGCCAGTGATCTGGCTGGAGCCAGTGGTGAAGGGGCAGGAGGCGGAAGACTCGGACACCTACAACATCCCCTTCTACAAGGTCTCCTCTCGAGCTGGAACCTTGTCCACCACCGGCCACTCCACCAACTTCATCCGTTTGCTTCAGCTGCCCTCCGGACATGTCAGCCCGACGCACTGGGTAAGGAGGAGCGTAGCACTGCTCTCACAGCTCGACGACTAGAGCCATGGCGAGCATGGAAGCCCCTAGATCTTAGTATGCGAGGTATAATGTACAAGCTAATAACATTTCGCTCTCCTAGAAGGCCTCTGAAGGCCATTCGTCGTCCTCCACTTCCAGATTCACCTTCCTACGGCGATGAAGAATCTTTCTTGCGTTCTTGATGTTGATGTCGAGATCCTTCTCCTTCTCCATCCTCTCACGCTCCTTGATCGCTTCGTCGATCCTGATTTGCATCAGATCCGCTTTCTTCTGCAACCTCGCCTTGGCAAGTCTCTTCTTTTCATCTTCAACTTTGTCCATGAACTTGACCTGACGATTAATCTGTCAACAACAAAACATTCAGTTGAAACTTCTTTCTGCGTCCATGAAAGAGAGTCTACCTCCAAGTTGTGCGCCTTCTCCTCGCTCTTCTTTTCCGAGAGAGATCCCAGATGCTCATTCCTGCCACACGTCATGCACTTCAATGTCGGGGCTCTTTTTCACCTTGCGGGAGCTTCCAGCTCAGACAGGGCATGATCGATACGACTCCGCAGCATGTTCTTCACCTTCCGAAACCTCATGAACTCTGCTTCTTCCTCCTGATCTTTGCTTGCCAAATTCTTCACTCTCTTCTCAAAGTCGCGTTCCTTCTGTTGAGACGCCTGGACGGCCTTCTTTTCATCCTCCGAAGCATCTTTTGACGAGTAGATGAAGCTTCTCATGGCTTTCAGGTCAGCCTTGATCTCCTGCGAAGACATCGCAAAAGCCTTCGAAGAGTTGCTCGCTTGCAGTTTCAGGAAGTCTTCGTACGCCTTGGACGCGCTCCTCGATTCCTCCTGGTATTTGCGAATGAGGTCATGGTACTGCCCCTGCCTGACCTTCTCGCCATCCTTTGCTGCATCGAGCAGCTTGATCGCATCTTGAGCATCTGGTCTCGCACTCGATTCAATCTCTTGTTCTGAGTCCAGCAGGTGATTCAGCAACTTCTCCTCCTTCTCATGGTGCATCTTCAACTGCATTTGATGTTGCTTGAATCGTTCGTCCTGCCTCTTCTTGTATGCACTCTCACTCTCATGAAATTTCTGCTCACGTTCAACAGCAGCCTTGGCTGCCTGTCCAAGAAGCTTGGCTGCATTCCGCGAGTCAAACACTTTTGACCTCGATTCCGCGTCCGACGGTTCGTCGTGCCTGATCTTGGAACTCCGCGCGTGGGCTGCCTCTTCAAAGTTCTGATGCTCGCGCGCATACAAATCTCGGTATGATGCCACAAGCCGTTCAAAGTCTACTTCTTTGTGTGTGTCAGCTTTGTCAATGGCATGAAGAATCCGCTTCTCATCAACACTGCGACAACGTCACGTTTCTCCTCATTTCACGCAACTATTTGCCCACCTTGTGAAGACCTCTGGAGTTTTGGGAGCTTTCGCGTCCTGCATGAGCATGGATTCATCTCGATGTTCTTGGTTAGCTTGCATCACAACGACAACCATCCCGCATATCAGTGCAGACATGGACGCAACTAGGGCGACAGACCTCCAGGAGCCTGCGGATGGCAAGAGAAAGAGAGTGTCACGTAACATGTTGAACCGCCAATCCCTTCTTGTTCTCCTCCCGCAGCCTCAAGGAAGCAGCATCGTTCTACTCTCCTCTTGATCTCTCTTCCTACATCTCCTCTTGCTCCTCCCTCCCTCCCTCCCTACTCATACCTGCCGCCGCCATGTCGCTCCTATATTGGGGAATCCGTTACGCTCGTTGCGAAAGGAGTGAAACTGAAACGGTTGTAACTGAAGGCATAGTGGTAATGAGGGTGATGATAATGCGAAACGAACGCGCGAGAATTCCTAAATGGGTAGATGGAATGAAGATGTACCAGCGAGACTTGCTGATGTCAGGCGAAGAGATGGGAGCAGTGTATGCTCACCACAAGCATGAACGACTAGTTGATCCTTTCATAGCTCCTCACTGATACTCGTAACCTGTTAGGAATTCGTTTGAAACATGACCGAGAACGCTCCAACAAGCTCGAACGTGAATGCAGGTTTGTGCCATAACACGTTGTATCACACAAGAATAGTATCCTCTAAACTCATGCACCAGAGGAAGAAGTAAGGTCTGGTGTCTGGAGCTCGGTTCCTGCGCTTCCTGCCCCCTCAGATGCTGCAACCACCCTGCAGGTTGATAAGGCTTGCCTCTACCGCGTTGCTGTTGACGCATGCGGCAGGTGGGCGAGACTGTGTCTTTAGAAGATCGACTTGGGCCTTTGGTGGTGAACGCAGATGGAAGTCTATCAAGAATAGCGAACTGGGAGAACATGACGGAGGCAGAAAAGGCAAACACATTGAGAGTGCTGGGAAGGAGGAATGGAGCACGACTGGCGAACTTGAACAGCATGCACGCGGACGACAGCAACTAGGGGAGAGCGAGGGAGACAACTGAAAAGCATTTCTTTTAAAAAAAATAAATGACAAGCCCAACTGCTGCTGCAGAAATCATACAATCCTTAAAAGAGCCCAAAAAAACGTCAATGCCTTCTGGTACACACTTTTAAGCTTTCTAATCTTCGTCTTCCTCCTCATCGTCATCTCCTTCCACCTGAGAATCTCGTCAACCTGGCAAGCAGAAGAAACTTCAACGAACCTCCATGTTCGCGCGCTGAGCGTCTTCAAGAGCCTTTGCAAGAGCTGCTTCTTCCTCTGCTCCGACAGCCGTGGGCTTCATCTTGATTGCCATCTCTCCCTGCGCAGCTTTGAGCCCCCAGCTTGCTGCTCTCTACCTCGCACATTTCGCTTGATGATCTCGTCCTTGACTTTCTCAAGAGCTCCTTCAAGCAATTTGATGCCTACGTCCTGCACCACATCTCACGCCTCATCCTCCTGACTGAAATTCCAGCTGACCTGATCCAGGGTGTTGCATGTCATCACGTAGAGCGGAGGTGCGATGAGGCGAACGGAGATGGGATTCATTTCCGTTCCGCACTTCACTCCCTCCAAGAGCGCGGCCTTGATTGCATCGATTCCCTGGACATCGATGCTGCATCAGGAACAAGCGATGCGCAGTCCAGGAAAACTAACCTCGTACGCAAAGCATGTGACTTCAAAGTCCGAACGAACCTAGAGACAAGACATGAGTGGGCAATCCTAGAGGAAAACAATCTGGCTACCTTCACAGGCTGGGGTGTCAATCTCATCTCAACGTTCCTCAAAAGGGCTTTCTTGACATCTTCGCTCATGCAGTACTTGTCCAGGATAGTTGGGTCACTCAGCAAACCTTCGATGCATCGGGTGAGTAGAACGCGGTTGAAAACTTCTTTTACGTTTGAAGGCGTCGAGCAAATGGCCACATTCCTCTCCGAGTTCCCAGCTTGAGATTCAAATTTCACACATCGAACTAGCCAGGTCAATGGAGGATCACCCGAAAGAGTCATAGAGATCTTCGACGTCTCTCTTCTGGGTAGTTGCTAAGTTCCTCATGATGCTGATCACACAGTCAGCGTATCGAGACAGATATTCAAAGATGATAAAAATGTGAACCTGTGAGCTGATTTTGATTTGTTAAATTTTTCTTCGATCTTTTCGACATCCTGAACGAGATGTCAACGATCCATATGCGATGCTGGTAAGCTGAACCTCGGGCGACACACGTCTCTTAGAAAGATCGATGTAACCCTACATCAATTTTCAGTCGGGAAGATATGCAACTACGATGACAAGAACCTTGTCTTTGTCAACACGCAAAACAAGCGCAACTTCTTGTCTCCCAACGTTGATCTTAACAGATTATCAACCAACTAAAGGAGCTTCCAGTGTTGATGACAAACCAGCTTCTTCACTGAGCGGATTCGTCTTCTTGAAAGCTCAGAAAGCAAAATCATGCCTGCAGTACTTTCAGCTCTGTGTGATCCAGGATTCAACGTCGCTCACCCTCGGTATCATCGTACTCCACCAAGGAAACATAAACTCCCATCACATCAATACGCTGATTCGATTAAGGATCAGAAATTTTTCGTCCGCTCCTGTTCTTAAAGATTCTACCTTGACAAGCACTACAACGGTTTCCTCAACATCAGGATACTTGTTGCGGTACATCCTGCACCTCAAGTTTGGCTCTGCCAAAGACACAGCAGCAAGTCACAAAAGGACTGAACTAGAAAACACACATGGTTGAACACATCAGCAGTGTGTTCTTACCTTCAGGGGTTGCAGACAGCGGAATTTCAAGTCCTGGGACAACAAATACTGTATCCAAGATCTCCTTATCCGTGGGGAACCCGACGCCGAGCGACTTTCTGTCATTGCCATCTCTGTCGGGGTACACGGACAATCCCTGTAGACGAAGAAGGGAGACTGAGAAGAGCTACAACATCGACAGGCTGCAACAACCTTCTTGCCTAATGACGGCAAGCCAAGGTGGGGGAGACTGAACTTCCTGGTTTTCAAGTTACGACCAGTTGCACCCCACATTTCCCATCCGACCTGTCGTCAAGAACTTCTCCATCTTTTCCCGTTGCTGCAATCAGGCAAGTCCAGTTTGCATTCTCTTCCTCCTTCTTGATCTTTACACCCCAATCAACGTTTCTGCGGGCGCTATGATAGCAAAGACGTACCGCGAAGTGATCCTTGGTGTACGGAGCTTGCTCTACGTACTTGTGGAAAGAGTATGGCTTGCATCCTGCGGAGATGAATGTGAGATTGAAGCAGACACCCTCTTTCACGCAACAGATTCCATGTTGGACTATTCTGACATGTCAAAATAACAAACAATCTCTGAAGTCTAGTCGAAGGGAGCTTGCAGAGCCGAACCTTCTTTCTTCGGATGGAACAAGGTGAAGAAGCCTGAGGGAGGGAAGGCTGAGGTAGGAGCGTCCACCGTGATGGAACCATCGTCCATCAGCTTCGCCGCATAGCGCGCCATTTCTACCGCACGCGTCTGCACGCGTGGCGAACCGAATCACTCAACTCAGGCCCGCCTCCCCCCCCATACCTCGGGGCAGTTTGGAAGGCAGAGCCGGGGCAGGCCCGCTGAACCTGCCCCGCATCCCCGCATATGAGCCGACCAGACTTCACGTGCCATGGCGAAGCGACGACGTGAGTTTTGGAGGCATGTGGTTGCGAGAGGAGGCGAGAGGTTGAAGCTGAGGCTGGAAGAAGAGAGGAGAGATAATCGGAGTACGTTCAGATGGGAAGCGATGTTGAGAAGTCAGGATTGTGTGGGGGAAAGCATTCGAGGAAGGACGAAGGGTAGGAGGAAGAGAGAGAGCAAGCAAGAATGGGATTCATCGCCTTGACGAGCCTTGCAGGCGAAAATTTCCAGCAGAGGGGAGGGACCGAGAGAAAACGAGCAGCCAGACAGAATGGCAGTGCTGCCAGTGCTGCTCAGGGGGATATGTCACAGCTGAGCCGACGAGAACGACGAGCGATACAGTTTGCTGACAGGAAAGTGTCTGCAGACAATGATGAAACCAGTGGAAAGCGACCTGATTCTAGCGAGGAAGAGGAGGAGGATGAAGAGGAGGAGGAGCAGTCCTACAACAAACTTATGAAGATGTTAAGCTCGGATAAAGGGAACGAAGCTCTTCGGGCAAGACTTCTGGAAGAGACAGGAGGTATTCAGACTGTGCTTGCGAGTTTCCACTGATGCTGAAGGCTTGAAGGAGAAAGACAGGACGATGAAGACGAAGAACTCGAGGAGGAGGAGGAGGAGGAGGAGGAGGAGGAGGAGGAGGAGGGAGACGACGAAGACGGCGAACTCGAAAGCGAGGAAGGCGAGGAGGAGGACGAGGAAAAGGAAGAGGAGGATGGCGAGGGCGAAGAGGGGACACTTGAGAATGAAAGCTCGGAACAGAACAGCGTAGATGCTGATGATCAGGATGAGGAAGGAGAGGATGTAGAAAAGGAGGGGGGCAGAGGATCGAGGAAAAGAGGGAAGTCACGAAGGGCGACGAAGGTGAGTGAAGAAGGGGAGGGACCTGAAGTTGGGTGATACTCAACGTGTGCAGAAGGGGCTGGAAGACGACCTAGAGGAGCTCGGGCTCGATGCAGGTCAACTTGGGATGATCCAGCTGCAAGAGCATGACGACATGGCAGAGGAGCCGGAGGCTGAGGAGTCGGAGGCAGAGCAGGACGAGGGAACCGCGGACGCAAGGGAGGAGGCGACCGGCTACCAGAAGCACATCTCGTCCTTCTCCTTGGATAGTGCGAAGGTAATACCAGTTTCTCTTGCTTCCTCCTGCTCCAGCTGAGCTCCGGCAGGTGGAGTCGTTCCTGCAGGCTCGCAACGGGGGCAAGTGGAGGAAAAAGCAAGTGGAGGGTCTGCCGGTTCCCTTGCTGTGGAGAGCAGGGAGCCATGGGGTCAACCCCTTTCCGCGGGTGAGAGGAGGACATGAGGATTTAGTCTCACCAGAGGCCATGCAGGAAGCTGCGGACCTGTCGGGCTACCCAGCTGAAGTGAGTTTGCGGCTTCTTGCCACGCATCAGCTGAGCTCGAGCTAGATCACGAGATTGTTTGCGGCCGCCGCTGAGCGGACGAGCAAAGACGAGAAGAAGAAGGAGCTCTACGGCGAGCCCTCTCCTCGCGGCAGGTTCTCCTTCAGCCCCTCGTCCCCTAGCTCTCAGGCCCTTGACCAACGAGTGGCAGGGACGGGCTGACGAAACTTCAAAGCGCCCTCCTGCCCCAGCTCGCAAGCTACATGGACTTGCACTACTGCATGCGCACTTGCTCGCAGGCCAACGAGATCCGCGAGGTGGGGAGGGGTGGGGGGAGGAGGAGAGAGGAGGATCAGCTGACGATGGGCAGATGGTCGGGCTCCATGTGGTGAACCATGTGACGAGGTCGCGGGAAGAGATTCACAGCAACAACCTCAAGCTCAAAAAGGACAAGAGCTTCCCCGCAAAAGACCAGGGATTCACGAGATGCAAGGTTGAACGAATGTTTGAGTGAGGAGAGGGACGGAAGGAGTGGTGGAAGACCAGAAGTAGATCAGCGCCAGGGCAAGGACGAGGACGAGGACCAAGGGTGGTAGAGGACGAGGACGAGGACCAAGGGTTGTAGAGGACGAGGACGAGGACCAAGGGTGGTAGAGGACGAGGATGAGGACCAAGGGTTGTAGAGGACGAGGACGAGGACGAGGACGAGGACGAGGACGAGCAAGAGGACGAGGACGAGCAAGAGGACGAGCAAAAGGAAGAAACTGATTGTAGTTGGCAGGTTCTCGTGCTCCTGCCATGTCGCAACTCGGCCTGGCGGTTCATCAAGAAGCTGCTGGAGCTTGCTCCTTCTGCGCAGCGACCCAAGGGGAGGATCGACAACCTTCAGGTGAAGAGAAGACAAGGTCGCGCCTGCGGTGACTGCTGATTTCAGAGATTTCAAGAAGAATTCGGACCAGGAGACAAGGTGAGAATGCTCCTGCTCCTGCTCCTGCTGCTTCTCTTTTCATCTTCCACTTCAAATGTGCTGATCATGTCGTGTCGTGCAGACAGAACGCAAGGAGGACAAGGAACGGCTGCTCAAGGTATGGAGGAATGAGGGTTGAACACCGACGATGCAAGAGAGAGGAAGAAATGATGGTCATCACGAGAGGAAGAGAATAGAGCAGAAGAATTGAGAACACGAGAAGAGTTGAGCATGGAAGAAGCACTGAAGGGAGGAGACCATGGAGAAGGAGAATGACAGCATGTCTCGATGGCAGGTTGGAGTGGATCACTGGGAGAGGTTCGAGGGGAACACGGAAGATCACTTCAGGATCGGCATTCAGCTGCACTCCAAATTTGCCCGTCTATTCGCTCCCTTCTACACAGCAGACATCATCGTCGCCTCCCCCCTGGGGTTGCGCATGATCGTCAAGTCAGCCGATGGAGGGCTGACCCTGGTAAGAACCGCCGACACTCCTGCTGCCCCGTGACTTCCTGCAGGGAGGAGAAGCTGACTTCTTGTCGAGCGTCGAGGTGACTTCCCCTCCTCTGACTCGACGAGGGGTACGTGAGCTCGCTTCAGGTCCTCGTGATCGACCAGCTGGACTATCTGCTCATGCAGAACACCGATCATCTCTATACCGTGCTGGGCGCCATGAACAGGTGTCCTCGGATCTACGAACTGCTGCCTCTCAACTTGTACCCCAGGCAGCCCATCAAGCCGAGAGGAGCAGATTTCGCACGACTGCGAGAAGTCTTTTTGGATGACCTGCAGAAGTACTTCCGCCAGGTGAAAACCCACGGCCAAGTTCAAAACTTTGACAGCCTCCTCCCCAGACTCTCATCTTCTCCTCTGTTTGTACCCCGGACGGCAACGCGATCATGAGCAGGAGCTCCTTCAATGTGACTTGCCTGCTGTACTCGTCCTTGCTGCTGATAGAGCCTGCAGCTGAGGGGCATGGTGAAGACAGCAGAGGAGCACAAGTGAAAGAGGGCATGGAGGAAATTCAAGTCTAAGTTTGACTGGCAGGGGATCGATCAGGAAGGTTTTGCAACATATTCACGTTCGTCAAATGTTCATCAAGATGCCGCTCAAGGAGAACCTGGTGAGTAGGAGATGACAAGCAAGATTCGTATCACCTCCGTGACATCAAAACAACAGAAAGACGCCGACGATGCGCGATTTTCATACTTCTGCGACAACATCTTCAGGTGATCCCCGACCTTGCGCCCTCCTCTGTCCCTCCTCAACCTCTTCCGCTCAGTCAAGTGCACGGATCCTGCCAGTCCCATACTCTCCTTGTCGTCCCCTCCTACCTGGACTTCGTCAGGGTCAGAAACTTCCTCAAGAAGAAGGAGGCTTCCTTCATAGCCTGCACAGAGGCGAGTTGTACGCTACCTCCTCTTCTCCTCTCACCCTCTCTCAGTACTCCGATGCTCCTCAAGTCTTGAGAGCGAGGGGAGATTTCTTCCATGGGCGCAAGGTCGGGGCCCGGGCCGCCTCCTCCCACTTGTTTTGTGACGAGGCACGGGCAGGATGTACTCCTCATCACTGAGCGATTCCATTTCTACTTCAGATTCCGTAAGCTTCACCACGGTATCATGGTGAGTGACGGCAACGGCAGGAATTCGCGGAATCCGCCACATCGTATTCTACTCTCTCCCGCAGGCAACCTCACCCTGCTCACACCAGCAAGATCTAACTTCCCCTCAGTTCCCTGAGTTCTACACGGAGCTTGTCAATCTCATCTCACTGCATGACGATGTCGGAGGTGGGCAATCACTCCGCTCTTCCTGACGCTCACGAACAAACACACTAGGAACGGTGACAAGCCTGTACTGCAAGCAAGACCAGCTCAACCTACAGGTGACGAAACCGATCGGACTAGACAGGACGTGACTTTAGAATTCGCAGCGAGTGGTGGGCAGCAGCAGGGCCGAACAGATGCTCTCGTCCGACAAAACAGTTCATATGTTTGCTTAGTCGGGTGGGAGTCGGAGTTCATCAGCTGTAGAATAAGAAACCTCAAGCCATCATGTAACATCTTTCTCATTTCTACAACATAATCAGAGACAATCTCTCAGCAGACGTCGCACCATTCTGAAATATGTACAAAGTTTATTTATCTTGCTCATGGAATTCGCTTGTTGCAAACTTCTGCTAGCCAGTGTTTGATTGAAGAGTAATGATTTCCGTCATGAATGATCGAACAACATGTTGTCATGTTGGCAACAAAAGTTCCTCCTTTGCCCCTATAAGTGATTGCTCCTAAACGCTCGCAGACTGGAAATTCCATCGGAGTAGCTTCTGTTACATCGTTTGGAAAGAATACACAGATTTCAGCGCTCTCATCAATCGAAGTAGGAGAAACAAATCCACTAGACATCTCGTTCTTCCTCTTCTTTGCTCTGCGTCGCTGATCGTCCTCCTCCAAGCTTTGTAGAAAAATTTCCTTCCAGTCATCATTTCCGACATCGTCATCTTCATCGGACCAATCATCGTATTCATCAATTTCCTCGTCAACGTGATGAGGCTCTATGCTCTTCTTGTCCTTTGAGTGACTCGTGTCTAAGTCGTACTGCATGATTTCTCGCATTTGAATGTTTCAGTAAAATAACTGCTTGATCTCCTGAAATTGTTTGAAGAAGGTTCCAGACTGCCAAGTTTCCAGTTCGATTGAATCTTCTTTTCCAGCTTACCCTGTTCTTTCTACAATGTTTCCCTTTTGCTCTCTCTCTCTCTCTCTCTCTCTCTCTCTCTCTCTCTCTCTCTCTCTCTCTCTCTCTCTCTCTACTTTCAAGCACCTTCCCGTCTCTCTCTCTCCCTCCCGCTCTCCTCACTTCCGCCACTCGCAATGCTTGCTCGTCCTTCTCGTGGCTTCACTTCCCGTGCCAATCCAACCCACCCCTAGACCTACCCCTCCAACCCAGTTTCACTGACACCTACCCGTGTCTTACTACCCCACCCACAAGAATTCTGCTTCCACCCCAACCTAGAGCACAGAATACCTCTCTACCCACTGGGTCATCTTCCATCAATTCTGTGGAAAACAACCCCCTCCTCATAACAGGGTTGGGTACGCCCCTTGAAGCCATCACTACCTCCCCTTCAACTGCAACCCCCATTGAATCACCCAATCTACCACCCCACCTGATGATATCACCACCCCTACCCCCCAGTCATTCGTTACCCCTTTGCTGACCAATAACTCTTCAAACCACGACACAACTTACCACCCCTGTGTAAAGACCCGCACCCTTTGATTGACCCACCTACCCAACGAAATGAGCACCCACCCACCCTCCTGACGTGGAACCACCAGAGATACGGATACACAGATCATCCACCATACGCATCTAAATTCCTCAATTTGTCGTGTAATGTCATATTTCTCTACCCCACCCTCACGATATCTGATCCCTACCCCCACGACACTCAAATCTTGAAGGACCCTACCTTCCATTGCGACTTGTTCAACCCCCGTCGTTTCGCAAGGGACACTCCACCCCTGCCTGCTACCGCCATCAGGACCCTTTGGAGAGTCCTACCCCTTGAGTGAAAAAAAGGACCCTTACTATACTCAAAGGTTCGGACTCAGACTGGCCACCTACCCATCCTGGAGAGAGATCCTACACGACACCCCTATACTTTAGGGGCAATGTACCGGTGTATCAACACGCAGCAAGCGTACCCTACCTTCAAGGACTCCTACTAGACGTAACACCCCACCCACCCCTTGGAGCTAAAATTCCAGTCTACCACGAGTAGGGTCGGTCGCGGGGGCTGGGATCCCCAAAACCAGGGGACCAACAGACCGCTCTGTTGCGCCCACCACGGGTAGTAGTGCTTGTTTCGAAGGGGGTGGAAAACATGAACTGTCCGTATGTGGGTAGGGGTCCTTGGCGAGTCGCAAGGGTACGGATATAAAAGTCGGAATGGTGGTCACATAGGTAGATAGGGGTGCTAATATGGGTGAAGCCTGGGGGTACATCCGCATTTAGACATTTCGACCAGAAATAGGCTCGGTGCAATTCTGGTGAGGGGTACTTGAACAGTGAGGGACGACCTACACTTGTCTTGAAAAAATTGTTGAAAAGGAGTGGGTAGTACCCCAGGGATGTGATAAATTCAAATATAGATATGTTCATATTTGAAACTATTCTCAAAAATTTCAGCTGACAAGAGAAATTGTAATGTGACAGAGTCTCAGCCTCCGACTCCGCACCGTCACATAGTATGCCCGGCCCGGCCCGGGCCGCGCGCCGCAATGACCTAACTAAGGCCGGAGGGGCAAACTTGCCGCTTGCGATACTGCAGCCGCTTTGAACTTGCGGCGGCCGTGTGTCAGTCAGGCGGCCCAAGTCACTTGATCGGCGCCGCCGCCGCGCCGGGCGGCCCGCCGGGGCCCACCACAGAAAGCGCAACGCATCGTCCTTGACTAGCCGCCGAGTTGGCCCGGCTAGTAGCCCGGCCCGCGGGCCGGACCGGCCGGGCGCCGCCCTGAGCCGGGGCCGGCTGGCAAATCCGGGCTACAGTAACATCATGCCGGGGCGCTCATCGTGGGCCGCATGGCAGCGGTAGCCGCCAGTGGCGCTGGAAGTTGAAGGCTCGGTGGCATGAGCCTGCTGTCCCAGCCTCTGGGCCTCCGTGGACTTGCCAAGAGAATGGCGACACAGACTAGCACAAGTTCTCTTTCAACAGGGTTTAAGACACGACTGTCGGCGATTCTTTTAGTCGTCTTCTTCCCTATGTGCAGCTTCTGCGTGAACTGCTATGACGGGTGAATGAAGTGCCAATGTCCTTGTTGAATCCACCTCATCTCATGGCAGAGTCGTGACGACGGGAGATTCTGTATCTGCAGCAAATGATGGTGAATGATCCGTGAATACTGTGCCATCAAACTAACTATATAACGAATGGGCAGTTTCAAGCTTCTCAACGAGCGCGGTAGTGATTCAAAACACTACCCACTAATTCACCTTTTCAATCAGTGTAATCAAGTCAAAGGAAGTGCTTTTGACACCTGCGCAATATTTTGCTCGAAATATCAAATGTGAAGTACGAGTTCAATTCGATGCAATTCGTCTGAAGCTTGTAATTTTTAGGTTGAAATCTAATCAAGGCGTCTATACTTGCTCCCGTTTTTGTATGAATGCCACAGAGGAAAGGCTTTGAGTGTGTGATATCTCAGGTCTGATGTAAGATACTACACAGTGCGCTGTCAGTGCTAGCTTGGAACATGCACTTTGTGCGCAGATGATGAGCATTCCAGATGGAAACAGGGTAAAGATCTAAACGATTCAGTTGATGGTCATTCATATATTTCTTAGATACTTGTTGGCTGCGTTCAGAAATGCTCGACAACTTCCAACTCAAATGCAGATCCCACTTGTACATCTTCGTCGAAGTATATACCATGAACAAATATTTCGACAATAATGTCACAATGCAGGATTTGCTCTAAAGATCAGGGTTACACAAGCTCTGCTTCCAAGGTCAAGAATATTGATTGAATATTTGCCTGACCTTTTTTACAGAGCGCAAGTACGATGCTATTTTGGTCCATTTCCATTGGTTACCTCTTGATTCGACCGAACTTAGTATGATGTAGCAATGAAGATAGATTTGAAATCGAGCTCTGTTTGGATTTGCTTTGACAAGCTCATCATCAATGTTTTACATTTGCAATCGCTTCACAGTCTATTTACGATCCTTGTTGACAGTTTCAGGTCAAAATCTTCCTCGACATTGCGCGCATGGATATCGCTTTTCTGGACAAATGAGTGAAGCAGCATAACAAGTTTCAGAGTGAGGCTCAAACTTGTATGGAGGACTACTGTCGCACAATGTTCGGTAGGCCCATATCCCCTACCCCCATCTACACCCTCATTATAGGTATCCAAGTACCCCTCCCATATATGAACCTTCACTTGAGATTCCCTCCTCGCCGTCTTAATATGCCAGCTCGTTGCAAGCCCGCTAGCTTGCAAGCCCTCGCTGCTCTCACCCCTGCTGTCTATCCTACAGGACACGCCCCCCACCTCTTTTGCAGCTCCTTGCTCTGATCGCAGTATGACAACTCTCAAAGAGCAGTTTCTTGCATAGCATCCACTCCCTCTATTCGTTTGAAGCATGGAATATTGCCTCCGTTGTAGAGCTCTTAGTTTGAATGGAATGATATCACTTGCACGCTCTCAACCACTCGCAGGCCTCTTTCAACTTCATCGTGAAGTATTTTCTCTACATGGGCAACGCCAATTCCCAAGGCGACGACTCACACGGTCTTTGGTCTGCTTTCGGGTGCAGAAACTCAATTATTTCCTCTCTTCCTGACACATCTTCTCAGTGAGCAACCGAATGACTCTATGCCCTTGAAGGCCCAATTACCTGCAAATGAGCGAAGCTCGTTGATAATTCAAGCAGCGAAAGTTGGAGATGTCAGCAAACACTTGTGATTGCTCTTTTTTACTTTGTTTCGACCGCAGATATCGAAACTGATAGAGATGTGCGAAATTTCCATGGAAGAAGATATAGATGTTGTGGATTCCGAAGGAAGAAGTGCTCTTCATTATGCTGTTGAGAAAGGGTATGATTCATACCCGTGTTGCAAAGGACTCATGCAAACACACAGCGACATTCCTGCAGTTAATATTTTATTGCATTACAAGGCCTCACCAATGGTATACTGAATTCTTCCGAACAAGAGATGTCTTCCTAAGGTTTTGCTTCAGAGCGAAGACTCGTCAGGGTTTTCGCCACTCTCAATAGCCATCAAGAGCAAACAATTTGAACTGGCTGACATCTTGCGTTCACACGAAGCAAGTTCAAGACGAGTTGAAGAAGACCAAGTTTCCTTTCTTGATACGATGATGTCTTCAATCTCAGGAGGGTTGGAAAAGGTATACATGCATCCTATGCTCTTCTAGACTGTTAGTAATGTTGAGGTAGGATGATAACTTGCTATGCGGAGCTATGTGCTGTGAGTATCTTCTCTTCGCATGTTTCAAACTTAATAGGTCGCAGGCTCCACTCAAAAATCACTTGTGGATGTCTCCAGGTCCACACTTGATACAAAAGACACAAGAAATGTACGATGCCCATGCATAACTTTATCACACTAACATGAACAATAGTATGCATATCAGAAATTTGCTTGAAAGAAACAATACATCATCCCACTGTGATTATTCGACGACGCTGAAGAAACAAATGTTCAGATAAACTCTAGGCTGACTTGTACTATAGAAGCTTTTCTTTGGCCTGCTGATTTTCTTGGTCTTTAAATGAATATCTTTTGATGATTGACTTGGATTGTTCTAAAGAAATAACCTTCGAAAGAGCCAAATCCTCCACGAAAATGTTGTGAATATCCTCTGCTGTAAGCTGAGCTTCATCTCTGTTCATGAGGAACACCACTTTGTACAGAAAATGAATGCTTTCGTTGTATTCGAGTTCAATCTGCGGGGGATGTCCTCGCCACTTCAATAAGTCTTTTTCCAAGTAAGAAATCTGAAACAATTAGTTCAGTACATCAGCACCAAGGAATTCTCTTGAATTACTCGTTTTCGCACATGCCCTTCATCGTCCCTTTCTAGAACTTCTCTGTCTACGTACTGGAAACCAATTTTCAGGAGATAAATCTTCGTTGTCACCCAAAGCCCACCTTATATGCTAGCATCTCTTTGAGCTTTTGCTGACTTATTGGGACATTGAGATCGTATCTCAATACCCAGTTATATTTGACAAGACTGTTCTTCGTTAGGCTTCGGAAATATCGTTTGAATCCAGCATGATGCACAACGAACCACAGACTGAAGAAGAGGTGATAAGTACGACAGAAGACAAAACAAATCAATATGGCAAGCTGTACCAGAAAGTAAGGATAATTACAATTCCAGGAATCACCAAGATTTTCCTTAGCGAGTCCATGTAACTTGGGATAAGGCTTGCTCCCTTTGAATCTATCATATTCTTTCCAAGTCTAGTCAATTTCTTGAATTTGTATCAAACACAACGCACATATTGGAGACCAAATATCCTATCAAAGATTTGCATGACAAAGTAGCCTGTTGGAACCAACATGTCACAACTTGCAACACTGACATTTGCTATAAAAGAAATTACCCCCAAATAGTGTTTGTAGAATTGCAACGTGAGCAGTGGATTTGTCAAGATTTTTTTGAATCTCGGAAATCTGATGGTTGCTTGTTTGTATCGTTTCCACCAAGTTGCTTTGGTATGTTTCGGAGATGACAGTCGTCATCTTCTGAATGCTTGTAAGTTCAACAGAGGCTCCCTTGACATTTTTCCGAAGATCTGCTACTTTCCTATCAATGGCATCAGTTTCCGTTGAATATGTTAGAAGTAATGAACCTCTTCAATGACTGATGAAGTATCGATGAATTCAAAAGTGAATCCAAATTCTTGAGGCTTGGTTCATCACTTGGGCCCGTTAAAACACAGTGTTCGAGAGATTCTTCAATATATAGGAGGCATTCGTCTAAAAGAATTACAGCTCTGTTGAGCAGAAACCAGTATTTCAGCAGAAAGTGCGCAACTTGATCGATCCATTCACCTTGACACCTCCGCCATAAGTTTTCTGACTGCTTGGATGCTATTCGGATCCTGCAATGACGGTAACTTGCAAAGTTTGACCAAATATACTAGACCTCGTCATAGTGATCAATCAGATGTCGAATTTTTCGTAATGCCTCGTCCATCAAGAAAATCCGAGCATAGAAATATTTTACAAAGCGTTCACGGCATATCATTGTGAGATAAGATATGAGCAATGGTTCAAAGCGGGAACAACCACGTCCTGGATTGGACTCAGCGTCTCCTAAATTTCTCTCACTACCTGCCTGAGATTAATATTCCATTCCTTCCAACCACCATGACATCATCATCGGATAGATTGTGTGCAGAATACGTGTCCCCAAGCACCTGAACCAAATATCAACCCTTTCTGTCTAATATCATCATCTCTTTTCCACCTGTTTCAATTCGCTTTCATGTTCACCAGCGTCAAGATATAGTTCTGCACTCATTTTCGGATTGATCATCTCTGATAATATCACGTTGAACTTGTCACCTAGCAATCAACACTCAGTCAACACTCAGTCAATAGGTTTATGTGAAGGCAAACAGCACTGCCATACGTGATGATCGATCTCCATAGAAAACAACATCAAGCATGCTCCTTTGATACTCCGACACCAGAGAATCAATGATTCTCGTTGAATCGTTTTGAACATCCATCATAAGCCTCGACAGCAGATCGAGGGATACATTGTCAGCTCCATGATCCATGATTGCTTCAATCTGGAACTTGCAGTCATGGCTCAAGTGGAGCAATACATCGGCTACCTTCATGGCGTAGAGGACAAAACCATCTGTCCTCACATGAGTACCGAAGTTTTCCACCTGAAAAATGTTTCAGGCAGGTCGAAAACAACCAATTGATTGTTCCTGCACTATGCCTTCATCTTCCGCAAAATGAATATCAGCCTCAAAGTTGACAAAGTTGAGAAGATCGAATTCGAGTATCCGAACTCCCGTCAGCCCAGGCGGGGTTTCAAGTCTTTCTTCCATAGGAAAACTATCAATAACGTCGGAGAAAAATCCGCCCTGGTAACAATCAATCAGTCTTTTTAGATGAGTAAGAATCGTTCTATTGCCTGAACACGATCCTGACAGCCTAACTTTTCCATCAAAGATGCCAACGAATTATCTCCGAAGGGAACCCATTCGCCAATCAAGACTCGGACTTCTCCTAAACTTATCACCTGGACGATGCAAATCACACTTCGAAACCTATATATTCAGGTGACTGACCTCATTATATTCGTCTTTGATATCTGATTTTCCTGCTGCAGACTCATATGCTCTATGTGCATTACTTGTCATGCCACGACCCCTGATGTGAAAGGTGAATCCACAAGTTATCAACCTAACAAGGACAGACCCTCTGCGAAGGCAGTCTGGTAGGTATGGACTTGAAACATATGACACGTCCTCTGTCTCCGTAACTTTCGATGGAACGCTGTAAGATCGCTACAGTGCTACGTCATTGATCCTTGTAAGGAATGCTTTGAATATTTTACATCTTGCGTGTAAAAGATAAATCCCCTTCCTTCAATTCCCACATGCAGTACTTCCCCATCTGCAGTAAGGCAGAAACTTTGAAATGGTCACAACCTGGACAGTCTATTTGCACATGCACCTGTTAACAGCATCCTGGGATGACTGGGTGAGTTTTCTCTTTAGCAACTTTTGTCCCTGTTGCAGAAATTAAGCGAGTCTCATTTCAAAAGCCTATTTTCAATAAACCTTGAATGACACTTGATAGCCAATGACCAGTCCATGATCAACAGTGCTCAACTTTATCGTGTTTATGAACCTCATTTCACGCCTGTGTATTGTCATATGAAGGCGAACTCACAACATGATTCTGTTACAAATCATCAAGATCATCTTTGCCTTCTTGCGATACATTCATCCATAATCTGACATTTCCTGCACAAGATGCTTTTAGCAACTGGATTCTTAGAGCGTGTCAGTGCACCGATAGTATTCGCACAAGAGGAGTAGTCATAATCTAGTACTCCAGTAATGATTCCTTCGTAAATCAAGACCAAGAGAGCATGCGATCTTATCCAAACATCTTGCTGAGACCAAGACAACAGTCAAATCATGGATGATAGCGTACTTCCAGTACATCATCATCATTGTCGGCAGGTTTCGAATACAGCGACACCAGATACAACAGCCTGGAACATTCAACAAGAGTTACATCCAAGTTTCTTCGTCCACGATTTTCACCTTAGATGATTCTGAGTCACTTTATCATCGTAGAATTCATCGTCATTATCATTGGCCTCTTTGCTCGAGTCCGAGACCACAGGCAACTGAGCATCTCCCAGCTGTGTTGCATTATCGAGTGAAGCACAACAAGTGATTTACCATTCCGAACATTCCTTGCCGTGAGAATGCAGCTGACCATTGTTCAGAAGGTGACAAACTGATTTGTGCTGACAAAGAATTTAGCTTGTTCAAAGAACATGCCTATTGTACCATGTGCCATGATGGAGGAGTACTGCGCCAGTGATGCTGAGTTTGCGATCGAATCAACCGCAAGAACAGCATCTACATCTGATATTATCCTTTCCTCTTCGCTGTCACCCTGAAAATCTGTGAGATTGCAGCTACCGCCCGGCAGCATCGCTCTTATTGGCTCACATTCTCGAACTCGAACGGAGACACGTTGTTTTCGAAGCTCGCTGGTCTTCGCACTGAAGACCTCTTGCCATACTTGCTGGCGATCGAACCTGTTCGCTTTCACCAGAGACTGAGAGGACAAGACTCGCCTCGCTCACCTTGCATGCTGTCCTCCTCTCCCCTAGCTCAACTTCGTGTGCATGGCGGGAACAGCCGATCGTTGGGGCCTATGCCCTACTACGGTTGGATAACTAAAAGTCAGCATCTAATCAAATGTTTTAGTTATGTAGTCACATGTTTTAGTCATTAATGGAGATGAGCGGGGATGAGGTCCGGGCAACAGCCAGCGGCATGTCCACCAAGGGACAAGCAGTAAGTGAAGCATGGAGGAGAGAGAGGAGAGGGAGGGGGGGGGGAGAGAGGAGAGGGACAGAGAGAGAGGGGGGGGGAAGGAAAGGGAGGGAGGGAGGGAGGGAGGGAGGGAGCGAGGGAGAGAGAGAGGAGTAAGAGGGGTGAGGGAATAACAAGGCAAGGAACTTACTCATTCTTCTCAGGCTATCACAGTTGCTGTGTACATCTCTGGCTTATCTGTGATCCTACTATCAGTTCTTGCAAGGTGCTATTGTTCAGTACACTTTCGTTTCATAGCTGATCATGTTCGCCTAGTTTGGAGCCTCGTCGCGATGCTACAGTATGTGTTTGTGTTGGCTGTTTTTTCCGTGTTTGAGTTTGAGATTCAGGAGCTCGCTTCAAAGCCCAAGGCGAAACGTGCATCGTTGCATAGTTTGAAGACAGCAATTCATTCCAAGCAAAGCAAGTTGCAAAATCTTCACAATGAGGAGAATCCGACAATCTACACCATCTTCACAAGAGGGCACCGAGAGCGTTACGCTCCTCAGGACTATGGAAGTTACTATGGGCCGCAAGCATACTATGACGGTAACTCTGATAGGGTAAGAAGTCCCTGCCCTGACTTTCTTGCAAATAAGGGTACTTCCGTGGAGGACAAGGGGACTCAACATCTCCAGGGATCGATGCTCGTGGTGTGAGGACCGTGGGACGACAGGGTCGAGGGCGTCATGTCTGGGCGTTTGCTTCACCGTACGACAAGTATGAGTTGTACCGCCAGCATGGAAACTACGTGAATGGAGTGTACAATTACTATGTCAGGTCAGCTGGCGCAGGCTCGTTTGCAAGACCACTGATTCTTGTTTGCGATACCCAGAACTGTCAATGAAGATCAGCAGCAGGAAGTTTCAGACGCCATGGCTTGGCAGGTTCGCATGTGATTCAGTTGCCTAACTAGGCGCCTGATTTATTTTTCAGTACGATGCAGCTCAACAAGAATATAACAATTATCTCGCACAAGTGGGAGGTCGATAGAGTTAAACCATCAGTTTTTTTATTAGCAGGGAAAGGTTTGCAATTCCAATCCAACCCCAAGATTGTAGATATAGCACGGCACGCTGCTCGTTCGTACTCGATTTTGGTCAAATAAAGAGAGTTAGCGCAGCTTACTCTGATGGCATAGACATTGTCTTCAAGAAGGTCAGGGCATCTGTCCGCTCCTTCTCCCTCCGGCGGTTGGACCATCCCAATTCCTTCTGCATGATGTCAAGAACCCTTGGAAGAGCCTGGTCAATGCCGTCAGACCCTCACGAGAGGTATAGAGTGCAACCAGTTCAGCTGCGTGGGAGTCCAAGAAGGCAAGTCGTGTGCGTCTCGCAAGCACATCTACAGCAGTGCAGGCGTATTCCCACCTACAAGCAGCAGTCAGTGGATACAAGCAATCTCGTCGTTGCGCAAGATGATTGCTGCTTGTTCTACCTGCAAGCGAAGACAACCTCTGCTTCGAGCATGGGATACTTGGAATAGAGCTTAAGGTAGCGCAGGGTTTGGCCTTTCTCGTCCTTGTTGGGTCCCTGGAGGAGAAACAACCGTAAGGAGGCCTTCGAGCAAAAAGACACGGACCTTGGCATAATCCTTCGCCAGATCTGCGACAATAAGCGCTCTTGTGCCATAGTTATGCATGAGGTGCTTTGCAACCATCTTGTCCATATCATATTTCTCACGCAGAGTGACAACAACCTTGCAGATCAAAGCCCTGTCAGCAGGAGCACGTCGCTAAAATTCAGCTTGCATACCTTGTCGAAATTCTTATTGCAGACTAACCCACCGCGATCAGTGCCAAGGAGAGTCAGCTTGTCTGTGCAGCAAGCACGTTGTGGTTCAAGTTCCTTGTTGATCTCAACCGCCTTATCCACTGCATCCTTGGCCATTCTCCGATATGTCGTCCACTTTCCACCGCAGATTGAGATGAGATTGCCCCTGACCACATCCACAACATGATCCCTTGCTAACTTCTTGGTGTCGTTAGGGTCAGCATTCGGCGCCTTCACCAGCGGTCTTAAGCCCGCCCATGCGGCACGTACATGGCTATAGTTCATCTGTCGAGACAGCGTACTGTTGCATTCACGCAGGATGAAATCAACCTCGTTGAGAGAGGAGGTCGGTGCCATGCTTGGCTTTTCTCTGATATCTGTAGTGCCAGCAATCGTGCTTCCTTCCCAAGGCAGCAAGTACAACACTCTTCCATCCTTCGTGAACCAAACGCAGCCCATGCTATCAGGAGAGAAATGATCTGGAAGGATAAGATGAGATCCCTTGGCCGGCACAATAATCTCTTGCACTTCTGGGTCTGCCATCTTGCGAACGGAATCAGTGAACGGCCCCGTCGCATTGATCACTTGTTTCGCCTTGATATCATAAGTCTGTCCGGTGAAAACGTCACGTACTTTGGCGCCGGTGATCTTGTAGTTCTCATCTCCAGGTTTTCCAACCGAGTTGAGGCCAAGAACTTCAGTGTGATTCATGACCTGGGCGCCGGCTTGAGCGGCAGTGAGCGCAATGTACAAGTTCATGCGGGTATCGTTCTGTTGTCCATCATACAGCACAAGAGCTGCTTTGAGGCCTTCGCTCTTCAAATGTGGGAACTGAAACAAAGCTTCTGCTTTGGAGATCAGGTGACTTTCAGGAACAACAGACTTGGTTCCTCCTACGGTGTCATACAACTTTCCTGACACCCAGAAGACAGGAACTTCCCACCAATGCCTCAATGGAATCATCATCGGGAGAGTCTTGGACATGAAAGGAGCGCTTTGCATCATAAAAGCTCTCTCATACAGATCACTCATGACAACCTGCATCATGGAGTGATCGTAGTGCAGATTTGTGATCAGCTCCCATAGAGATCTCGGCGGAACCCTCTTCTGAAATGCCAGCGCGAGGTAGCGAATGCCTCCATGGATCAGTTTCGTGCTGCGGCTACTGGTACCCTGAAAGCAGAGTTGCAGAGCAGAGCATCAAGGTACAAGAAAGAGAAAGTACATAGTATCCATTACCGAGGCGAAATCTTCTTGCTCAACCAGAGCAACCTTGAGACCTCTGGTCACAGCATCGAGAGCAACTCCACTGCCTGTGGCTCCACCACCGATGACAAGGATGTCGTACTCCGTGCTCTTCAACTTCTCCTGAACAGACTTGCGATCGGGCGGAGTCCACGGGATGATTGCAGTCCCGTCTTCACATTGCATGACAGTCAGACCGTTAGCATACTGCTTGGTTTCAGTAGCTGCCACTGGCAGCATGTTCTGAATCAGCGTCTTCCACCACTTTGGCCTTTGCACTGAGACGGAAGAGTCAGACTTGGAGCAGATCCCACCCAAAGAACAGAATATCTACTTTCGCTCTCAGTGGCGGCAGAGATCTGGCCATCGTCGGCTATGATATTCTGCAACCTGTCGAGTTTCTGCATCAGATTGATCTCCCTATTTCATCTGAATCTTACTTCTCGGATCTCTTGTAGGTCAACGAGTAATAGCCGTACCCAGTCGCTCCTATACCAGGTCATTGAACACACCTTTGCCAATAAATCTCTCACCAGCTGCTGAGGCCAGAAAAGCACCCGCTGCCAATCGAGCTTTTCCGAACTTTGTCTTCATCCTGCAGATATTAAGACTCAGCAAGGCCACCAATGACACTCCTTCTGTGTGACTGTTGTTGACCATCGACTTGGCGTGGAATTCGATGTACACAATACGCCACTGACCTCACATTCCACGAATATCTGATTTCTGCCTGGCTTCTAACTTCTCTTGACGAACGAATCTATCTTTTGAAAGTCTTTACCTCCCTCCAACTCATACCGTGATGCGCAATGGCATGCAACTTGCCTCCCACACTTTGTCTTCCAGCCCTCGATCTTCCAAGTTCCCTCACCCCTTGCACATCTCATACATCAGCTCGACCTGATCTTGCCCTCGGCATCTCATCCCATGCTCGTCCTGAGCTCTTTGTCGCATATTCTCTCTCCGTCCCCTCCCCTTCTTCCTCCTAACGTCCCATCGCTCGCTCCTCTCCTCGCTGCATCTTTCCAACCCCTTCGGTCCCTCATCCCCCCCCCGCAACATGTGGGTACTCCCGTTACAAAAAAAAAGCACCGTTACAGTGTAAAGCACTTTTGATACCCCTCATCCCCTTTTCAACCTGCAATGCCAGAACGGTTTGAATGAGCGTGTAGAGCGGTCAAGATGCAAAGCAAGGGGCGAGCGGGAGCGCTTGCCATGGTAGAGGAGAACAGCTTGATCTGAGAGGCTCTGTGGGACCCTCCAGCAGGGATGGTCATTGGACACACACCAGCTCAGCTCGGCGATGATCCTATCGTGCGGTTGCGGTTCGCGCCGCTCATGCCCTCTGCAACCAGAGCTGGTGAGATGACCGTGCGAGGACAAGAATGAGGTGACGAGCATGCAGCAGGGCCTCAGAAACCCAGGGAGAAATACAAGGACCCGCCACGGATAAACGTAAAAAAGGAGGGAACTTAGGGAGAGGGTACTGAGGACTGTCCTTTTGAACCGCAGCTTGAAGAGCGAGGACTTTCTACAGCTGATCTACGAGGTTGGATGTTCTGCCTGCTCCTCTTCCAAGTTTAATGGTCTATATAGCCAGGGTAGCCCTCAAAGAACGAGAGAAAATCAGACCTCCAGACCCAGGTACTGTTGGTCGCTATCGCTCGTTTGCCTGTGCCTGGAAATGCTCTTGACGACAACACTCTACCAGAAAAGCTCGGAGAGAAACTTGGACACAAGGAGGTGTGGCAGTTCTACCACCAGCACCCCAGCTGAGTCGATCGGCAGGCTGTTGCGGGATCTTCGAAGTTCAAGTACGACGAGAATCGATGGGCAAAGGTGACAAGTTGTGTTGGATGATCTGTCTTCTCATCTCTTGTCACAACTTTTCCTCGCTCTGACTCATAGCAGGTCGTCACTGTTCGGACAGCCAACGGAGATGTTTGGCACAAGGAAAGATGTTGGTCACATTCTTGACGATGCTGACATTATTATGGGGCAGATTCCCGATCCGAGAACTGGAGTTCTGTCGGACGATCCTTACAAGAATCCGTACCCGTGGTTCGGAAGAGCCTTTGATGTGCAAGGTCTTGATATGCAGCATTGGATTGCTGCTGTGCTCACCTGCGCTCATACCAGCCAAGTGGATCAAACAAGCTCGCGATTTTCAGAGAAAAGTCAATGAAAAGGTGAAGGCGCATGAAGATCTAGTTGGCGGACATTGACAAGGGCCAAACAGGCACTTCAAACCAAGAATGAGAAGATGAAGAATAAGATTCAATGCGTCAAGGTTGCGAGATGATTCTTGAGGAGACGCAAGTCGCGATAAGAAGTGCTGCAGGATCGCGAAGCGAAACTGGTACAGAAGGAAACGACAGGAGCGATTATTCGTCAGGCTCCCGCTAGGAGACGTCCCGTCCAAGGTTTGTTGATCAAGTCTTGAACTGGTCAAGGTGTTGATATCCCCTCAAGAAAAGACGATGAAAGTGAAACATGAGGCTCTTGCTGCCACTTGCAGTGGCCTGATCAGGTCCAACAGTGCGAATGTTCCTGCCCAGCTGACTCGATGCTACCAGTGCTGTTGGTGGCGATGCCGAGGCATCAAAGCTGTCAACGCAGGAGCCTCTTGTGATCATTGACGGCCCCGTTGCTCCTCCGAAATACGTCGGAGGTTTCGTCAAACAGAAAGAGCCCGAGAGATACAACATGTACAGGGTAGACAATCCTCTCGCTGCCGGTGAATCGAAATGCCGTCTTGAATTTGCTTCCTGCCGATTCTGAAATGAAGGGCTCTAGCAAAGAATGTAGATCCTGGAGAAAGGGCAAGGCGAGCAACAGCCTTCCTGCTGCTGAGCAAACCGAACAATTCTTGGTCGAGGCAAAGGTGAAACTTGTAGGAGCATTGCTGGGCAGAAGTGACTCTATGCGCAGGTCCCAAGATCTGGCTACAGAGATTGCAATCGTTTTAGGTGACTGAGTTGTAAGCTCATGCACGTTTCATCGAATGATCTTGACGCCTCAGAGCTGGAAGATTCGGGCGTTCAGATCGAGAGAGTGCTCAAGGAGACTGGGCAAAGTTCAGCAGCGGACAGCATCAAGATACAATTTTCCATCGGTCGATCCTGCGAGCAGGATGGATGCGTGGAAGATTCCTTTCTGGATCCAGAGTTCTTCTCGAATCTTCTCCTCTCCTTTGTATACGCGGTGAGAAGCAAGCACGGCGGAATAATGGCAGAAGAGAAAACCCGTTTCTCGAATCTGGTAGTGCACAAGGCACAAGGTTCCAGGAGAAAATATTTGAGCTGCTCTTTGCTGAATTTTCACGTCAGGACTGATGGAAATGATTGAAGGAATGCCACTCCTGTCGTGTGTTGTTGATGTAGAGGTCAAGGAGACGAAGAGAAAAGAGAGGGAACGATCGTTGGGCAAGTTTTCACAAGATCAAGAGGATACCAGAAGGTGCTGGGATGCCTTTTCTTGTCTTGTCGACTCGCCCTCTTCTTGATTTTATTGACTGCAGGAAGATTGTGGATTTGATCGTCCAGCATCAAGCGTACGAAGACGACACGCTGCTGATTCTCCTCCTTCAAGTACACAAACAATCGACTTGACAGACCACTTCGAATTCACTGACAGTCTGAGCTAGTTTGTTGGATACTACGGAGGAGATGACATGGTGCTGCAAGTTTTGATGGTATGCCATGATATTTTGATGGTTGCAAACATTTATACGAGCGCAAGAAATGCGTCGAGGAGTTTGCCTTGGGCGACAGATTTATTCAAGTCTTTGAGAAGATCTTTCTTCCTTTCGAACACGTTTCTCGAGGTCAGCAATATTGAGATTCGCAGTGGACCTCTGATAGCGTTGAATTGCCCTAGCATTGTACGAGCTCGTCAAAGGCGTGCGATCGAAGGAGAAAGGCGGCAAGCATTTCGAAAACTTCCTCAATCAACTTCATGCCCTCCATGTGGAGTCAGAGGAGGCGTATCCTCTTAGGACACAGGTGATGCGATCGGGAAGGTGGGCGGAAGCTCAGTGGCTGCAGGTGGATGTGAGGGAGCACATCAACACATTTGTCGACTACCTGTCTCTGGTTGCTCACTGCATGTATTGCCACTGTGTATGACGAGTATCCCCTGGTCAAGAGCACCAAGTACGAGGAGAGCGTCTCGAGCTACCTCAGGTAAGGAAGTTGGTCAGCTGACATCTCCAATGTTCTGAGGCCTCAGCAGATACGCCGAGATTTCTCGAGTGGTCCAACAAGTCTCCAAGTTGGGAGATGAGCTCAGTGGCAAAGAACTGGGCGATGAGGAGAAAATATTCGAAGAGAACGTCAACAAGGTGACTATGACATGTCTGGTGCTGCTGCTCCCTCAATCCAACATCAGGTGATTGTACTGATTGACAAACATTATGGAGACTACGTTGAGGACGCGAAGTCTTACACGCGCTTGTTTCATCTTGCCCTCCAGGTCATCCTTCCCTTGTTCAAAGGTCATCGTGACAAGTATTGGCAGAAAATGATAGAGCGATGGTCGCCATCAGAGAGAGAAGACGTGGCTGGTCATCGACCTTGTGCTGTCATTTCTCCCTTGACAAGTTGACAGCCATCATCCTGCTTGGCTTCGAGCTGTTCTTTGCATCGGCAGCTGAATCCTGTGACGAGGAAGAACTGACGATCATGACAAGAGAATATCTCAGCGAGATGGGGCTGGAAGATGAGATGGTGAGGGAAGTTGCTCTCCTCTATTCCTGATGGTCCTGTGACCTCAGATCAACCTTGCATGCGGCGACATCGCTTCTTTCTTCGTCGATAGGAGACGAGTTGCTGCTTGAAGTCAATGCCATCAGTTGTTTGTTAGTAAAACTTCATCTGAGCCTGCCGCTCATCGTCTGCCAATCCGATGCAAAAGTTGAAATGGAAGTGAGAAGGAAATTCATTCGCAAGCGCTCAAGTTCTCTTGTTGTTTCCTCTAATAAAGAACATCAACTACCTGAAAATATAAAAAAACCGAAAAAAATTCATTTGCAACGATTTCCATTCTGTCACTTGTCAATGTTTTTATCTGCGCTGGGGGCGAAAGTGGGAGAGCAGGTCAGCGAAAGAGATGGAGCGGAGGGAATGAGAGCGAGGAGGGACGCAGGAGAGCGTAGACGAGGAGAAGAGCAGGAGGAAGATGATGTATGTTGATGTCCGTGACAGGTGTTGTCCCAGGTGAGTCGTCAGGATGACGGAACTGCGGGTGGACGACCTGGACCCAGGTAGAACAATAGGAGGAAGGAGGGAGCAGGATGGACGAGGATGAAGGATGAAGGATGATGGAGGATGAAGGATGATGGAGGATGAACGAGGACAGACGATGACAGGTGTGATTGCAGAAGACAGGATGATCTTCGACAAGTCTCCCTTCATACAGAAGCGCTTAGAGGACTGGCATTTCCGTGAAGTCCTCAACTTCTTCCAGACCAGGTTCTGTACACCATTGCTAGCCCTTGTGACTTATCCACGTCGTAGCGTCACAAATGACAAGAAGTGCATTCGCACCATTGTGGAGAGAGAAGTGGACGGGAAGCTGCTGTCTAGCATGAACGATGAAGAGATGGCTGCAGCTCTGAACATGTCCCTGGTGCATGTCAAGAAATTCAGGATAAAACTGAAGAGAATTCAAGAAGTTTTCAGGTTTCAAAGTTTGAGCACGATGGTCTCGGCTGAAACTGCCCAGTAAGGACATGGATGAAGAGGAAACAGAGCTCAAGTCATTCTTGAAAGACAACAGCCTCGGTCGTCCAACCACCAAGTTTCGACATCTCTCCTTATCTTGTTGTTCAGGACATCTCTTTAACAAGTTGACCATCAGCATGAATATAAGTCAGCTTCCCTGCCCATTGCTGATGATGGAGGCTGAGGTTTCTGTACAGGATCAGTTGCGAAGTTGAAGGAAGTTGTAGACAACGAAACTTTGGACACCGCTTACCTGCGAATCAAGTTTGCGGAAGAAGTCAGGCAAGATGTCGCTTCCTGTGTGCCGTTCTTGACGCACGAGGCGTCAGATTGGTGAAGGCCTTGTCAAGCTTGAGCGAAGAGCATGCAGATGAAGTCTTTATCAACAAAGCCAAATACAAGGTTGCAGGTCAAAATCACTCAAGACATCAAGAGCTTCACAGTAACATCTGTTGTCGTTTAGTTTCAGGAGCACAAGCCGCTGGCTCGTTCGCCCCGGTACCCTCCTCCCCAGCCCTCCTCTCTTTGTCGTTGACAAGAGCTACAGATGCGAGACTCTGGTCCCGGTCAAGTTTTCATGTACAAAAGTGCAGATCAACCACGAGAGAAGTCGGGGAGGTTAGCGGAGAGAGGAAGCAGAGGGAGAGGAGCTGACTGGTGCTACAGAAATTCAGAGACGCCGAAAGTCCTCAAATCTATCCCAAGCAGGAGAGTGTAAAAATGAAGAAACTTCTTTATCAATGTTCGCAGACCGAGAAATCCCTTCAGCGATCTACTCTGCTTCACTTTGCACTGAAAGTTTCTCTATTGAGCCTGTTAGTTGTGCAATAGGCTGAAAGATGCCGAGAGAAGCGCAGGACAGTCAGTAAGGAGAACGAGAATCTCACAGCACGCATCAAACCTCTGTAGAGTTATTGGTCACGCTCCCCAGCAACTGCAACACACGATCTTCACATCTCGGCGACCGGTTGAAGGGAGCAAACTACCTCCATGACTGCGACGTGTCCTGCATTCTTAGCAAGCTGCAAGGGAGTACGGTCATCAATATCTCTCAGGTTGGTATCGGCGCCCGCGTCTGAAGACTGTCATGCCATCACTGAGGGTTTATGAGGGCTTACTGAGTAATACTCTTGCACACTCCAAATGCCTGTGGGTACGAAGTGAGAGTCGACCTGATCCGCTAGTCCCTCCATCACCCTTGATCAGCAGCATAGTGGAGAGGAGTTCTACCGTGCCTAGTCACCTGCGAGATGTTCCCTCCTCTCTCAATCAGCGCTGGGCACAACATCAGGTTGCAGCTTCAGAGGAGCAGCATTGTCAACTTTGAACGGTGTCTGTCTTGCCCATCAAGCTCGCCCAGTGCAATGCAGCATAAAGACCAAACTCATCTGCCTTGTTCACCTGGCACGTGGAAGGGTGGGATGTCAGCACAGCCCACAGACCGCCTCTCGAGTTCCACCTGTGCTCCCTGCTGTTCAATCAATTCAATCACTTCCCATGTTCGCCCACGGCATGCGCTCTCGCGCATTCTTGTCGAGGGGTCCATCATGGCAGCTGTTGGTACCACAGGAAACGGAGGATGATGCTTTGGGCCTGCGTCTTCCCGTCAGCGCTGATGCTGCTGCTCCTCACAAGCTACCCAAGTCCGAAGTTAAGTTCTCAGGATCCATGAAGTGCTTTGGGATGATAAGCTTCCACTTGGGGTTGCTTTCAGTGTACTCTGCTTCCTCGTCCTCTTCGTAGTACGTATCGATCTGGTCCCACTCGTGAGTTGTACCCTCCTCTCCAGCCATCCCATATCACCTCCGCCAGAGTCTGGTTGAGAGTGACAAGGTCCTCATCGATTTGCTTTTCCTGCATCGAGATGTACTTCCTATCCTGTACAGTTTCCTCCCACGCTTTCTTCATCAGCTGTTCTGACCCTCCCCGAAGAGACAGGCGGGTGGAAGGGACTGAGAACGTAGGAGGAAGTTGGGACGAAGACGAAGAGGAGGGCTGAGGGAGAGGGAAGACACGCTGAGGAGGGCAGGAGCCGGAGGGAGAGATCAGAGAAGAGAGGAGAGGGAGGAGGAGAAGAACTAGCTGTGCAGGCCTCATCAGCCGCGCGGTTTGCTGCATGCGCCCGGACATGGGCAGGGAGTGCTTCACGGGGATGCCAGGGGGTGGGGTACTCAAAATTTAAAAAGGAGGGGTAGTTTTGCGAACAATGCAGGAGGATGGGAGAGCAGGAGGGCGGGCCACAGGAGGAGGGGCATCGGGAGGAGGAGGAGGAGGAGGAGGAGGAGGAGGAGGAGGAAGAGGAGGAGGAGGAGGATGAGGAGGAGGAGGAGGAGGAGCAGTCGGCAGCATCTGCACTTCCTGTGCATTATGATGAACCACTCCATCTCGATGCCCAGGAAGTGCTCTGCACGAGATCTATCCACTGCTGGCCATGCATAGTTTGTTTAGGAACTAGCACAAGGAGGACGACTCCGACTTCTACGATTAGTTGTGGCTTTGCGTCGGATATGTTCATACATAACATGCATAC